ATTAAAATACGATGACTTAACACAAACACGGTAGTGGACTTCATTGATAGCCACTGACGTAGGTTCGACTATCTAAAAACATCCATCGTCTCTAACGTGAATTTAAGCCCTACCCCGTCGTCATAAGAGCCACGCTTTTTTACTCATCAATTTTTTGTTTTTGGAAGAAAGATCTCTTACAATAGTGTTTCATTCCATGGAATCCATTGATAAATTTGATGCTACCAGTGTTACAAGAAGCTGCTCTCACGAGCGTTGAGAAAGTCAATTACTTCCGAATATAATGTGATATTCCAAAAGAAAATGAAAGTTAATCCGAAATGTCAACGATTGCCTGCATTTTTTAATTTAACATTTAATCTGATCAAATACTTAAAATCGTACAAACAAACATAGCTATAGCACTTAGCGGCCTTGAATACAACTTTATGATCAATTACTTGGAAATATCTTCAATTCAGTTCAATTATTTTGCTTAGTGGCTTCCAAGAGACCCTGTTGGGCACAATTTACTTCGTCAATATCGCGTAGAAGGAAAAATCTTCGAATTGGCAGAAATACCCCTTTGACGAACTTTAATATTCGCTCATAGCTTAGAAGTTACAGTCAACTGTACTTCCTTTAAGTTGCTACTAGAATTGATAATATCATTTATAATATTACTTTGACGATTTGTACTGAAGGTTTTGCGACAGTATTTGTAACATTTATATAAATATTAACTATAAGCCAGACTATTAAAAATATTCTCAGGCCTGCCATAACCAAATAGTGAAGGTATCAAATAGGTATTGAAATATAATGAAAAAGTCATTCAAGTGCAAAATGTCGCAAATTAAAACCTAGGATCTCTTTGTTAATCTAACACTGTAAAGATTAATTTTCAGTATCAAAATAGAAAGCTAGATTGTTTGCTTATAGAGACCGTGAGAAAAGTTTTTCATCAAGCTGGAGGCCGGCAGGTACTTAGTAACAAGAGGCAAAAAAACAGTAAGCCGTAGAAATACAGTTAAAAATTATTGTGCCGTGGAAATTACCAATTTAATGCAAAATTGAATGCCTAAAAGTCACTCTGTGAGGCCGATTTTGTTTGGAATAAATTAATTAAGTCAATTTTCCATCTTCACTTGTAATTGATAGCGTCTAAATTAAAATATTGTAGTCAGACTATTGTTAAAATAAAATAAAAGTTACTTATAATCTCAAACAATTTTTTAACATTAGAAATTAATTTGAATGTATTCGCTAACATAATTAATATCATTAACATACTAAATTAATCTCAAAATGCAATTGTTTATTTACAGATCTTTACAGAGTTGTGCTAACAAAAACCAAATACCTAGACAGTAACACAAAAATCGATGTGAAAGTTCTATTACTGATAACATTGAATGATATAATTCATTTTATAAGAGGTTTACTTTCAGATGTATTTCTAAGCTGGAATTACATTTTGTGAATACGCTTTTATTAGCTTCATTTCAAACTATGTTCTAATCAAGTTTTGGAATTTGATTTTCACCTTATTAAATTGTTGAATTCATTTAAAACTGAATGTCAAATCCGGATGTTAAATCGATATATTTGATACCATAGATATTAAATCATTGGCTCTGTTGATTGAGGCAGAAAGTACATATATATAAGAAGTTTTAATGGTTTATAAGAATCCTTCGAATTTTTACTCATTTAATTTATCTTACGAATCCCATAAGTTAAAACTTAAGGCTTGTTTTTTTTTAATATCTTTAAACTGCCTATAACTTTTATCTTCATGCCGTAGTTATCTTTTAGGCTTGGCACCTACACCTGTTCCTAAATGAACCATGATGTAATACATATTGGCAAATCAAAAATCGACATTTCATCTTTATACTTAGAGACTAATGAACAAAAAATATTTCCTTTTGTAATACCTGCGGACCCTGACATTTATTTTAAATATTATTATTTTACTTGACACATTTTATTAACTTTATTTCTCATTGTAATATTGTGTAGCATCAACTTACAAGCATTTTAAAGACTGCTGTCTTAGAAAAGTGCTATGGTATGATATAATAAATAAACTTTGCTATTTACCTATCTTATTTCGATCTGCATATAGATGACAAGTAGTTCAATCTTCAATGGCAGGAAAATGTTATGGCCTAAGAGCCTGTGAACGCCAGACCTTCGTCATTTTATAAAAGCTGAAAGTTTGTCAGTGCATGCTCCCAACACAGATAAGAACGATGGACCATTATGAAGTTCAGGCTATGGTGGCTTTGGCAGGTACTAAAGGTGTGTAAAATACCGATCTAAATTCGTCAAATGATAAAGTGTGATTTTTGGGTATTACCTTCAGAATATTATTAAAAATCACGTCATTCAATGCCAGACACTTAACATCGTGGCAAACCCTTGCCAGACACCCTTTTCATGAAATCATAATTCTTCTTACGTTATAGTATAAAAGCTGATTTATATATATATATATATATATATATATATATATATATATATAATAATAATAATAATTATTATAATTGGATAATAATAATAATAATAATAATTATTATAATTGGATAATAATTAGATAATTTATAAGACTGCTAGCATAGCATTTATTACACATCATCAAAAATAAAGCCAATTCTTAGCGCTTCAAATTTGTTGACCATTTGCAACATTTTCTTAGAAATGCCTCCCAACTTGTTTGGAACATTTTTACCTATGCGGGTAAAATAGAGGATAACAGTTTGTCTGAAACTGTGTCATTTTAATGTGAAATGCACGAAAATTAGCATTAATATAAAAAATGTATTTTAGGTTTTTTTAAATTCGGGATTATTTAAGGGGTAAAATGGGGTGGTAAAGTTTATATGGAGAAAAAATATTTATGATCAGGATTACTTAAAACTTAATATTAATTAATATAAATTATAAATTAATGCTCTTCGACACAAGTAAATAAAAACAAGCTTTAGTTTTTTTTTAATCATTTTTATAGTTCTTACGTTTGTACTGGTTTAATTAAAAAAATGTAAGTGATATTGACCCAGATATATTAACTTTATAGGTATACTAGCGACTCACCCTCGCTCCACTCGGGTTCGTCCCTAGGGTGGACCACCCTCATCAGTTAGAGGTATGAAAAATAGTTTGCGTCCTATTTTCAGACCTACTGAATACACACCACACAAAATTACATAAGAATCGGTCAAGCCGTTTCGGAGGAGTTTTGTTACAAACACTGTGACACGACAATTTTATATATATTATAGATTACAGATAGGTACTTCACTATTGACTTTGTCACGTAGAGCAAATAAAAAACTTTAATATAAACCCTGTCTGAATATATTTTTCTGTTACTAAGAAATTTATTGAAGATTAGTAGTTAAGACAAAATAAAACCCGAACCGTTTGAGAACAGAACTTGTTTTCCCGGTAGGTATAGTAAATAGCATCAACTTAATCAATTCGTTTAAATGCAACAAATGAACAAACAAAACATGGATACGTTTTAGATATAAAATAAATGTTAACATAATATGTATGAAAGAGAAGATTAAAATTTAAAAGTAATTAGGATTACTAGGGCATTTTTTTAAGTTTTGTCATAAATAGCATGAAAGTTGGTATAAGGTAAGCAGTGAATGAATTATGTTAAAATTCCAAAAATTAATTAAATAGGTATTTAATTATTATTATATTTTTAAATCATATTTTTATAGGTACTACATATTACGTCTTTTAATAACGTTATACCTATTGATTTATTTTAGTTAAGCCTATTAGAAATACTTTAAAATTTAAAAAGTATACTTTTATTAACATGTTATATAATCTAACAAGATTAAAATTAATTAGGGCTAAATTAAATAAAACTAATAAAAATAAATACTATATTAAATATAATAAAATAAATAAATTTTAACCTATAAAATTAATACTAATGCTTCCAAAAAACAAATAACCGAATAATTGTGTATATTTTTAATGATTATTTATATTCGAATAAAATCTGTGGTAATTCGTTGACTAAAGAAATAACCGCGTGTTAAACAAGTTAAAAAGAGACGTATATACGTTTCACTATTCCCTTCACGATGAATGGGCAGAACTAATCCCCTCTATTGCGCTGGCGTCTGTTTTGGTAAAGCACTGGGGTGACAATTTCAACTTAGTCTCATTTTAAATCCACGACATCCCCCAAAACTTAAATGAACTATGTATATTAATACCACTATATAGATTTTAATACTTTATACCTCAATTAAGAAGTAAAGGTATATTCTGAACTCTACAAAAATTAAATATCTGTCCGTTTAATTAAAGAATTATCTGCACATATCCTTTTAAATACGAAATTAAATTGTACTTAAAAGTTTATGAACTAAGCTTATCTGACTATTTTTTTATCCGAAGTCTCTAAGTTATCTACGCTTGGTTCTTCTACACGGCTCACACTAGCACAGGTGGGTGTGTTCCATGTGCACTCACCCACACAGACACGCCGCCACCTCACCAGAGGTTCTAGAGGCACGCACACAGACACGCTACATTCTATCCGTACGAACACAGTGGTACTCTCAGTTCTATACAACCTCCTCAACTGCACTCACGCGCAGAAAAAAAGATAACGCGATCTATCGATCTTTTTTTCTAATATTGAGACACCGTCGTCTAGTAGATATCTCGGCCATAGTCGGCCAAAACTGACCTCTACTAACGAACGCGCCTACCGATCTTGTTTCAATTATAATATCTACGACACCATAATTAATTTAAATATGTCGTTTTAACTATGTAAATAAGGATATGTGATGATGAATTTAAAATATGAGGCCGATTCTTCTAATTTAATGTAAATATATGAGTCAGTTCGTGATAGCGGTGTTGGAGCTTTGAAGAGCTAGTTTTTTGCCTGTGATGTTTTTCTCGTTGGACAAGTGATTTTGACTGTTAGTGTCTGCAATTTTCAATGAAACCACATTGATTCTCATACCATTATGGAACGTCACCAAAATGGTATGGATGTGTGGGTAGGTAAGGGTATATAAGTAATTTTGTTACTTTGATACTATTTCAATTTTTAACGATAAGCTTTAAAGCCTGAAAGCTTAGGCAGTAAATTTTCCTTCAAAAACGTTCATCATAAAATTATGCCTACTAAAGTTTAACAGTTAAAAACTTATATAAAATAACTTTATGTGGAAGCTCATAATATGATTAATTTCATATTAGTTCAGTAATTGACATGAATTATGAGTATATTATAATTTATATTTTTTTTTGTTGATTATTATTTTATTTTATACTCATACTTGTAATAGACTGAAGACATGCATTATAAGGACAAAAGTTCGGACTAAAGCTTTTTGTAGTCATTGATTATGTAATTAATTCATTAATAACTAGTTAGTTGAAATATAAAAGAAATAACGTTAAGCAATGGCCTGTGTATGTTTTCTATCAAATTTCTATAAGTAAAGTTAATGGTTATTACACTGAAACATTAACGTACAATCAAAAAAGTAGTGTCTGGTCACTACATACTGTTACAGTAACAGCAAACATAATTATGTTATGTTAATTGACACTTCAGCCTTCTCCACGTTCCTAATTGGATTTTTAATTGCTGTTATTATTTACTAATAGTTAAATTGGTCTTATAAAATATTATATATCCCATCATAAAATTATAATTAAATAATGTAATGTTTACTATTTCTACATTCATATTATATCATGTAGAAGTTATCATTACGTTCTACATTTAAACAGAAAGAAGACAGATAGTGTGCAATTTTTGCTCTATAAAAGTTCCAAATTTATTAGGTACTATCATTTCCCACGGCTGCGCCCACGTTCAGATTACCAAAAACCAAATTCTTAGGTTTTACAGATTAGTATACTCTTACATTGCAGTTTGTTGTTACATTGTTGTTTTTCGCAGAAATGATATTTTTACCAGCGATAAAATCCTATATGTTGACCCGGATAACCAGCTATCACCATACCAAATTTCATCAAAATCCCTCCAGTGGTTTTTCTGTGATGCGGTAAGAGACAGACAGACAAAAATTCTAAAAACTATAGATTCGGCCTCTGTATCGGTAATAATGTCTATTTCAATAACATTTTCCAAAAAATATTTAATGTACAGATTCGGCTCAGTTACAATTTTATTATACTCGTATGTATAGATTTGTCATAACATAATCGCTATAATCATAATACGAGTAAAATATTTAACTTCAATAACATATGAATCTAACACTTTTGTTAAGTACAAGATAATTTCCTCCTACAATACATAGCAACTGTTAAGGTTTTAGCCGGCTTTGCTCAGCAGAATTGTATTCAGAACCGGTGGCAGCTTCTTCACGGACTGACTACATGGACTCTCTGTAAATTAAACCGGCGTTTCAAAAGTATTTGTAAAAGTTTAGCTGAATAAAACTAAGTTTAAGTGATACAAAATACGTCCAAATCATTGTTTTAAAAAATATTTAATATACAAATTTCGCTGAGTTACTATTTTATTATATGTATACTTATAGATTGTATTTTGTTTGGATATTTCTATGTATATTGTATGTATTTTCTTTAGCACCGCCTATTTTACAGGACAAGGTCGAGTAAACCAGTTAGGGGGATTATTCATCAATGGTCGTCCTCTTCCCAACCACATCAGACTAAAGATAGTAGAGATGGCTGCAGCGGGTGTGCGGCCTTGCGTCATCTCACGCCAACTGCGCGTCTCGCACGGCTGCGTTTCCAAGATCCTCAATAGATACCAGGTTAGAAAACCAGGTCTTTATAAACATAAAGACATTGTGTACATAAATCGTTTCACGAATACTTTAAAATTATTATTTTATTGTAAGTTTATTGTATATTAGTCTTACAAAATTATTCTGCTTTTATAGGTACATATTCCAATTTTAATGGAAGAGAATTTAAATTGAATCGCGTTTTTTCAAGCTGGCCTACACATTTTATTAAAACATAAAAAACGCTTATATTAAATATAAAACTATATTTTAGGATATTTTCCCGAATTTATTTTGATTTCGGTCACGTCGTTTCGAATACGTTACAGCAATCACGAGAGATATTAACGTTTTAGACGTCTCAAAGGTACTAGATATACTTGTCGCAGAGAGTATCAACCCACAAAATTGTACAATGATTTTAAAAATACAGAAAATGGCACACATTTCAGTCACTAATTTTGTCAAATTCATTATATAAGAAATAATAAACACTAAATATTAAAATTTTCTAAATGTATAAATATTTAACTTATTATTAAAATAGACAAAAAAAATTACATAATATGCAATACAACTTACTTTAAAGCTGCCTCATAATTTTCCTCATGATAGTAGATAGTAGCAGCGACAATGAGACATATCTCATTTGCAAGCTCTACTCCTTTTGCGACCTATAAAAAAATTAAAAAAAGTATTTCACTCTTAGAATTTTATAATACAAGTATAGTATAACAAGTCATTTTACATCTACACACGTAACATATATATTAATAATATTTATTTGATATGCAAGACATAATATTTATGAACAGTGTCAGATTCAACATTAAAATTTAATGTTGTGCTTTGAATTAACATATCAGCCTATTTTTTAAAATAGATGTAAAGATCTCTACGAGACATTCATTCTTTTATTGGATACAAACATTTTATAGCTTTATACACCAATATCCTAAAACTTATTTACAAATCTAAGTACAAAAATATATATACTAACTCTAGCATCAATTTCGGCCACAATAGCTGGTTTATTTGCACTAGGAGACAAATACTCTACTAATGTCTTTAATGGCTGTAGCATTGGATCTGCACTTTTGAGCTCTTGCAAAACAATTCTATAATTCCCTGTGCAATGTATAAGCGAGAAGAAGAAGAGAGAACGAGAAAAAGACTAAAACAAAATAAACATTCTTATTATTACATATTATTTTAACTGTGTTGTCTTTTAAAACATTTTTTGTCATGGCAATTTTGATGACATTTTTTGTCAATGGAATTTGTTGTCTTTTAAACTTTTTATACTATTACTTAAATTTTTAATGTTTTTTTCGGATATATTTTAAAATAAATTTTGATTACACAAGAACAACACACAACTACAACCCATTATATCGAAAACACTTTCGCATCATTTTTATTGATATACATTTTTAATAACATATTAAAAAAACATAAGACTGCGTTTATATATGTATTAAGATACAGATAACGATACGAAATAATTTATTAATATTTTTTCTACATATAATTATAGTATTGAGGGCCATTTGCCTTGTTTTTACTAGACTAGGTGCAGAATATACGAGTACCTACTAGTAAGCCACACACCTATTGAAGCAAACAATTGCCATTGACTTCGACGCAGCCAAGCCTGAAGGTCCATTTTCACCACCACAATAGTGATTGTCTTACTCAGGAAGTCTATTTCACGCACCATGACAGTTTTATAAAATTAATAGTATATGTTTTACCCAATAAAAAAACCTTACATATTTATATACATATAAATATCAAAAACGGTCCAATATTTTAAAAAGAAGGAGACGGTTCTTATTTCGCTCAAAATTATGTGAATATTACGTTAATAATATCCCCATATAAACCAATTAAATGAAGACATATTTTCATGGTTACTGCAATTTAAGCTCGACTTCCTGTCGTATAAGGTACTTATAGATATACGAAATGGTGGTAATAGTAGGGGAGCCCAAGAGGGGATTTTCTGTAGTTACTCGAGCGCGGCAGATTAACATAAAAGAGGTTACCTTGCACTCTATTGAGTACTTTCGCCATAATATAAGTCTTCTATATAAAGGGGCGCGTCTAGGGAAGCCGATTAAAATATTTAAAAAATGTTTTGATAAGGTAGAAATACTTGAAACCGTAAGATTAAGGTGTGGTAGGCTAGTCACATCCTGAAAAGTGTCCAATTCAATAATCTGCCGATTTGCACAAGCCGAAGAGGCAAAAATCGACTATAAAGTTTATGATGATTTTTGCCTCTTAGGCTTGTGCAAATCGGCAGATTATTAAATTGGACACTTTTCAGGATGTGACTAGCCTACCACACCTTAATCTTACGGTTTCAAGTATTTCTACCTTATCAAAACATTTTTTAAATATTTTAATCGGCTTCCCTAGACGCGCCCCTTTATATAGAAGACTTATATTATGGCGAAAGTACTCAATAGAGTGCAAGGTAACCTCTTTTATGTTAATCTGCCGCGCTCGAGTAACTACAGAAAATCCCCTCTTGGGCTCCCCTGCTATAACCCAGTGTTGATGTCTTTATAACGGAAACCAAGTAAAACGGGTTCAATATCCCGGTCTTGCACTTCAGAAATTTTCATGTGCGAATCATTTTCAATATGATTACCACTTGCCTTATGGTGAAGAAAAAAATCGTGACGAGACCTATCTGAGAAAACTAGCAAGTTCTCCAAAGACACGTGAAGTCCAGCCAGTGTGGCGAACTAGGGCCTAATCCCCTCTAGCATTAATGGGAGAGACCGTCTAGCAGTAGGATGTTAATAAGGCCTGTATACAAAGTTAAATGTGCATAATATTTGAACGAAAAAATACAAATAATTTTGATTGGGAATAACGGTAAAGGATTCTTATGGCTCTCATATGATCTTTGAAAGAGATGAAGTATGATCCTGATTGGCTGCAGTTTGCGCAATAGATCCTAAGTTTCACTAACTTTGATAGGTATTTGTCCCTGCTTTAATAAATGATCCATACTATAGCAAAGAAATCCTAATACTACTACTGTATTCTTTAGAAATGGTCATCACTAATGTATTAAAAAATATTGAAAAAATATATATATATATACGTATTTAAATAAACATAGGTAATATGTCAAATGTTAACCACAATGTGCGGTATTAGTATCGCAAACCTTTGCTTACCAAACAGATAGGTATATATTCATTATCTCCAATCAGTTTTCATTAAATTTTGCATAAAATCTGCAATTTGGCTCATTCACTATAAAAAACTAACATCATCATAAAGATAGTATAAATAATTTTATTATTTGTTCAGATCTTCCTGCAGTTAATTTCGTAAAAAATTTTTTTGTATACTTATAATTTTAGCTATTCTTAATAATATTTATGTAAAGTTTTATATTATTAGTATCATATAATACATACATTATATAAAAATCGGTCAAGTGCGAGTCGAATTCGTTCGCGAACATATACTTTTTATTATTATGACTTTAACTCTGTGTACATATGTAATATATAAACTTCGATAATCGATAACGAACGTTAAAAAATGTTTCTTGTATTTTAATTTTTTATTTTTATTATTTTTTGTTATGTCGGCAATAGAAATACATATTCTGTGAAAATTTCAACTCTCTATCTATTACAGTTCATGAATTACAGCCCTCTGACAGACGGACGGACGGACATCGGAGGCATAGTAATAGGGTTTCGTTGGCACCCTTCGGGTACGGAACCCTAAAAAGGGTTCATAAAAAATAATGCAACTTAGTGCAACTGTATCGAGCCAAAGAAATATTCCAGGCCCCGCGGTTAAAACTTTGCGTAGTTTACAACTGTTTATTTACCTAAATATGAATATTAGGTATGTAAGTAGATAAATATACAACCAAAGTTTACCCAACATTTTAACATAACATACATTACTAGTAATAATAATAATAATAATAATAATAATAATAATTTATTTATTATAACACAACAACAATAAAAAACTATAAATTAGATAACAATATACATTTACATTTGAAATAAAAATTAACATATAATTAATTGATTAATTTAAAATTTATTTATTTATTTATTTCAAATCTACTAGTATAACAAAAACTTACAATTATTATTAAAGTAATATATAGTAATAAAATTGTTATAATATTAATAACTATTACATAACACAATTACATGCGAAATTATAGAATAGGATATCTCTGATGGTACAGGAAACGGGATCTATAAGGCCGGGCGTTATCGGCGGGTCGAAGCCAAGAGTTGCTACTCCTGAAGTTGAGGCGAGAATAGAAGAGCTAAAGAGGCAAAATCCAGGAATATTTTCGTGGGAAATACGTGAAAAGCTAATAAAGGTAATAAAAAAAACTGTTAAATCTATTCATCATATATTATCTTAAAATATATTTTCAAAATATACTTTTTACAATAGTCATAAATAGCCTTGTGTTATGTTAACTTTATTTTCCATTTTCCAACTACATAAGAATGCACCATGAGACCGCTACGATTCGGATTCGGAGGAGCGGGATCACAAGATAATGCATCTATCGCTCTACACTTCACTTCTCATCCTATCTTGAATGAGAAGTGAAGTGTAAAGTGATAGATGCTCAACGTATTTGAGCGACAAAACAGTTTTCATTTTACTGCAAATTAATTAAACAACAAATTGAAAAATGAAATTCGGGAACTAAAGAAATACTTGTGGTTTTTTTGTCAGAAAGACTGGAAGTGTTTCTTCAATTAAAAAAGTGAGCTGTTTTTGAGATAAATAGCAGTACATATGTGTGCAAAACATGCATTTTTCAAAAAAAAAATTGTCGAGAAAATTTTCACCAGTATATTTTTTTCATAAATGTTATCAAATTTGGCAATTCAATATAAAAGTCCGAAGTATCATTTCCCTAACTATCAAAGTGGTAACTTTCACAGATTCTGAGATAATAACGATGTAGGTAGAGGTGCAAATTTGTCATATGCCATTCATTGCCATATGCCATTCATTGCCATATGTACCTATAGTTGTGTGCTATTGGATTTCATAAACAAATATTAATATTTATACGCGTCTTATACCTAATATCCAATATTTATATATTGGATATTAGATATGACGACTTTATAGTCACGTCATTATTAGTTTCACATTGCTCGAGCTTTATTCTCAACAACAAAGTTATTACGGCAAAACTCAATACGTAGCAGGTATCAGTATCACAAAACAATAAGATGAATACGATTCATGTAGTAATAAACCACAAATATCTGACTTTCCCAATCTAACCAAGTTCATGATCCATAGCAATCGTCGTTTTTCATTTATGAAAATCCTAGATCCTTTATACAATTTTACCCTTTTGTATGAATCTATTCTGTGTAAAAGCTTTGTCTAAAAAGAGCTGATGGCCTACAAACGGCTTAACAGATTTCCTCGGTTTATAACTACAATACTCGCGATCGAATCGACTTTCAGACAAAAAAACTAAATTAAAATCGGTTCGTCCCTTTGGTCGCTATGATGCCACAGACAGACACAGTTATACACACTTTAAACTTAAACGTGTTTTTGCGTCGGAATTAAAAAAAATTAAATAAAGTTCTCTGTTATATTTTTAAACTGTACCGCCTACAAATTAAACGGTAGTAGGAGTAGTACTTATTTAACGAATAATAAATTTCAGGAAGGTGTATCTGACCCACCCAGTATATCTTCGATCTCGCGGTTGCTACGCGGTGGCGCTAGAGATCCTGATGGCAAGAAAGACTACAGTATAGACGGCATACTTGGAGGTGAGCTTAAATAAATATCTTACCTAATTACTCGTATAAAAGTTAAAAGCATGTTTATCCTTCTTTGAAACTGCTACGACCAGAAAGAGGCATATTTTATATCCTCGTACATCAAACTGCCGTCGGTGCTCGAGGGATGTTATGCAAAAAGTTACTTGGAACAAATACTTATCATTAGTTTTTTTACTAAATAAACATGCTGCTTTATAAACATTCTAAATATACAAATAAATAAATAATAAATATGTTAAAACATTAGACGACACGCTTGGCTCAGTTTGTAGTGACCCTACTTTCTGTGCCAGCGGTCGCAGGTTCGAATCCCGCTGGGGGCATTCATTTGTGTGATGACGAATGTTTGTACTCCAGTCATGGGTGTTTTTATATTTTTTCTCAGAAATGAGACATTTTCCCGCGGTAAAAAGTATCCTATATGTTGACCCGGATGACCAGCTATCACCATACCAAGTTTCATCAAAATCTCTCCAGTGGTTTTTCTGTAATGCGGTAACAGACAGACAGATAGACCGACAGACAGACAAAAATTCTAAAAACTATAGATTCGGACTCTATATCGATAATAATGTTTATTTCAATAAGATTTTCCAAAAAATATTTAATGTACAGATTCGGCTAAGTTACAATTTTATTATATGTATAGATTAAGAATATTTTAAAAACTAAAACCGAAACATCATACTGCTATAAAAACAAAACTCATTTGTGTAGACCCATTAACACTAGAATGACGTCCGATCTCATACATTGAGGGTCGAAAAATAAAGTGTTTGCACAATAACTTCCCATTCGGTCGGCAATTTTGCAAAGAGATACGCAACCTGTCAAGGCTTTCTCACGTTCAAAAAATCAATTTCCGCACACAAATCTGACACAGTCATTGTCGTGTGATATATTGAAGACTTCAAGCCGAAAGGCGGTGTATTTGTCGATCTCTCGGCGCAGGGGTAAAGGTACCGACAAAAGTGACCGCGCTCCTGCAGCGCCACACTAGTGCTGAAAATGAACACAATGTACGTAACATGTTTTGGTTGTAGTGTCATTGTTATATTATTGTACACTCTACTAATTGTGCTTTTGCGGTATTTCCGTCAATACAGGTACGTAATTTTAATTTATTTGCCTGTATTGTCGATGTCTACAGAAATATTTGTCTTTTAACTCATTCTATCAATACACATTGCAAGTTTTACTTTTTTCCATATATTATTATTTTATAAAATTGTTTGTAAGTATTATTATCAAGGAATATTTGCAAATAGCTAAGCATTATTCATAACTCTGGGATAATTTACATTCTTACACTGTACTTGCAACTTCAAGAACCTACCTACCCAATCGAAAATCCAAAAAATATTTAGTTTCATTCTTCAAATAAACTACTAACGGATATATATAAAAACCCATATTTATATTCGATATACATAGCATTATGTGATATCATAATCCTCTGAAAACAACAATTGTACAATATACACGTAGAAACCATAATATAAATGTGCCAATGCTTGCCTACATTATAAATCAAACGGTTTAGTGTTCAACAACAAGTAACAAGCTTGCTACGCTTAAGCGCATCCCTTAGTAGTTTACATGAACCATTTAGAATACCTCTATATCACTCTACTACACTTGTAGGTGTTTCCATTGCTCAGTTACTACGAGTATGTAATGCTCATTGTTATGGATTTTCATTCATATTTTAAATATATGTACTTACCTAATAATTGCAAGAAGCATTTATTACCAACACTTTCACATTCGAACAATACAATCGCGCATATGATAAAATCTAAGATTTGTATAATAACATCGGTCGTTACAATCAACCTATGTCTCGACGGAGATAATGTATGAACCTCACAGGTACCTAACACAAGACATGTCACATTTAGATTACATGTCCGATGCCACACGTGGTGAAAATTACTATAAAATATGTTGTGGTTACGACAAATAAGCCTTATATTATATAACAAAATCATCTCAAATATCATTTTAATGATTTGTTTTAGTTCATCAAATACTTAGTTCGTACTTTCAATCACATCACTACACCAATATTACCTATCATAAATTAGAATGTTTGTGTATTGTGTATTTTTTATGTCTTCACGCTAATATGTCAAAATTTGAATTGAATTTAGCTTATATTTTTGATTAGAATAATATTATAATAAACTTTTTATCAATGAACTTACATAACAAGCTGAGCCACAAGCTCAAACTAGTCAATAATCACAAAAATTGAATGAAAAATATGATTATAATAAAGCTAGTGATATCATTACATATTTTAAGACTCTCTAAGAATATAGCATTACAATTTTGTTTGCGAAAACATTTAATTTATAATAATTTCAAATAAAGTAAACTTAAAGTAGAAGTAAATTCCTGAGGTGAATGTATCTCCAGCTAGACCTCCGCGGCGTTCCAGTGCATTCAAACTATGCGGTAGTTTGTTGCACGCTGCACTAAATGCATTCACGTCTCAGCTATAATGGCCCTCACACGAATCTCAGGAAGTACTGAAAATAAAGTGCCTCCGTAGAACGTATTACGAAAGTTAGCTGTTATTTTAAGTTATGAAATGTATTTTATTACTGTAAAATAAATAGAAAAGAAGTTAAATTGACTCATATTTAAACAAATATTAGAAATTTCTACATAATTATTCTTACAAAAAACAAATTAAAATTATGAAAACACACAAAATTATAACATTTTGTATTACCTATTGAATAGAAAGAATCTAAGAAACGCTACTTTTGTTTTACGAACGTGAAAAATAAAAATCTTACATGATATATCATATATCGTAATTAATATAACTCGTCAAGAGTATAAGAAATGGCAAATAAAGCACGCCCACAACGCACGAGACGTGCTAATCCGGCCATACGACCATCTGTTAACATCAGAACAAACCGCTGAAACAAAGGCGGGAGACCGCTTTAATGAACCCAGATTATGGAGGTGTTAAACCGCCGTCGCAGCTCTTTCAACTTCCAAATTATGACTTTTGAACATGCCGTCTTCGTGGGGTCACATTTCGGCAATCGCCAAAGTGTATCCCGTTCTGACGTGTATGCTCAGTATAACACTTTCCTTCTCTCCCACTGTTATACACAGAAAGGTTTCAGAGTGAACTTTATCACCATGTGTTAGAGATTTAATGTTTTAATGTCGCTTTCAATATACATACATACAAACTTCTAGGTCATTTAGGCCCATACGTTATGATCAAAAGAACAAAAAAGGGCTAAACAATAATGTCTCGACACCTCAAGGGAATTTGAGCAATGTAAATCATTTTATTACAATACATTTTTTATTTTATGTCGTGCTTAAGATTTTGTGCCACAATTTTGTTATATGTGTAATTTTTTTTGGGTTTCAAGTGATTAACGCACTTATATCATTTTTGACTCCCTATGATTAAATATTTTTATATATACTTAAATCTATACATATAATAAAATTGTAACTAAGACTAAACTGTACAATAAATATTTTTCGGAAAATCTTATTGAAATAAACATTATTATCGATACAGAGGCCGAATATATAGTTTTTAGAATTTCTGTCTGTCTGCCTGTCTGTTACGGCATCACGGAAAAACCACTGAAGGGATTTTGATGAAATTTGGTATGATGATAGCTGGTTATCCGAGTTAACATATAGGATACTTTTTACTGCGGCAAAATATCTCATTTCTGAGAAAAAATGCAAAAACTGCAATGTAAGAGTATAATAATCTGTAAAACCTAAGAATTTGGTTTTTGGTCTAAAATGGTAGTAAATAGACTATTTTTTTGTTGTTTCATACGTTACTCTCGTGTAAGCCTACAAAACTGACGGCTAAATGAACGCAAGCGCATTAAAACCGCGTTGTCGTTTTATGTGTCATAAATCCAGATCGCGACACCAAAATATTGAATAGTGCCAAAATGTCACCCGAACGGCAAAGACGCCGACAAAGGTACCGCCGCGCTGGGTGTTCTTATTCGTTCACGCCGAGCCTCTATTTTTTCATTTCATTCAATTTTGACTTCTTTCAAAAGGCTATTAATATAAGCCGCATTTTTTAAAATCGGTTTTAAGGGCAAAGCCGCGTATTGTAAGGCAGTTTTTAATCTGTTTCCGTAGGATACCGCTACCGATTTATAAATGAGACGGCTCGACGTACGACCCTGACCATTTTTGATTTAGGTGAATTAAAATGTGATATAAAAAACGCTGCTAATAAATAACGTGAGTCTGAAAAAACAGATGAAGACAAATTGCTTCAAAGCATTGTCAAATAAATTATTACAGAGTAGGTATTAACGCGGTATTATAATAAGTTCCCATTACTTCATCTACGTCTAATTAAGTTTCTTTGTCAGATAAAAGTTTAAAATGTACTTAATGATTACTATTAACCCGTAATCCACTTTACTGGGCTACTTTTTTTTTTAATTTGGCAGTTTGACCTGGGTGGGTTGGAACCTGATTGTAAATTAATTCATTTAATTACTTGTAATAACTAAGCCATAATTATAAATACTCCCCAGGCCGAGGATCAGACTCTTCAGATATAGAATCTGAACCAGGCTTGACACTGAAACGGAAGCAACGTAGATCTCGTACCACGTTCACGGGGGAACAGCTTGACGCGTTAGAAAGAGCCTTTCACAGGACCCAATATCCTGACGTATATACTAGAGAAGAATTGGCATTACAGACAGGTCTTACAGAGGCCAGGATACAGGTAATAGTAAAATAATACATAATAATATTATTTAATTCTTTATATTATAATATATGTACAATATATGTAAGTCTAAACGACAATTTTGATTTTAATAGAATTGCTTAGAACGCGCAATGTCAAGATGACTTATTGAAAAAAATCTAATGAGAACTAAGAATATTGAGATATTTATTATACCTATTATATTAACAAAATATGGTTTTTGGGAATAATTGTACAAACACAAGATCGAAATAACATAAATATCTACATAAACTGAGTGGATACATAAGTACTACCTACATACATATGATTTGATCATACAAATAAGGAAAAAAGTTAGCAATGACAAGTTTCATCAAGTATAGTGACAGTTCTGGAGATTTGCTAAATATTTTTTTTATTTAACGTCATCCATAAAAATTTCGTTTATTTATATTATATAGAAAGAAAACCTGGTTTTATAAGATTCTCATAAAAATTGTTTAAACGTTACATAGACATAAGTAAGCACTGCATATAATATAGAAAAAGTTATTGAATTTTAAAAACGTATGTACAGGTACACAATTATATGTAACGCAAAATTAAAAATGTTAATAATTAAATAATGTATGTAGAATTGAATATCGTAATGTTAACACAACGATTTAATATATTACAGGTTTGGTTTTCAAATAGAAGAGCTCGACTAAGAAAAAATACTGGTTCAAACTCAACTCCACTTTCAAGCTATTCAACGTTACCGATACCCCAAATACCTTGTCCTTATCCTGCAGGGGAAATTCCTGCTCTATCCCAACATCATCCTCAGCATCCGGACGCGTGGCATCACCAAAAATATGCAAACTACAATCAATTAATGGCGCAATCTCAACATTTAAATCAAGCCTTCCAAAATGCTGCTTTTCCTAGTACTTCGAGTGCGACATTCAGCCACTTAGTTTCTGGTGCTCCTTCCCATAACCAACTATTAGAAACAAATACACCTAGAAACGAATATCCACGATATGCTAACGACGCCTATAACAAACCTTATATGCCCAAAGAAACTGACACTGAAGATAAAATTGTTAGTGACGAAGTAATAGATCAGAGAGACGATGCTTACGTGAAAACAGCAAACGAATATAAAGATTTATCGACTAGTGATTATCCTAAAGTTCCTACTGATTATACAAAGCTTCCTGTAGATCCATCTTCATCCAACTGGAGTCCATCAAATAGTTCACTTAATATGAGCCTAGCCGGACTATCTAGTGACTATAAATATATGAGCGATCCTTATTCATTCCCTAATATCGCTGCCGACCCTCTCAGTCAGCATAGCTATACTAACCCCGGAAATCCTGCCAATAAATACTGGATTTGACAAATATTAAAATTGTGTCCATACAAACTTACAGTACCTTTACAAATATAAGTAAGTTTTGTTTAAATGTAAATACATAGCTAATTTTATTTATATTATATTAAATATTATTATTATAAATAACAATCAATATAACAATGCTGTTCATTGTATCGATTGTGAAAATTACCTCTAAACGCATTCCATTTATAGATACCTATTATAATACCAAAATTGTGAAATAAGTTATTGAGCAATCTAATATAGTATTAATAGTAATAATTTGTCATGGTTTTATTTTTTCCAAATATACAAAGTATAATCATAAGGTTCACTCTTATTTAAAATTTATTGTTACTATAAAAGTTATCATTATCTTAATAATTAATAGATAGTATTTTAAAAACTGTTTTTAAACTCATTTTGTTGTGAGGGAAAATCAACGTAATTTAATATTATTAACATTTGCATTAAAAGTAGTTATCCAACAAAACTAGTCTCTAAAAGTTTATAAATAAAAAGATTTTAGGATTTCATAAATACTTTTTAATTAAAGATACATTACATTTTATAACAACATTTTTCAAACTTATTACAAATATCTTTATATAATCTAAATAACAATTTCTACAACTGTGGTAAGATCTCAACAACTGACGCACCCTGTTCAGCGGGAACGGTGATTCCATCAATTTGGATGGCTCCAGTGCTGGATAGTGGTGTTTCAGCGATAGGGTCACTGGAAGCTGTATTAACGTTAATTATAGCTTCGGTCTCTGTAGTCGCTACTCCTGGATCAACAGCAGGACTTTCATTTATATCAGCTTGAGTGGAAGCTTCAACAGCGGCACTTGTATTCTGTTCATTAGCTTCTTGCACTGTACTTAAAATAATCGATTCGGTTGTTACAGTAACATTATTGACGGCTGATGGGCTTGATTCATTTATATTTGATATTCCACTCCTATCGATGTTACTGCTTGAGTATGTAATGTTAACATTTTGTACTACGTTAATTCCCGTGAAAACATCTGGTTGATTTGTAGTAATACCAGTGTCAGTAGCTGCAGAGCGTGTGCTTGAAACAGAAATATTGTCATTGTTTATATCGGTTTTATTTTGTTCAGGTGAAATGGAAACATCGTTGCTTAAAGGCGCGCCTGTTGTAATCATATCAATGATGTTGACTGTGTTTTCAATGCCACTGTTAATATTTGAAGTTGGCGCTGAACTTGACATTTCAACTTTATTTGTGGATACTACATTACCATCAATTCCTACCACTGTACCATCACTAACTCCAGATGATAACGGACCTTCTGTCACATTACTAGACGCAATGTTACTTATAGTAACAACGATTTTACTTTCATTCGTATTGATGGATGGAAGAGTTTTAGCATTTGTAGATGGAGAAATTTCCTTGACATTTTGATTGAGTGATTCTGATAAGACAGCATTGTTACTTTCACTTACGTTGTTTTCTAGAGAAATTGAAACTCCGTTGTTAATAGGCGCATCCGTAGTGATAAAATCGTCAACATTGACCGTACTTCCGACATTGCTATTTGTAAGTACTACATTATTAGAATCACTAGTTTCAACATTGATTTCTACAGCGGGAATATCGTTAGCTCCTGATGATGCCTGAACTTCAGCCACGTTACTGGCTGCAGGTGAATTGGCAGTGTCATTATTCATAGAAGATACAGAGCTAGTATCAGATGCAACATTGTTATTTACATCTATAGATGCAATATTAGTTTTACTTTCTACGCCAATATCATTACTCAATACACCAGAGCTATCAACACTAGTTGTGATGATAGGATCACTATTTGATTGTGATCCTGCATTAACTTTATTAGATGAAGTATTTTCAGTTATATTTGGTCCACTTGCGCTGCTATCTACAATTACATTTGCTGCAGAGCCAGTAGATGCAGTACTTATAGCATTAACATTAGTAGTGGCAATATCAGCGTCGGTAACTATATTACTATCAGAAGGAGCAGAGCTTATAATATCCGGTGAGTCACTAATGGGTCTATTAACTTCATTATTAAGATTATTTGCTACAGAATCATCGTTGCTGCTAATTGTTGAAGAAACATCAGATATTCCTGAACTTTGAGATTCTAATACTGGAGTATCAATACTTCCAGGTATAACACTATTATTTGGATCAGATTGATTTGAAGTAATTACCACGTTTGGTCCTTCTGAGGGCACAACTGTATTAGAATCTACACTAATTCCAACATTAATGTCTGCAACAGGAATATTGCTGGCTCCCAAGGATGACTGAACTAAAGCCACGTTACTGGTTGCAGGTAAATTGGCAATATCATTACTTATAGAAGGTACTGAACTAGCATCAGATGCTGCATTATTATTTATATCTATAGATGCAATATGAGAATCATTTTCTATACCAGTATCACCTGATGGTACAGCTGCATTAGAATCTACACTAGTTCCAACATTAATTTCTACAGCAGGAATATTGCTGGCTCCCGATGATGACTGAACATCAGCCACGTTACTGGCTGCAGGTGAATTGGGACTGTCATTACTTATAGAAGTCACTGAACTAGCATCAGATGCTGCATTATTATTTGTATCTATAGATGCAATATTAGAATCATTTTCTATACCAGTATCACCTGATGGTACAGTTGCATTAGAATCTACACTAGTTCCAACATTAATTTCTACAGCAGGAATATTGCTGGCTCCCGATGATGACTGAACATCAGCCACGTTACTGGCTGCAGGTGAATTGGGACTGTCATTACTTATAGAAGTCACTGAACTAGCATCAGATGCTGCATTATTATTTGTATCTATAGATGCAATATTAGAATCATTTTCTATACCAGTATCACCTGATGGTACAGCTGCATTAGAATCTACACTAGTTCCAACATTAATTTCTACAGCAGGAATATTGCTGGCTCCTGATGATGACTGAACATCAGCCACGTTACTGGCTGCAGGTGAATTGGGACTGTCATTACTTATAGAAGTCACTGAACTAGCATCAGATGCTGCATTATTATTTGTATCTATAGATGCAATAATAGAATCGTTTTCTATGCCAGTACTACCTGATGGTATAGCTGCATTAGAATCTACACTAGTTCCAACACCAATTTCTACAGCAGGAATACTGCTGGCTCCCGATGATGACTGAACATCAGCCACGTTACTGGCTGCAGGAAAATTAACACTGTCATTACTTATAGAAGTCACTGAACTAGCATCAGATGCTGCATTATTATTTGTATCTATAGATGCACTATTAGAATCATTTTCTATACCAGTATCACCTGATAGCACCGCTGTATTAGAGTCTACACTAGTTCCAACATTAATTTCAACAGCAGGAATATTACTGGCTCCCGATGATGATTGAACATCAGCCACGTTACTGGCTGCAGGTGAATTGGCAGTGTCATTACTTATAGAAGTCACTGAACTAGCATCAGATGCTGCATTATTATTTGTATCTTTAGATGCAATATTAGAATCATTTTCTATGCCAGTATCACCTGATGGCACAGCTGCATTAGAATCTACATTTTTATCTGCATTAACGGTAATTCCGTAATTACCTTCAGAAATATTTATTGCATTATTATTAGCTTGCACATCCTGTTGTACAGAAGCATTCTGGTTTTGCGCCCCTGTAGCCCAATTCGGCAATACGTTAGACAAGAATTGTGAAATCGATTGTAAAAATGTTTTTCTTTCTTCCAGATTTTGTCGTGCAACGTTAGCCCAAGGAAGGGTCACATTATTTAAAATTTGTGTTTTGTTCGTTAATTTTTCTATACCCTTATTTAATTTGTTTTGTAATTTGTTAATAGTTAAAGAATTAATTTGACTAAGCAATTGTTTTCGTAAAGCTTCTTTAGACTCTGTATCATTCTGTAATTTGGTTTCAATTAGTTTTACTATAGCTCGTTGGCGCTCACTCTGTGTGCTATTTGAGTTAAGACCAAGTTCTTCAGATAAATATCTGTCGATGACCTCTTTCTTTTCTGCATGTGTACTAGCCAAAGTTAACCCGTATTTTACGTAAATATGATTTCTCCATATATTCCCTAATTCTACTGAATTTTCTTCTTCTGTTTCTAAAAAGCCATCTTCATCGGATTCTCCTTCTAATGCTTCTTTTCGTAATTTTTCTAACTCTTTAAGTTGCTTTTTTAGCTTTTTCTTCTCTTCCTTCTCTTGTTTTTCTAAAAGTTTTTTCTTTTTCTCTTCTTCTTTACGCTTTTCTTTTTCTATTCTTTCCAGACGTTTACGTTCCTCTTTTTGTCGTTTTTCTTCTTGCTTACGCAGTTCTTTAGCTTTTTTTTCTTCAAGTTTTCTCTGTTCTTCTTCTTTCTTACGTCTCTGTTTATCGATTTGTAGCTCTCCAGAATCATCGTCATCCTCGTTGTCACTAGAATCGTTATCACTTTCAACTGATGTATTTGACTCTTCAGAATTTGATCTTTTATTTCTTAACAATACACTAGATTCATTTTCATATGGCAAATACTTTGCACTTACAATGCATATTCCAACCTGAAAAGAAAAATAATAAAATAAAACATTTATAAAAGTGATGATAAAATAGAAGTGATAATAAAATAAAACATGTATAAAAGTGACAGATTAAAAATGTAATGGCTCTAAATTTGTCTGTACTTTAAATTTTATTTATCTACATCAAAAAAATTTTTTATTACCAATTAGATATGTTAAGGGTAACTTTAACAGATTCAAAAAAAATGTAAAAGTTATAAAATATTTACCCTACGGAAACACAATTATATTTGAGGAGGTACTTTTCAAAATGTGACTAATCCACTGATACCAAAAAAAAATGTTTTTTTTTTGGAAAGCAACATTGCATAATCCAAACAAGTGTTGGGACGGAAGTTCACAAAAAAACATGATTAACGCCACAGAAAATAAAATGCAAAGTTGCTTGGTTTGTCCAAAACATAAACAACAAATATCGAATAATATTTAAGGCTTTTTGAGTATTTAGTACGTCCATGCTTTTGCCACAGTTGTGCAATACTTGTGCAATACATTGTACAGTTATAAATAAATAATTTTAAGCATAAAATGAAATTATAAAGATTTATTTTTGATTGATTTTTGATGATTTCTTTTTATACACTTATTACTTCAAAATATGAGTAATGCATATACAGTTACATCAAAACATGATTATACCATATTTGCATTTTCTCTAAAAGTAACAACTTCTAGTTTTTTTTATGAACACTAGATTGTTACTACCATTCAAAAGTACTTAAATCTATACATATAATAAAATTGAACATACATTAATGTACAGATTCGGCTTAGTTACATTTTTTTTTTTGGAAAATCTTAATGAAATAGACATTATTATCGATACAGAGGCCGAATCTATAGTTTTTAGGATTTTTGTGTCTGACGGAAAAACCACTGGAGGGATAATACTTTCTTAGATTTACGCGAATATTTGACATTTTAAATAAAACTATCTTTTCTGATTTTGTCGCGGATTTATTTGCATTTTTTTTTGTTTCCCGACGTTTCGAATGCTTTACAGCATCCATGGTCACGGGAGAGACTGAGGTGTTACATGTCTTGAAGGTATAGTTGTTACAGACAGCCTACCCACAATTAACAAAATGAAAATTGGCTGATGGATGGCTGGGTACTACCATCGTCATGGGATCCTGTTATTAATATAATAAAATCAAATAATAAATATATATAACAGACAGGTAGATGTAGTAAGTTCTTACTGTGTAGATCAAAATGACAGCTTTCAGATTAATATTTTTCATTTTTCATTTGTAAAAGTATATAGTAATAGTGTTGCTTAGTAAGTTGTTTTTAAATAATAGCAAACTAAATTAAAATGATTATCCTTAATTAACTTTAACTTTTTTAAATTACACATAGAACAATTATAATATGGCTTAAATAATTAATACTATATTTCATATTTTTCTTTATGGTTATAAATATAATTATGGCAACACTAAATATAGATTACTAATTAATATTTTTAAAATTGTAATAATTATAAAAATAATAGCAAAAATTAAATAAATAATATTCAATTATAATTAAAATTATAAAAATGTTTAAAGTTAAAAACTATTGTAATGTAATTGGTGCAATTTTCATTTTGTTAATTGTGGGTAGGCTGTCTGTAACAACTATACATTCAAGACATGTAACACCTCAGTCTCTCCCGTGACCATCCCGTGACCAAGCATTCGAAACGTCGGGAAACAAAAAAATGCAAATAAATCCGCGACAAAATCCGAAAAGATAATTTTATTTAAAACACTGGAGGGATTTTGATGAAATTTGGTATCATGGTAGCTGGTTACTGCGGGATAATATTTCATCTCTGAGAAATCTATACTAAAAGGTAAAACGTAACTAGGAACGAACCCGAGCGGAACGAGGATGAGTTGCTAGTAAACTACTAAAATTAATTTAAAATATTCCCTTCCTACCTATAACAAACTTTTTCAATTTCTGAAAAAACACTCGTAGAGGAATAGTCATATTGTGAAAAGTATCCTCAATTATAAAACTCCATAAGGTACTTATAATATACTGGAATGTAAAATATCCCACACGTATTTAATAATAACGTTTGGAAAAAAGTTCTTTTTTCTTAATATTTTTCACATGCAGAAAGAATATTTGATAAAAATTTTGTAAAATTACTATGTAAATGAAACAAGCTATTTGAATAATTATCACAAATCTTAGTAATAAAATCATTATCACCTAATTTGAGCTTCATTTACATAATATATGTTATCAGTATAGATCTATTTTATAACATTTAATTTTAAAATTTATTAGGTATAAAAAAATTTAACTTTTTTAAATAGACAGGAATGGTTGTAAGCCCGCGTTAGCCTTATAAATTAAAAAAAAACGTAAATTTTCTGATGTTTTAATAGTTATTCTACTGTTCGGACCGGAGACAAATCCAACAAATCAAAGATCATAAAAATCGGTAAATTCGCTCTTGAGTTATAAACAGTGTAACTAGTCTGACTTTGTTTTTGTACACATGTATTATACTAACAGACCCGGCAACACATTGCTGTGGCACACTTATAATTTGTTCAATATGAAAATGAGAATCAAATAAATAAAGTAAATAATCGGCATAAACCCTATCCTTTCTTTTAAGTTGGAACAAATCACAAATTAAAAAAAAATACGTCAAGATCCGATGAGTAGTTTCGGAATTCATCGCGGACCAACATCGTGACACCGATATTTTATGTAAGTATATATTAAGATAGATACACCAAGCTTTGTTAAAAATTTATAGCTAATCACTGGCTATTTTTAATGTGTATTAAAAATAAAGCTACTTACAAGCAAAAGTAAAATCGTGATCCGCATTTTCGACAAATCGTATTTTCATTAATATTCGTTCGTCACTGAACCAACTACTCAGTTGAAGTCGTTCGTTACTATACTCGAGAATTCATTAAGGCTACATTTTTATACATGGCCTAACAATATAACAGATAAGATAGATAATGCCTCAAAAGATAAGTGGCAGAGACAAGAATAAACAAAATGTTTTCGCATAACTGACTCACAGTAAACACTCATTAACGTAAGACAAAATGAAAGAAAGATATAAACAGCCGGATGTAATCATAATGCTAATACTGCAGAGGAAATGAGGAATTAAAAGTAATTAATTAATTATTATGAACTTTGAGCATTTCATATGTAAATAGTAATTACTTAGTGCTATAATAACATCATTTATAATTATTTTATATTATACCTACTTTATATTTTAACTATCACCATTTATTAATTAATATCAATTATTTATAAACAAACCAATTTGTAGTGCACATTGTTAACAAATATAAAAATTCTAATAATCTTGGTAGTTAGAGATTTCATGATATGTATTTAATTTGCTTAGATCTGAAAATTTTAATGCAATATACCTATATAGATTTATTTTCTGCACGCTTTACCATATTATATACTTCACTAACAATGAACTATGTAAGTAAAGTTCGATTTATTTTTTTACTCCAAACTAATCCTAATAACTCTTTCCTATCTAATTTACAAAGTTATAGCTATTCCATTACTTTTTTATTATATTGGTTTTATACTAACAAAATATTACTTACAGTAGCGTCATAAAATGAATATTATTAAGAGACTAGCGACTCACATTCGCTCCGCTCGGGTTTGTCCCTACTTACGTTTTAACTTTTTAGTATAGATTTCTCAGAGATGAAATATTTTCCCGCAGTAAAAAGTATCCTATATGTTGACCCGAATAACCAGCTATCATCATACCAAATGTCATCAAAATCTATGCAGTGGTTTTCCCGTGATGCGGTAAACGACAGACAGACAGACAGACAGACAAAAATCCTAAAAACTATAGATTTGGGCTCTGTATGGATAATAATGTCTATTTCAATAAGATTTTCCAAAAAATATTTAATGTACAGATTCGGCTTGGTTACAATTTTATTATATGTATAGAATTTACTTTATAGCTACTATTTACTAACTTAACTCTTAATTATAGTTTTAGTATTTCTACTATAACTAAATGTTACCTAAATATTACGAGTACATATTACGAGTATATATGTACACGTAGAAAGTAGAGAAATTGAACAAATTAGACAGAAACAACTATATTTTTAATTTAGACTCTTATACACCCTAACAATGTTCCATTAAATGATTCTCGAGTTATCTTCAAGGAAACAGACTAACAAAATTACTGGCTGACTTTTATTAATTCCATTATAAATATAGTATTAATTTTTTTTATAAGAAATTAGTGATTTCTGTAATTAAACATAGAAACAACATTTTTCTACACTTACAAATAATTAAAATATTAGGTTTATTAATATTACCTGTATTTACATTAAAAAAATTAATACCTACAAAAATAATACAATTCAATCTTCTTACGCACAATTTTAAAATTTTATATATAAAAACAATTTGTTTTATGTAATAGGTATTTAATTTGGGTGGTAACAATCAAAAGAATATTTGCCAATAATAGATGAAAACGCTGTTTAATATCATTTCACGAGGAAAAGAAAAAAGATATTTCATTTCCTTCGTTCTGTAATACAAATTCTTTTTTACAAGCCTGCTTTGTCATAGAGATGAATAATACAAACATTCACAGAGTGGAATACAACTACATTGTAATGAAATTTCTAAGCTTTTCTAGTAACTTTTCTTAGTTTTACGTGTAGGTAGGTACGTGTTTTATCTTGATTTCAAATTCTAGATTTAATGCTGTAATAAAAATTTCTCCTTCACCTTTCTACGTTTGCTCCTCTGTAAAGCTAGATATGATTTTTTCAACAATTTTTTAAACTTCAGAAAAAGTAGGCGTTACTCAATTTGGTTGTTTTTTAACCGATTTATTAATCGATTTAGAAAATTCTTTTGTGTTTGAAAGTGTATACTTCCAGTTTGGTCTCATTTAAATTTGATAAAAAAATACCACCCCTAAAAGTGGAAAAATAGTTATAGTAGTCTCTCCCGTGACCATGATTGCTGTAAAGCATTCGAAATGTCGGGAACCAAAAATCTAAATAAAGCCGCGAAATAATCCGAAAAGATAGTTTTATTTAAAATAGATTTCAGAGCCTGATTTTCAGTATTACCTACTAATAAAAGCGAATTTTAATTTGTCAGTCTTCATATAAAAATTGGCATCAAACTAACTTAAACGGCTTAAATATTTTATTAAAATACTTTCTTCTTACTTTGCTACTACAATTTCTACACTAAAAATGGAGAAATAATAATTAAAAAAAAGTTGACTTCAAAACACTAAAAAGTTAAAAATAACTGAATGGAAGTTTTCTTTTAGTATACATAGATACTTAATCAAATATTTTCCAAGTCAAGACAAACGATACAATTAATAAAATTGGGCACTAGTTGGCGGTATACATATAAAAATGAACATTTCTTTGTATGTTTGTCATCCAGGCATTCCAAAACCATTCATCTCTAGTGATGCACATGAGTGAAGCAAGTGTAAGTTGCCACTAATATCATAAAACAAAAAACATCTATAGACGCACCCGAGCGAAACAAGGGTAAAGCAGTAGTAAAATATAAATTGTTAAAGTTAATATATATCAACATCTATTGCTAGAGAGAAGATTCAGGGAAGTAGAAATATAAAAATCGGTATAACTCCTTTAAAGTTATACCAAAAATTTCGCAATACATATATTTGAGATTTATCTCAAGCTTGGATCATTTTTAAGTATTGCCTAAATATTTACAGCCCGAAGGCTATTTGAAATTACGCAACACTCGGTAGGTTTCTGAATTTAAGAACTTATCGCGTAAATTACATTGTCTATATACACTATCTATGTATTGTTTCTTAAACAGCGGAAATGCCATATTAAAATTCCTGGTATAACAATACCTTACAAATGAACTCTTACTAATTAGCAATTCAAAAGTTTGTTGGGACATTTCGTTGTTTCCTTTATACAACTACTAGCAGAACCCGCGGCTTCGCTCGCGCTAAATCTATAAAAAAATCTCTAAAAAGGTAGTTTCATACAACCTTTCATCCCCTATTTTACCCCCTTATAGAATGAACTTTGAAAAATGCTATAACACTTATTTATTTAATTGTATTGAAGAGCATTAATACCAAGTTTCAAGTAATTCTGATCATAAATAATGTTTTGGGCTGTATTATAACGTGTTTTATCGGAGGAATGAGATAATCTCCCGCGGTAATATGTAGCCTATGTCACTCTCCAGTCTTCCAACTATAACCACACAAAAAATCACGCCAATCCATCACTCCGTTTTGACGTGAAAGAAAGACAAACAAACACACAAACAAACACACTTTCACATTTATAATATTAGTATGGATGTACCTATGTAGTAATAAAGTCAACGTTATTTTTAGCATAGTATCTCTATTTTATGTGCCAATTTCAAGTGGTTTTAAATATTATATAACGTGCTATTATCACATTATCTAAGCCCAATGTAATAATTCTTAATTGAAATTTTCAATTTTATGTATTTCGAAGTGCAGTACAGTGCAGAATGTGTAGTCTGCTCTACGTAAGATCGCCGGTTGACAAATGATCGACCTGGCTCAGTTAAGAGAAAAACATGATGTCACTAAACTTCCAGTGAGCTGCTTATCTCTTAGTTATTTGAAGCCATTAACAAAAAAAAAATAATTGAATCTCTCAGCAGACAAATTGGATACCGAGGCAACGTTTCGATATAATCTTTTTACTAAATTATTCAAAAGCAATAGAAAAAAAATACAGTCGAATTGAGAACCTCCTCCTTTTTGAAGTCGGTTGATAATTAGAATAACAATTTATCTCAATGTAATCACAAGTTATTTGCATAATACGTATTTTATGACGTTTTTCTTACATCATCATAAAAATGTAAAGGCAAATGTTATTAACATTTTTCTAAGGAAAATCATACTTTCCTAGTTTAAAATTGGACTCAGATTCATCGTCAACTTAGCTTGCGTAATTATTTTATAATACAAATCTCTTTTTTTTAAATTTCCTAACCATATATTATGGTATGGTATGGTATGGTATGGTATGGTATGGTATGGTATGGTATGGTATGGTATGGTATGGTATGGTATGGTATGGTATGGTATGGTATGGTATGGTATGGTATGGTATGGTATGGTATGGTATGGTATGGTATGGTATGGTATGGTATGGTATGGTATGGTATGGTATGGTATGGTATGGTATGGTATGGTATGGTATGGTATGGTATGGTATAAACGGGCTTGTTTCCGCAACTCGACGTCTGCGCGCCTATTTTGCGTGTAAAAGCATATATTAATAAGCCTTTTTAAATTGTTAACTTATTCCTGAAAAAAGTATTAAAATAACGTAAAATAGTTTAAAAATATTAATATTAACTAATATTATATTGTTTATGTAAACAATTTCATGTCAAAAGCAAAATGTTTGTATGCTGGTGGATCGCTATCACGTTGCTTGTCGGCGAAAACAAACAATTATTGCGTACGACCAACCTTCATTACAACTAACGTGATAACAATAAACTCAATTCTATACATTTATTAAAAAAATACAATTTTATAGTAATTTGAGATAATATGTTAACAATACCCAGTCGAATTGAAATTTAGACACTTTTTTACTAGATTACATTCCATAATCTAGCATTAACGAAGGGATATATTATAATTAACCATTATTATCAAAGATATTTCATTGAATCTCTCGACGGTGCTCATTACAATATTAAATTCTGGCGTAGCAAAAATCACCTCTAATATAAGCACCCTAAAAATCAGATACTAAAAAAAGATAATGAAATATGTACGAGTAAAATTCCTGTTATTTATAGGTATGTCTTGACGCCTTCAATTATAAAACGGAAAGAAAATTTAATATACACTGAAACCTTAGTCCTTCAACAGAAAAAATATTTTATTCAACAGAAAAGATATTTTACATATCGAAATATATTAGATTTGCTTTGCATCGGCTGGCACCGACTTCGAAAATAACTTATTAGGTATCTATTCTAAATGAAAACCTCCGTTTGGTTATTTTTTACATTTTAATGCCTGGAAGTAGGTTTTTTTAGTAAAAAAAAATATTTTCCATTTAATTTTCTTCTATACAAAGCTTGTCCTGATAATAACAATCACAATAGAATTATCTAATTTGGTGCAGTCGATCGGAAGTTACGCGCGTACCTACATTTCGGTGATCCATTTTTATTTATACAGAAGATAGATTATGTTCATCGATGACAGGGCGACCGATCTGGCCAGGTTATATTATATTCTATTAAAATTTATTTGACCTGAGAATAAGGACATAGAGATTTTTATTTGATATTGATAGAGTCACCATTTTGGAACATGATTAGAAATAAAGATTAAATTTTAAGTATGTTAACCAATCCAGTATTTTTTTAACTTTTAATTGCCGTACAGACTTGAAATTTTGCATATGTAATTGCTTAATCCCGGTGACAGTACAATTTAAATCAAGCTGATATTTTGACGATACTACTACCTGCTAATAAAAGTTTTCAAGTTAGGTTATTTTGCCTAAGCAAAATTAAGTATCTAAATAAATCACATTAAATGCGTTAAGGACAAACCCCAGTTTTTCAGCATTTTTTAGTTTGGTAAAATATAAATTATTATAAGAGCCAATAATTAATTTTTATCTACTGACTATCATATCTAATATTGTGGTCATTTATAAGAGAAATGTAAAAAGAGAGGTCTGTATTCGTGTATATTTTTAATGCATGTTCATCGGTTTCTTGATCTATCTGGCTAAAGTTATAGTTTAGTAAGGTTGAGTTGAGCGTTGGCTGGCACCAAATGCAAAAATACCTAATCAGATAGTTACCTATTGAAAACGGAAAGCTCCATCCAGTCATTTCTTACTTTATTGCAGTTACCGTGTACTTCTAGGTTTACATTCTTTTTAATATATAATAATTTTCTCCAAATAACTACATGTACAATATACAAACATATTAATTATACTTTATATGTATTAATTATCTACCTACTTTGTGCTTATACATATTTATAACTTAATCAGATGTTAACGTATTTTTTATTGGAAGGGTATTAAGAATATGTATTTAAATTTAAATATATAGTAAAGAAGGCAGCGGTAACGCTCTTGCTTGAGAAACCAAGTGAAGCTTATTCAAATCTCAGATCTCGTGCCTGTGATATTTTCATGTGATATTTTCATTTTCGATGATGATCACTTGTCTTACGGTGAAGAAAAACATCGTGAGGAAACCAGTATGTCTGAGAGAGAAAGCAAGTTTTTGTAGTAACGTCAACATAAAAGTATATAAATAGTAGTAGGTATAACTTTTATTATTTTATATTTTTTTAAAGTACATATTTACATTAAAAAAATATAAAATAATAAAAGTTATACCTACTACTTTCAAACAGCAGTTTGAAGTTTGAGTTTACAAATTCTTAAAATCTTATTTTATTATTCACATAATATATGTATGAATTATTTTTTCGTCTAGAAAGCTGTAATCAATGAAAATATTCTAGAATATAGTAGCCTTTAAAATCAAACTTATCACATGTTAGTTGCTATCTATACTAAATTGGAGAACCCCCGCAATATAAATCGTTTATCTATTAAGCTCTGTTATCTGTTATTATATTCTAATTCCATTGGAAAAACCACGTTGTTGATATCTCGTTAGGTTGTACATTTATTATCCATAAACAAACATAGAAAGGTATAAGAAGTGAATTCAACAACAAGAGCCTCATAATTTTACTGAACACTTGATTTAGTACAAATATGGCTTTAAAGGTTGTTCTCGCTTTGTGCGCTATTGTAAGTATCGATTTATATACTGAGGTACAAAAAACGTCCAATTTCTTATAACTTATCTATATAATATATTTTTTCTATTATTCATATATAGGTAGCAATCGCAGCAGCAGTGCCTGCTCAATCTGGCTGGCCCGGTGCTGAGGCTGGTGGTCCACCAGCTGTAGGAGCAAACCCATGGATTCCACCATGGATTGCCTCTGCCCCATGGTTCCCACGATGGGTACCATGCACCACTGTCGGATCCGCCTGCCTTGACTGCTCAACCAAACTTGTATGCACTAAAATAGGTGGTATGCAACGCGCCTGCAGTGACCCGACATTGCCATACTGCAACCTAGGAGAATGCTCCGCCACGCCATCAGCTGAGTGCGCAGTTCCCGCAGATCCCGCTGCCTAAGTGATTTTGTTTTTCTTATAAGATGATACAAGCTGTGACTGAATAAAATCTCCTAAACTATACCGTATGAACTACCTTACATGTAATCAATTTTCTTTAAATACATATGTATAAAAATATATATTGTAATAAAATTTAATGTATTTTATTTATTGTTTTTCTCAACCCTTCTTTTTTTTAATATTTGTTTTTATCTGAATCGCAATACTAATTAATGTCATATAATCACTTTATTTATAAGAAAAAAGCCTGCTGTGCATCATCTATTGTTTAATTGTTTATATCTTCCTTTTGTATATTTATTTGTGGTGTGCAATAAAGCATCTATCTATCTATCTATTTATCTATCTATCTATCTATCAATCATAAAGTTCGGTTGGCAATTCGACACAATCGGTGAGAGATCAGGCTTAGGGCATTACGTATGTTCCGACTCACGGAGGTGTAACTTTCCGTGCTCTGAGCCTACTGAAAATTTCTTAACAGAAAATCCCCTTTTCTCAAGACAAAAACTACACGTGGCATAACTACACTTGAGACTCAAACCCGAGACCTCATGCTAGCCTCTTAAAACCAACAACTTTTGTCTCCTTAGCACTATTCTTTAAAGTTTTTGTTACTAGGTCGAAAGAAATCGTAAGAATGTCGTCAATATAAACATCGAAAATCAATACGGAGTCGATCTCGAAGATTAGGTGCACCGTAAAAAATAAACGGCTATTTTTCTTATTTTTTTGAAATGAAAACTTCTATAGGCAGGTTTGGATGGGGACTAAATTAATGTAAGCCGTCATCGACATGGTCACGTGACGTGTTAACGCTAACACTCTAAAGTGCCCATAGATGTCAAAACCAGATAAATGTAAACAGATTTAGTTTACACATTTTAATTTAAAATCAAACAATTAATTTGAATATCCAAAAATAACAACTGTTTGTTTATAGTTTTAAGTTTTCACTTCTGTCAGCAGTCCTCATGACTGCTTATTTTCTTAATGACCATTTTTTTTAATAAAAATATGGGTATTTTGTATATTTTTATAATTTGACATTAACAAATAAATTTTATACTTCTAATCCATTAATCAATTTTCATTGTTGCATTAATAATAATTACTAATTGGCTTATTATAATGATAGTAATAAAATCAAAATGTATGAATAGTAAAGTAATTAAACACTGTTTCGGCAATACACAGATGTTGCCAGAACAAACAATGTCATTAATTATCTTCATACTGATAACACAGTACACATAATTTTTATTTACATACACTTACCTACACATGGCTATATTCTAACAATTTCGAGTTAGACAGAATAGTATTAAAATGTTTAAATAACTAAATAAAAAGTTTATGTACAAAGCAATCTTTCGCGACATTCTAGGCTGATGCGAAAAAATTATTGATAGAAAAAACCACAAACCTCTAAAACCTACGATTGTGCACTATTTTTCAGGCATCTGTTAATTTAATTCTAGATACATTTAGATAAAACAAGAATAAAACCTATGGAATACGAGTAGAATTAATTTTATATCCAATTTTATTGTACGTGATATAACCTTTAGGCACTTCGCACCCACAAATTGGTGATAGCGCACTTAAAAACGTACACGACTAGTGATGACTCAAAATGAACACAACCCTCGAGATTTTGTAAAATGATTCAGTAAAATTAATTCACACTTTTATGTAGCCACATATACCGAAATCTTTTTACAAGCTTTTATTTAACTTGCAATATTTGTATCTATGTTTGTTCGGGTCAAATTTTGCAACTGAATTTAAAAACAGTTATCCTCAACGGATTGAGCTGAAATTTTTCATACACGTAGATACGATTTACAGATGAATTTATAAATAGCTTGCTTCATAATACAAACTTTCATCTCGATTTTCACCCCCTTAAGGAATGATTTCCGAGATAAAACGTATTCTATGTCCTTCCCAGGGTCTCAAACTATCTTCTTGCCAAATCTCATTTAAATCGGTTGAGTAGATCCAGAGATTACCTCATACAACGTACAAACACAAACTCACAAATACAAACTCACAAACACACAAACTCACAAATATTATAAAGAGGTAGTCTTTATAATATTAGTATACACAATGCATGGTTAGATAAGTGACTTCATTCAAAATCCATCATGGCGGACTCCTGACGATGGCGGACTAAGTTTTTTTATGCACCCCAATGATATGGATATCAAATGAAAGGATTTGTTGAGAAGAATACGATAAAAAACCTAAAGAATAAAAAAATAACTTTAAATTAAATCAAACCCATTTATTACATTACACAACTTATATGATATAAAAATAGTTTTAAAAATGTTTTTTTAATATTAATGTATTTAATCGATAAAAAACTCCTTCATTCATACATTATGATTACATCATGTAGGTATACAAGCATCATTAAACTTTCATTTATTCTTATTTACTTTTGGCTTTGGAATTCAGGCAATGAAATATAGAAAACAATTTAGATGAAAAAATATTGAAACAAGGGCTTACGTCATTATGTCTTGTAGCGAAAAGACATGAGCAATCGTTAATTTTTAAATATTCCATTAATTACTACAGACTTGAATGAACTGAAATAAACTTGTATGCAGCCCTTATTTTACGTTCCACTGCTGAGCACGGTGGGCCCGTGGAGTAGGCACCTTAGGAGAGTAGTTGGCGGACTTCACATGTCTTTGGAAAACTTGGTAGGTTCTCACAGACAAGCAGGTTACACGTTGAAAATATCTCAGATATAAAAATATCAGAGAAGGTATAGAAATCATATTTGAACCCGCTTCACTCGGTTTCCAAAGTGAAGGTGTTATCACTAGGTGTAAGTGAATGGTGAAATAGGTAGCATTGGTATACAAACTATCTAAGATTAAGAAAAGAAAACTCAGAGAAAAAAGGCTATTGCATTCATTAATATGTACCTACCTACTAATTAAAAAGGAACACTTTTAAAAACAAATCTTTTTTTATTTACATACTAAATTAAATTAACTATATAGTTGAAAGCTTTTTTTGCTGTTTAATTTTGATTTTATTTCCGACGTTCTAAGTTCATCACAGCAAACATAGTCACGGGAGAAACAAAGTTTTCAAAGTTACAAAAATTATTACAGAGGGATATTAAGAAATCGCACTGAAATTTTTTAACTGTTTGGGAACTACGATGCTACAGACAGACAAATTGACAAGTTAAAACAACCCTCGTTTTTTGTCATAGGCTAAAAACAATGTTGCAGAGTCGCTTATGTCTTACATGCAAAAACGCCTTCAAAAAAATGTAAATATTTATAGTGACACTTCTCTCTGACACGACGTAAAAATATGATGTGAACTTTCTATACCTACATTTCCATAGCGACGAAAAGCGAGTAAGCATAATATGTTACTTCCTCTTTATTATTAAAAAAAAGTGCAACGATTCTTGGCGATAATTTTTAACTAATGGCTTTATATACTAAGTTTTAATGCATAGAACTACTAAAAACGCGTAGTTCGTATAATAGGGATTTTAAATACGTATGTATATTTACCTATATATGCTATATTTACCTTCTTTAATAAATGTACAAATGGAAAGATATTTTAAAACCCTGAATAAATATAAACTTTAAAACATGTATAATGTTGCTTTACTACATGTTCTTGTATGAAAATGTATAATCCGTGTGTATTAGCTGATGTATGCTACACATTTACTTGAACAAACTGCGCGCCGCTTTGCATAATGCCGAATAGCAACTTACACGAATACAATATATTATACTCGTAAAAGAATTAAAAAGAAATTTAGTACGCCATTTGGTATTCTGATACAGCCACATATGTATATATTATTAAATTATAACCCTTAGATTTCATAAAATTATTCTAATATTTTAAAGCTTCGTTGTGAGTTTGTTTTGTCAAATTTGAAAAATTCTTAACGTATTCGTAGCGTAACCTGAGTAATATGTAAATTCGACGCATCCCACGATTTTATTTTAGTCCGATCAATGCCCTAGACTGACAAGGAGAGTGGTGTGTTGACTGATACCTGATACCTACCTAATTATCTTTTTAGCTTTTAGTTCATCATCTGCATCATTATTATGTTTCTTTACAATAAAACCCTTTAAGTTATTTTTTTTACTTTCATTTATTGAGGAAGGTTAAAGCTGACTATTACCACTATACGATGCTAAAGGAAGGACCAACTTATACATAAATAAACTACGCAAGTGGAGCCGTAGGAATAAGTTGTAACGACAACACATACGAAATAATCAATGTCAGAAAGAAAATATGAAAGTATGGCAACAACTAAAAGTAATTTATGGTCCGAAAAATGATAAACTAACTTTCATCCCTATACATCAAATAGATCCTTTGGGACATGGCTATGAAACTGGCGAAAATAGATATTTTAAGGATCTTTTTTATTTGAATCCTTTATAATACGCCGTTCTGATCACATTTACTTTAGTTTTTATATTTATTACGTCTCTGAAAATATATTTATAAATATGATGAACATATAACGTAGTGTTTCATTGAATTGAACTGATGTTTCTGCTGAAAATAATAAATTTTCCGCTGTTGATTACGCTGTGTAGGAAAACCCTACAACGCGAACGTGATTTCCTTGTTTGCACTTTCTCTACGGGGGATAGTTTATTTACACAATTGCAGAGTATAAAAGCTGTGTTCATAGAAAAACAATCTATTTCACAAATCAAAGGATGGCTGCGTTTAAAAATCTCCTTATTTTTCTAACACTGGTAAGAAATTTTCAATTACTAAATATGTAATATTAAAAAATATTTATAATATCTATAAATTATGAGTAGGTATTCTTATTTCTTACATCTATACATATATGTAATAAAATTCTGAGTCAAATCTGTGCAATATTTTTTTTAAATCTTATTGAAATAGTCATTATTATCGATACACACGCCAAATTTATAGTTTTTAGAATTTTTGTCGGTCTGTCTGGGGACGTATCACTAGAAATTTTGATAAAATTTGGTATGATGATAGCTGGTTATGCGGGTCAACATTTACTGCGGGAAAATATTTCATCTCTAGTAAATCTTTACTAACCGTTAAAACGTAGGGACGAACCTGAACAGAGCGAGGCTGAAAATTCTGAAATGATTTTAAATTTTGAATTGCTAGCTTACATTCAATAAAAACTTATCTTCGGTTGGATTGTTTTGAATAGAGCTCAAGAAGCGGTCTAGCGAAGCAATTTTTCCAAGTATATTTACGTAACCTACTAACATTTCAGAGCATCATAATAAATGTTTGTTCGGGCCAAACGGCACAAGGTGGACCGCATACGTCACAAGGAGGTGCTCATGAAAATCAAGGAAGGTTACGTCGTGAAGTACTTCAAAATGAAAACGGTAATATGGACCAAGCTTCATTACAACAAAATCCAAAAAACTGGACAACATGCGATATAACATTTTCAACAAAGATTTCTTGTCAAGACTGCAGCACGCGTCTCATCTGTAAGCCAATTGGTGGCATTTTGGTTTCTTGCAATAATCCGAAAAGGCCTTATTGCAACAACGGTATTTGCTCCGCTGTACCAAGTCTCGACTGTGTTTAAATAAAAATAAAATTATAATTTATTGGCTACATGTAACTATATAAATAGAAAGAAATATATATCACCGATTAATTTTGACGTAATAGGTTTTTTTTTGACTTCTATAAATCAATAAATTTTAATCAACATAGTTTTTGTTTTATTTATACGTATTTGTATTTTAATAATTATTATGTACATCTGATACTATGGCTCAACGATTTCTGTTAATTTCATCTAAAACTTCTCACCATCATATAATGCCTCCAAAATTACTTATTACGAACAGAATATTTTTTTATTTTGGAAAAGTATGTAACGAGCTTTGAAATATATTTTACAAAAAATAAGCAATAAAATTAGACATAGTATTATACAGATATATATAAAATTGAAGTGTCTGTTTGTGATGTCAAAATAATAGCTTTTATATGAAATTATATACGGTACTTCTGTCTGTCTGTCTGTTTGTTCGGGCTAATCCCCGAAACGGCTTGACTGATTTTAATGGGACTTTCACTAGCAGATAACTGATGTTATAAAGAGTAACTTAGGATACTTTCATTTTAGAAAAATAAATAGGGTTCCGTTAAAAAAAATTTAAAACGCACCGAGGGACGCGAGCGAAGCGATGGTAAGTAGCTAGTTGTATAATATAATAAATAAATCTTCGTCAATATGTTAGCAACACTTCTATAAAAGAATGCAATTAAGTTACAGTTTATAAGAGTTGTATAAATGTTGGTGTTTAATGAAAATTCCTCGCCTGAGTTACGTCAATGATATCTTACGACCCTCGTCAGCTAGGAAAGGCCTCTCCAGTAAAGAGGTGAGGGAAATATATGTTGACCTTAATACTTATGTGCTTAGAACATCCAACCTTTTATTACGTGGTTATTCTACTTGAATGAATTTAGAATTTATACTTAAATTCTTAATATACATTCTCTAAAGTACTCTTTGGTTGACTTTAACATAGTAGTAGGTTCTACCACTAAGTGCCAACGTATTAATTACAGGCTATATGCAAATCAAAAAACTCATAAATCATACATAGTAGAAACATATATAAATTAGTATGAACAAAACGTATCCGTATTACATACAAAAACACAATTTAAAGTAAGGTAACAAATACCGAATTATAAATTAAAAGATAGGACAAAATATAAAAAACAATATATAAGCTAAGCAAATATTAATTCATATTACATCATACATAAATAATTTCTAAACTATTAAACTGAAATTATTGAATTACTAGCAGAACCCGCGGCTTACTATAACTACAAAAAAACTCTAAAAAGGTAGGTTTCATACAAACTTTCATGCCTTATTTTATCTCCATATGGGAAGAATTTCAAAAATGCTAAAACACGCACTTATTTAATTGTACTGAAGAAAATTAATACCAAGTTTCAAGTATTTCTGATCATAAATATTTTTTGGGTGTTTTCCCATGGGAATGAGATAATCTCCCGCGGTAAGAAGTAGCCTATGTTACTCTCCAGCCCTGCAACTATCTCCACACAAAAAATCAGGGTAATCCGTCTTTCCGTTTCCACGTGAAAGAATTATAATATTAAGTATAGATAATCAGGCTCTTTACATGCCATTCACTACATAAATATAGTTATATAATTTACCCGATAATTCTACTTTTGCCTTTGTTTTCCATGTAACTAATTTAGAGTGATGCATGCACAGACGGATAGGAAAACAATGATTTAGTGACTTATTTTTTTGCATATATATAAATAATTCGAGGATAAACAATGTAGATTTTATAACAGAATTTTTCCAGACCTTTCCGGTACAGAATCCCGAAAATAATTAATTAAAACACTACACGAGCAAAATCAAGCAGTTTTCGTCGCAAACAGAAGCTATTTATAAATTGAAATAATATCAACTGTAGGAAAATCCGAACACCTAACAAACACATAATCAGCCTCACAAATATCATCCACTTGTTTACACATTATTATTTGTTTTCATCTGTTCTAGTTGTGCTATTCACTTTTATCAACTCTATATAGATCCATGTATCACGACCTCACGAGTTGTTTTGCCCTGTTGTATTTGTATGACGTATATTATATGAAACCGCCTTTATTTTAAAATTCTCTCTTGCACATTGTTTACTTTCGTTTTAATATCTCAGGGCTGAGATGATCTGAATATCATAAAAATTTAAAAATGTCACAATTTTCTTACTTTTTTACTCGAATATAATATACGCCTCAGTTAAAATTAAATTGAAAGCATTAGTTTTTCATTTTCATTTTTACTCAAAATGAATGTATTATATTTCTAAAATAAAATAAAATTCAGACTCGCACATGTCCTTGATTTATCCAATTTATTTTCTTTTCCACATGGCAATACGTATTAACCACATTACAGATAGTATAAAGCTGATATATTTTATTGCATATTTTTATTAGTATAAGCACATTTTAACACAATATAATTTTATTTTTATTTATTTTTTTCATTTTATTTTTATTTTACATACTTAGAGCACTTTTTAAGAATAATGTTTAATGTTATTAAAGTAAAATTTGTCAAAAATAGCATTCTTTAAAGTAGTTACTACTTACAACCCTACAGTACATTATTATTATAATTAGCATAAATCTTATTATGTATCAAGAGTATATAAAGTCAATCTAGTCTACGACTACAGCATCTTCCGGACCAGTTGTGCGAAGTAACCTTACACACAGATCATTTTTCAACACCAAAATGGCTGTAGGCAACGTAGTGTTTGCTTTCCTTACAGCGCTGGTAAAATTTATTGAAAATTCTATTTTATTAAATATTAATACATGAATTATTTTAAATCTCACCAAACTTCTCATTTACAAAGCAGTTTTTTTTTTGTTGTAATGGATTTTTTTGTTTCTTTTAGTTTGTTTTTTACCTAATTGTTTTATTTCGATTATTTTGAATTTAAAGTTGATACTAATTTCTATATAAATACTTCAGGTAGCTGTAAATTTGATTTTTGCCGAGGAGAGTTTACTACCAGGTGATGTCGCATACGATCAAGCTTATGAAAACTATGAGCGCGAAGAAAGATCTCCCAAAGAAGATACTGATGAAGTGCAACAGGAAAGAACTTTCTTCGCATTATTGAATATGTATTCCTCATGTAACTTCACGCAGGTATGCTATTAGTACTCACTTTTTTTTATGTAGCATGAAGGCCACATTGGGTTTTAAGGTTTTTAATTTGTTAACTTTATGTCTGTAGAACTTTAATTAAAACCTTGTTTAAACAATATGTCATAATATAAATTAAAAAAACACTTAAAAAGTGAAACAATATGATATAGTATTTATCTCGTCATTTACTAATTTAATACGAGTTAAAAATAATTACTCTTAGTGAAAACCTATGTACGAGTATGTATGTATATTATACATACGTACTTGCATAAAAGCGATATACCACTCACTGATTAAGCATGAAATCTGAATAATTATAAATGCTACAAACTTAAAATTTGGCAGGTAGATTTAGCTAAAAACTATTTTTGGAAATTCAACCCTTAAAAAAGAAGGGGTGGGAAGTTTGAATGAAATCGCGGCAAACTTCGCAAGGAAAACTACACGGGCAGATCCGCCGCCTAATAGTAGTCTAATAGATTTTTTATTGAATATGTTCAGGGCGGCACCTACTGCGCAAGTTGCACACAAGCCATCCGCTGCTATCCAAGCAACGTAGGAATCGTGCGCAACTGTCGAGGTCTCCTGCGGTACTGCAATGGAGGAAGATGCTCCTTGTATCCTGGTGCACAATGCAACTCTGGCTAAATTTAACAGAATAAATGTAATTATAAATAAACAAAAGATAATTAAAACACTAAAAACTGATACTATTTTATCAAATAACGCAAAGTTTTCTTCTTACAATAATTACGAGATTATTTTTTTACCATATTCAGCTTCCTATAAACGTTATTTTTATTAAATTAAAAAATAATATAACGATAGAACGTAACCACACAAACAATAAAAATCAAGCTTGTTGGGAAAGTAGTTTTTGCTTATATAAAATAAAATGTACTTAAGACAATACTTCCTTTATTTACCAATTAAGAGTAAGAGTTTTTTCGAGTACAAAAGAATACTTCACAAATTGAGTCAAAAGTAGTATTAATTTGTAGAAAAAATATATTTTATAAAAATAAATTGTCATTATGCAATTTAATATCATTTATCAATTATGTAATCACTGTTTGATATAGAAAAAATATGTTGGGACATTGACACACAACACCATCTAGTTCCATGGTAAGCTACGAGGCTTGTGTTATTGATAACAAATAGTTATACACTACACATATATAACTTTAAATACATACATATTATAAATATAAACACTCATGACTGGAGTACAAATATTCGTGCTCATCACACAAATTAATGTCCCCAGCGGGACTCGAACCCGCGACCGCTGGCACAGCAAGTAGACCACTACAAACTGAGCCAAACGTGTCGTCAAAAACAATCAATAGAAGTTATCAAACATTTATGAAATTTTATATCCTGATAGGTATAGGGGCAGAAAACCATATGTCCTAGTAGGCTAGTACTAAATAAATTAATATAATTTTGCGTGAGTAGGGAAGAATAAATAAAAAAATAATATAATTGATGGTACTTATTTATTTACAGTAAATAGGACTCTACTTGATTAAATAGATGCCTACAATATCTTAAAATATATAATTACTAAAACTAGAAATTTTGAAAGAGTACTACAGTATAAAGTTTTCAAAATTATTATCTTAGTGTGGTCATCGAAAGTTGCCCGCTTATTGTCCAAATCGTAGAGAATGTAAAGATTAAAATGGAATATATTTATTGTAAAGCTTTAAGCTTAAAAGATATTTAAAATTTTATAGATTTTATAAAACAATTAAGTAATTTATTTGTCAAACACAGCTAATTCTAGTCAGCAAAGAGACAACTCTTCGATATGTTATACCCAAATAACTTTTTTCATCACAATTCTTTATTTATATTTTTTGGATTTAATTTCATAATATAATAAGTATGTATAACAGCTTTTGGTTCAAGGAACAGTAATAAAGTTTGAGAGAATTTCAAAGTACACATCTAAATGACTAACATTTAATAATTTGTATCTATAATATTTAAATAGACACGTAATTTGCGATTGGCAATATGATTTTAAATTATATCTAAAATTACTTTATTGATCTGTTAGTCATGAATTGGCCAGTGTCGTTTTTTAATACCATCCGAATTCACCTTAACCGCTAGCCTATCAATTGAATTGCAGTCCTATTCCGTAATAGCAATAGACTATTTATTATATCTATTATCTTTTATTGTCAAAAATATTCATGATCCCATTTTCGTTCACATTTGGTTTTTTTTTTAATAACAATCTGCAAAACGGTTCATCTAGACAGACAGTATCGAAGCCCAAAATTAATGAAATATATTTACTCCAATGAATAAATGTTGAATACTTTTATTTTAGATACCATTTCAATAAAGTTCAGCTTCGACAGAGCCGAGTGACATTTGCCGCGGAAAATAATGAAATTAGTTTCATGATGGTACATACATTTTAATTTATTAAATTCCTCTGCGAAACGTACGAAAAAGAACGAGATCAAATATATCTACATTAATTTATACATTCATTTATGTCACCGCCATCGTAATGGTATCAATATCGTTCTCCAAGCCGGATGTTGCGGGTTCAAATCCCGTTCGTGGCAAATATTTGTATTGGCCATACAAGTAATTGTTACGATCTGTTTATATATACGTCACGTGTTCTGTATACTGTTTTAAAATTAATGATAAAGTTTAATTTTAAATTAATATTAAAATCTAAATAAATCTATTTGATTATAACTTCATGAAACCAATTTCTGAACTGTGGCTTATAATTATTTTATAAGCTTTCCTGCAGCGCCACCCAGCTTACAACCGCATAGCTACTGATTCTTACGACGACTCGGTAGACTGCTGTTGCGGTACGCCTTCCTCAGGAGAATATTGTCAACAGTAGGAAGCAGCAAGTACCTTTTTCCAGATGAATGATATGGGACTTTCAAGGATCTAAAATAATAAACTTTGGGGTTTTTCTGCCAGTGGTTTTTGGTAAATTCGGCGTAGTTAGGAGATAGTGGAGATTGAGGAAGGGGGGTATTTTTTAGAGGAGTGCTCGGAAGTTCATTGTTTAGTGGTCGGTGGAGGTACCGGCCGGTCGGGTGCGAGTGAGCAAGTATTGGCGGCGACGGTAGGTCGGTGTCGTCTGGATCGGATGCGCCAATTTCGGAATCAGAGAGATATTCCCTAAGAAAAAATAATAAATAGGTTTTTATTATAATAACTAAATTACTGCCGCTTATAGGCAACTAATTCGCTAAAAATGTTTATACAAAATAAATGTTTGTCTTCACACCGAATAGCAGAATAACTATTAAAATATCAGAAAAATTCACGGCGAGGGTGAGTCGCTAGTATTCTTATAAAACACGTAGTAAGGGGGAACTCAAGAGCAGAATATTTAAAAGCCACAAATCGAAATGAAACTTGCTGTTTGATTAATAAAAGAAGTTCTTTAACATCACCCTGCCATTGCGTTCATAGTTAAACGGATATGGACAGAATTGTAACAAAAATTGTTAAAAATATTACGTAACGATGTCTCTTACATTTTTTATATATTTTCTTCCAAAATCATTTAATAGGTTTACAGATGTTTACCCCACTTTTTATTAAAGTTATTAATATCTAAATTACTATAGAATAAAATAAAATATTTAATAAAAAGCTTCAATCACTTACCTAATCCCGAAATTCTCGACAGGGGAATGCTTCCTGAAAAAGTTAACTGATTTATATATCTGTTATTTTAAACACAAACTAAACCACAGAATATGACATTTAAACCAATACCAACTAAACATTTAACACACATCATAACTCCTATAACAGTGCAGCCTTTAAAAAGAGAATTATTGTTTATAACAAATATTTCTATAACAATTAAAAACTTTTTTCACAACAATAACTTTATCCATACATGCTTTTGTATCAAATATTAACCGGGTTGAGTACGATTTTTTAATATTAGAACACTGAAAGCCTGAACGTCAATACTAATTATGCATTTCTAAACATTTAACATGCGTCTATATCACTAATTATTTCATTTTCATATTGTCCTATATCAGCAGATACAACAAAAGAATTTTACAAAGTAATATTTGAAAAAAAAATGGAAATAAAACTCTTAGATCGACATCAGTTTAGGGCACATTCTCCCTGGTGTATGCTTTTTAATTTACTTTGTAAAACGCGTCTAATTTTATCCGGATACCTAAAGTCTCGTGATTAACAAAAGCGAAGCACACCGTATTTCCTAATCTATCTACTGAACGTCAATAACACATATTACAAGTGTATTCGAATATATAAACACCTGTAAAGTTCCTGACTAGGTAATAATAATCTGGCCCTTCCAGACCTACTATAACGGCCACCAGAAAATCTAAACGATGGTAATAAGCCTAACCGTGCCAATGAACCAATATGGCGTTTCTCAAAACTTTGACGCGCTATATCATCATCTGTATCTGCAAAAGATGTTAGTTCTGAAAATAGAATAAATGAAACATATTTCTTAAGAACGGTTTTATAAAACCTACAACTCACCTACAGATCGCTTATCTTGATTCTCGTTTTCATAATCTTCAGGAGTTATATCATTACTTTCGATCTCATCAGGAATAGAATAAATCGATCTTCTGTTTCTGTTACCACTTGTATTTATATAAATCGGTCTGTAAAGTCCATGAGCTGGCAATCCCACAGACCCCCTTTTAAGATACCAGTTACCATTCAATCCATTAAAATCGATGTTATGATGTTCATAAGCTAGAGGATATGCGCCATCACTTCGTTTATAAACTTGTGATAAAGGTGGAAGTATATCCGGGTTTACAGATTGCTGATAATCGTATATTTCATTAAAATCAAGAGGACCGTCCATTTCAGATAGTGGTGGTACCGAATTTTGATAAAATGGATAGTAATATTCATCACCCATTACTTCATCTTTTTTATGAATCAATCCATTGCGTGCTAAAGCTGCAATATTACGTTTGTCATTAGGTGGGTTATATTGTCCTCTACCAAAGCGGTAGCCATCTCGTGCTAGAGCCTGTACATTTCTTTTTATAGCCGCGAAACTGCGAAGTCTTGCAATCGAAGCTAAATTTCTTTTATCATGAGATCCATCATCATCTTGTTCCTGCTTATCGGTCTCATCGTATGGAGATCTAAATGTAGGAAGCTGCCCATTTTTAGCTAGTGTGGAGATACTCCTCTTGAATCCCAGAGTTGAACCTCTTAAATATCCATCTCTGGCTAAAGCTGCTACATTTCGTCGTGGAAACGTAGGCCAATTATTATCCGAGTTATCAAGGGGTAATCCTAGGACCTTTTATAGAAAAGTACAATTATATAAATACACGTATAATTATTAGATAATGAAATATATATACATTTGAAACTTACCGCGTCAATATAAAGAGAGTATGCCAAAACTAGTGTTGTTACGCTTATGAGAAAGCAATTGCTCTGCCTTCTGAGGCTTACTCGAGCGTAATTCTTCATCTAAAAATGAAATTTCTTCAAATAATCAATCTCAAAGACATTTATTACTTACTGAAACTAATTTATTTTACTAACTCAATTAATACAACTATTAAAGATCGCATTTAATAAACGTAGATTGTTTAACTTCCTAACTTTGAGTTAATTTATAAACTATAGAAACTTTGATATATAGAAAGCTAGAAATCATTCAGTAGAACGTTGTTCTTCAAATAACAAGAAACAAAGTTATAAGCATGTATCAACAGCCGCAAATTGAAGACAGTAATTGGCAGATTCGATTACAGGGAACGTGCACCGACGCGCACACCTGCGTCGCTAGCATTAAGTGAATATGCATCATGAACAATATGTGTATAGTTATTTTCCGCTTGCTACCTGAGTCTGACATTCTAGCTTTAATAGAAATTTTATTACGTTCAAGGTTTCTGCTTCAACCGATATTACTGCTCATGTAATTTTATTAGTTAACTAGCATTGCTCGCGGATCCGCCCGCTTTCAGATGACCAAAAACCAAATTCTTAGGTTTTACATATTAGTAGTTAGGTTTTACACATTGCAGTTTTTGTATTTTTTCTCAGAAATGAGACATTTTCCGGCGATAAAAAGTATCCTATATGTTGACCTGGATAACCTATCCTATAGCTATTATCATACCAAGTTTCATCAAAATCCTGTGGTGGTTTTTCTGTGATGTGGTAACAAACAGAAAGACAAACAGACAAAATTTCTAAAAACTATAGATTCGCCCTCTGTATCGATAATGATGTTTATTTCAATAAGATTTTCCAATAAATTTTTAATGTACAGATTCGGCTTAGTTACAATTTTATAATAGATATGTATAGATATAATATTCACGTTATGTTGTATTATTTATTTTTATGCAAACTTAGCTTAGCTAAAAAGATTATTTATACATATTTGGGTTTAAAAAAATAGGTATTTCATGTAACGAGATGTTTAGATTTTTGGCATTTCGTTCAATATATAACAAATGTAATATATTTGTGAAAAATATGATGACTACGGAACATTAGAAATATCAATTTCTACTAACTATAATATAATAAAAAAAATAGTTTTTATTTCTTAATCATTTTTTAACATTTTTGTGTTCGAGTCTTCCCAGTAAGTAATCCGGAGGATACTTGTGTTGGGAATGGCCCGCTTCTTCCCATATGAATAATCTATGATTAAGTTAGGATAGTTACATGATTAAATAGTATATATAAATATATAGTATATATATAGTATAAATATAATAGTATATATATATATATATATATATATATATATATATATATATATAAATAATAGCATTGTAATACAATATATTATATTTCAATGAATTGTAGAAAACAATTCACTTAAAACAATAAGATGTGGAGGCTGAGATCTTTACGGGGAAATGAAGAAAGTTTATATTATGAAATGAAAAGCGTAACGAATAATAGAGCTTGATGAAAACGCGACGGTTCATTTCAAGCAACGAAATGTAACTCTTTTTCTGTTTAACAGTACACTAAATATTTTTTTTATATTTAGAAGTATATTTTATAGTTTAGATTTGAAACTAAGAATTTATATGTGTGTGTATTCAGCTTAGCTATTATTAAGCCTTTTTAACGTCCTCCCATCAATGCGAGGGGCCATAGTCCACCACGCTGGCCAAGTGCGGGTTGGCGGACTTCACATGTCTTTTGAAAACTTGCTAGGTTCTCTCAGACATGCAGGTTTCCTCACGATGTTTTCATTCACCGTAATAATAATAGTAGGTGATCGATCATGTTAGAAATTATTCGCACAGGAAAATATCAGCAGTGCGAAACTCTAGATTTGAACCGTTTCACTCGGTTTCCCAAGCGAGCACGTTATCACTGGGCTACCACTGCCATGAGAATATTGTATCACGTAATTTTAAAATTTTTGTTATCTTTAACCAAATTATTACTCATGTTAAATGAATATACATAGATTTATTAAACCGCAGATATGAATATAAACGTTTAATGAAAGTTTGCACGCGTTACGTATACAACATAGTGGTTAACGCCGATATTAGCTGTTGACTATCAATGTAAAATTAATCTGTTACTAAAATTTAGGAAGTTATTTTAATATCCATAAAATCAGAAACACTGACCCGTTTTTGATTAAAAAAGATAAAATTAAAATAAAGCTTGCACAATTATTATACAGTGGTTTCTGTGTGCCATTTTTCTGCAAAATTCCTAACACTCTATTTAATATGCTTATCGATAGTCAGACTGGTTAATCAATAGGTATGAAAGTATTACTTAGTAAGTAAATAATAAGATTTAGGTGTAAGTTAATTTGCATGTACTCTAATAGTAAGTATCAATACCTTAGTTTAAATGCCATGGATGCCTCCATTTACTTTATAAAAATTTACGATATAACAATATCCAAATTGAAAAGTTTTCAAGTAGTAACAAAATTAGCATGTTTGTAAATATATATTCTTATTTAAATACGTAGAAATAATAATAATCATAAATTTAGTACGATTTTACAGTACCTATATGTTAGCATTTTGGTTATATAAGCTCATCTATCTACATAATATACGTTTAAACAAATATTTTGAAAATACTTTTATATACCTATAGTATAATTTGATTTTATAATAAACGCTAGCTGATTTGTCATAATTTAAATATGTAATTTATTTCATTTTAAAAACATTTACAATTTTTGAAATCAACCCTGTAAGGCTTCAGTATGAAAACTTGGTACTGAAGCATTACCAATTAAAACTTGGTAAAACGTACCAGCATTAGTATTATGTAAATAGAAATAAAGTGAATGAATTGCGCCATCTTAAAGAAAATCGGGTAAACTTAAAATACTGTGGTCCTTTTTTAATTAGAACAATGTAATAAAGCGCAGCGAAAATGGAGCTTATAATAAATTCAACCAATATATTATAGATATTTAAGTATATATTCAACGTACTACGAATATCGTTTTTTCATGTTTCGTTTTTGATGATAATTAGTAATGAAAAATATATAAAAATGAGTCCAATAGAAAAGCTAGAAGGAATAATAAAAGTTAGGATATTCAGTGAAGTTAAAAAAAAATTTGTTAAGTAAACTTATCAATGTACCGCGTATTTAATCTGTACTTTCATATTATTTATTTATCGTTTTAAATTCATCACCAAACATTTTTTTCTGACCGTAACCTGTTTCTTCATATTTTCGATTAAAGTGATTAAAAATATAAAAAATAGCCGCGGATGCTATTTGTAAACTATTTGAAATGAATCCAATAAATAATTAAAATAACTGTATATTTGCAATACAGGACTATATATTAGGAAATAAATATTACACATTTAATGTGTAATTAACAAAAAAAATAATTACAGCTTACTTTACGAATATAATTTCGCAATTAATATAAACATTAAAGTTTTTCTGTTAGATGTAAAACCGACTCAATGGTGGTAGCTACGTGTCTACGACATGCTACAACATTATATGTTCATCTTAAGAAAATAATACAATTATTTCACACTTACTTTACTTTTTAAGCCACTTTGACACTACTCAAAAACTTTTTATCTGTTCAAGTTTTTTAATGTTCTTAACTTTATGATCTTGGCGGGAATGATGCTGGAGGCAACAGGACAGAGCTTTTATACTAAGGGCAGTAACATAAAGCGCATGCGTGTACGGTAGGCAAAAGTTTTATAAAACTATTTTATCGAAAAATGTACCTTATTGTTCATTGAATAAAGATTTTAAACTTTTACTTGAAACCATTGTATGTAGGTGGAGATTCGCAGGTACTTACTGCACAATATGCACTCAAATTGATGGGCTCTTAGTGTACCGACATATTTAAATTGAGAGCAGGTGGGATTGCAATTATAATTATAAATAAACTAGCAGAACCCACGGCTTCGCTCGCGCTAAAACTAGAAAAAAATCTCTAAAAGGTAGTTTCATACAAACTTTACCACCTCATAGGATGAATTTCGAAAAATGTTAAAACATGTATTTATTTAATTTTAATGAAGAATATTAATAGCAAGTTTCAGTAATTTTGATCATATTTTTTTTGGATTGCATTATAATGTGTTTTCCCGTAGGAATTAGATAATCTTCCCCGGTAAAAGGTAGCCTCCAGCCCTCTATTTCCACACAAAAAATCACGCCAATCCGTCACTCCGTTTCGACGTGAAAGAAGGATAAATAAATAAACAAACAAAAAAACACACTTTCACATTTATAGTATTAGTATGGATAAATGTTCGAAGGACTTATTGAAGGTTGACATTGCTAAATAGATTGCTTCGCTAGATACATACATATAAATGAGCCTCTGGAAGGTAACGTATTTATTTACATTCTACCTATATATTTTACTTGAACTATTTGAAAAAGCGGTTTATTGAATTTCAATCACTATAGTTTTTATAAAATTGAGATAGTTTCAGATCATCAATCTTAAAACAACTAAAAAAAATAGTACGAACGTACCTTTGACTTAAGCACAGTAATCTTTAAAAAAAATAACTATCTCGTACGTAGAGTACTCACATTTCGCACGTAGAGTACTTTTCTTACTAAGTTCTCTAGTCTCAACTCTTACTAAAAGTATTTTGGACATCGCCATTTCAATTTAAGGTTTCAATTAACACAGATAATTATAATATCTCCTCTTCTTCTTCTCTTTTTTTTATATAAACAGCTCAAGAAAATCTAGCTCGTAAGCCATTAAAATAATGTTATTAAAAATGCATCATTTATTCTTTTCTTATCCATATTTATTAGCATAAGATATTTAAAAAAAAAAACAATCGTAAAAATAATTATCTGACAACTTTTCCTAGGTTATAATAGCCTCTTTAATTATTTTAAGTCCTAAACCTAAGCTTTAGGATTTATTCCTAAATCCTAAGCTTTAGAAAATCAAAAATGAAAGATGTTCACAATTTTTTGGCTTTATTTTTTATGTATGTTTATATACACTATATTTTAGCCGATTGTACATTGATTTAGATGTTTGTATTCTTATTGATTGGATATAGTAAATTGAGATAAATGGGAGGTATTTTTATTACTTTAGATGCATAAGGATTTTGAAGTTAGTTTTTATTCAATGTTTTGACTATGATTATTTATCTGTGCCATCTAACTGCAATTCATACTTCACTAATTTCATCATCAAGTAGAATGAGAATGGAATAATTATTTACCGTTTTTAACCACTTACGGAATAGTGTAAAATATTCCCCTAATATGCGTTCCCCTTGTCGTACTAGGGAAGCTCATTCGCAACCGGCAATCCAGCCGGTCGTAAAGCCAAAAACACGGCCCACTTTGGTGGGTGAAATAAAATGCGGATTTCTTCTGGTACTTCTCTGATAACAGAGTGGACCGTGGTAGCAACCATATGGTAGTAAATACGTTCTTTGCTGTAGTCTGTCTCAGCAGCAATATACTCTATGGTCTCAGCAGACCTGCCGATGGGGCGTCGTGGTTGAGTAGTAAGCGATCCTGCGGCGACCCAAGATTCCGTTTGGTTTTAGTTGGTAGTACTGACTTTTCTAGTCGGCGAGTCCCACAGAACAACCTATGTATTTGTAACTAGATGGTATGTGTTAAGTAGGTATTTCCCAAAAGTTAAAAAAATGATGTAAAATATTAAATATATTTTACTATTGCGGTTAGATAACACATAAAAAAACGATTTCTTTTAATCTTATGCTCCTAAATATAGATTTCTTCGCTTCTCTTTGAAGGATTATATATTTTCAATAAAAAAGTAATTAAATTTCTCATTTTTACGGAATTTTCAATTAAGAATATTATACTTTCGTTTACCATTTAGATATTTTTAGTCATATTACGTTCTATTTCAGTGGGTGGCTCGATGACGATTAATAAACTTATATACATATCTACCAATAATTTACCTATATAAGTAGGTACGATGGAGTTAAAAAGCAATATATTTTAAGGTATAATTGGAATCTATGCCCATCTTTTGATTTTGGACAGGTTTTATGCGAACTTTTAAATCTATGTATATACCTACTCGCTAGAGTTTACGTTTACGTTTAAGATAACATGAAATAATTTTATTTCCTATACATAAATTTGTATACCTACTTATCCAAACATCACATGTGCTAATAAAAACTTTATTATAATAAGTAATATTATAACCATAGAGAGAAACCTGAGTAAATCAAGACGACGACGAAACAAAACACCGCACTAATGAATAAAACTTTGACATTCCATTATTGTTTGTGTAGTTTCCATTAGCGCTGCGCCGTTCGTGTCCGAGTACTAGACATCTGAAAGGCGGGAGAACACAACAGGAAACTTTATACACTTCAATTTATAAGTATTCGCCTGAAATTGATAATGTCTTTGTATCTGAATAACGTCGACTATCTTTAGTAAAGCTTCTTCAAAAGTTTTCTTTGTCATTTATATATATAAATATATGTATTTTTATTTATAAATCGATTGAAATAGAACAAATACTAAATTTTAAGTGGAGCTTACCAACATACATTAGTGAAACTGCACCCAAATTGGTTAAGCCACTTCTGAGATTAGCGCGCACAAACGCACAGAAAAACAGACAAAAATTCTGAAAATCATTGCATTGCATCAATATAGATCCCCAATAATAGATTTTCTAAAATATCTTCCATGTAGAGACAGCGAAAAGTTACACTTTAGATTGTATTGTATTATGTATTGGCTTTATAACTTTAGCAATTTTTCACTAGCGCTTGCCTTTCTATCAAATAGGAGTTATTATTTTACTATTTAATCCACTGCCTCTAAAAACGATCTCTATTTCAGGTATTTGAAAAAAAAGCTCAAATTTGATCTCAAAGTTTTCATTACCGATTGAAATATAATATTTTCTCTGGTAGAAAAATTTATACTTTTGCCCCAAATCCTACATCAATAAATACTTATGTTATTCTGAAATATGTACCTAACGTATAAATAAGGTACATTTATATTTAACGTAAGTTTAAAAAAATTATATATTACGTGTAAAACCGCAGAAAAAACTTATAACATTATAAAGTTTTAAATTCTTGCGTAGACTAATGCAAAACGTGATATGCAATCTCTAGACAGCTCACATATCGTTACTGATTAGACGCGAAGGGAGCATCGAGTTTCCTTTGATTTATACATAAAAAATTTTACTAGAATCATTAGAAAAATGTATGTTATATACCTACAAAAAACATGCGAATATTTATTTCATAAAAAATTATGAAAGGTACCTGTCAAAAACAATAATTTTGTCGACTTATATAATTTCACTATGAATCTTTTGATTTGAATTTGTCAAATAAAAAAAATACATTCTAAACAACCCAATAGAAGCAGGTAGCGGGTTTAGATTGTTGAACTTATATTTTATAATGACTCTTTTATATTGACAAATACCTAATTATTAGTCGAATTTACTAAATCCCAATAACTATAAAAAAAACGTGTGTGTACTTATGTACGCACGTAAGAACTTATTCTTATTTTGCGTAACAAAACAAAAATAAGTAAAGATTTCATCACGTATGTCACAACTCTGTTTGTAAAAATAATGATAAATAATTAAATAAGATTACTAAAATAATAAATAAACCATATTATATATATGTTTATAGAATATCATTTAAGGGCAGAATATAATATTATATATCACTAGCGACTCATCCTCGCTCCGCTCGGGTTCCTCCCTAGTTATGTTTGAACGTTTAGTATAGATTTCTCGGTGATGAAATATTTTCCCGCAGTAAAAAGTATCCTATATGTTGACCTGGATAACCAGCTGTCATCATACCAAATTTCAACAAAATTTGTCCAGTGGTTTTCTCGTGATGCGGTCACAGACTGACAGAAATTCTAGAAACTATAGATTCGGCCTCCGTATCGATAATAATGACTATTTCAATAAAATTTTCAAAAAATATTCAATCTACAGATTCGACACATAGAATTTTATTACAAGATTTGTCACACAATAACAACGGTTACCATGGTAACAAACAGTTATCAGCTAACTACATCATGTCGCTTTCAGCTTACTTCGTCATGTCGCTTATTGGATGTCGGTGTGCGCGCGCATCGTAAAAAATTTTACTCTCATATTTTTTTCTAAACGTCCCAACAAAAGTATAAATTCAAAAATTTGTCGTCTTTATTTGTACGCATAAGGTAATTTTAATACTTATTATTGACGCATAAATAGATTTGTGACGATTACTATATTGAAATATTCTGTGATTAAAAAAATATTATTCAAAATTTTTAACCAATAAAAATGTTACTCGAATTTAACATTAAGGATTAGAACATTAAAAAGTTCTTAAATAACATTAATCAAACATTCAAAATCAAATTAGTGTAAGAGACCAGCCACAAATAGAGCCAGTGTTGTGCTTTCTTTTTCTACAATAAATACTAAAACATTTATTAAATAAAGCTGTGCAATGGCAAAGGTGATCTCATTGTTTCAGTTACAAATTTTCTCTGTTTTCAACATATCATAAGTTAGTTAAGTATAATGTGAACAAATCTCACGGAAATTTGAACTCTCTAACTTTACATTGAACTTCATTTTCTGCACTGTACTATATTCAACTTCATGTATTGAAATAGAATTTCTTACTTTTTTTTCTTCTGATAAGCAAATGTTTTATATAGTCCATTCATAAAGATAAACTTTTTGGGTGGGTCTATTCTTGGTCAAGCGTAAGTTGTCCACTAATAAAACTTGTAAATAAGTTGAATGAAAGAACTCGATAATATTTTTGAGTCAATTTAGAAGACAACAATAGGTACTGTAGTGTAAAATAAGAAAATGAAATAATGAATAATATAATGGAAAAATAATGAATAATGAGAAAAAATAAAAATACCAAACACAAAATCTTATCAAGTACCAGTCAATCGAATCAACTTGAGTGGTATGGTGGTAGTAGTAAATATTTCAAGTGTCCAGCTCAAGTCTGGCACACCCTAAACGGCAATTTACACAAAGAGTTTCTAACTTCAAAGAAATCTACGAATATTGGAAGAATATAAAAAAAGCTGAGCAATGTAAACTGTACTTATATACAATATTTAATATGGAAGAGCGATAATCGCTCGCCATTAAATATTTACTGTCTCCGTGTAAACGAAACGTGACAGTTCCTTTCAATACAACATTCCAAGATAGCAATATAAATTACTCCTCGAATGTCAAATATCAAACTCGCCACTGATATTCGAATGAACTCGTAAAAATTTTATACGAATTCTCAGTTTAAACACGAAATCGAGAATTCGTAAACGAAAATCTACTACCAAATCTAATATCAAAGTGGATGGTATGAGAATAATAATTATTATTCCAAGTCTGTCGAACTTAATTTACGTACTCTGAATAAAACCAAGTTGATGCTTGCACCGGATTTCATAGATTTATTTAAAGGTAAACTCCAATTTGTTCGAGTTAGCCATCTCGTGGCTAATACCGAATTAACTGAGAATTGAGATTGTTTTTTTAAAGAATTCTTATTAAAAATGTCATTCACATTTCCTTATTTAAATTATATAACAATTAAAAACAATTTCTTCCACTAAATCAATTTCTGATCCTATAGGTACAATGTACCTAAGGTCTCGAATTCGACTCGCTCGACCTTTGATACTATAGCTATAGCTACGCCTACTTCGAACACTTTATCAATAAAAATTATTTTAAAATATTAAATTTAAGAAATGAAAAAAATCAAGGGCTTAATGAATAGATGAATGAACCAGAAAAAAAAATGTATCACAATTTTTCAATTAGATAAGCAATAGTTAATTCATCATTTTTTTCTGCTTGAACATGAACATTGCAAGTGTGATAATTGTTAAACTATAAATTTGAGATGTTTTTCCTTTCTTGGAGCTATTCTTGAAAAGCTTCAGAATAGATCCATTAGAAAAATTAAAAAAATATTATTTTTCATTTTGTTATCAACAATTAAAAAAAATTTTTATATTTAAATTTTCATTGTTTATTTAATAAACGATTTGTTATATACAATTAAATTTTTCCTGTTTTTTTTTACTTTTTTCCACATAATAAAAGAAAAACAGCCATGTGTTATTTTTTGAGAAAAATAATTTATTTATATTTTTTATCAGATTTTAAAACCTAAGTAAATTAATTTTTTAACCTAAGTATATTGTGGATAACAAAGAGCTTTCATTAGCTAGTTTTCTACCCCTAGAGAAAAAGATTTACAAAAACAAAAAAAAACCGACTACGTAAAAACGAGTTTTATTAAGATAAGATATAATACCTACTAAGCTGAGCTTTTGGAAAAAGTTCTAATGGTGCACCCAAACAATAATAAAAAAAATATCATTCTGTGGACTTGTAAACGTCAATAGATAGGTCAGTACGAAGATTTAAAAAAGAAAGGTGCCTCGGTCATGTGTCAGGAGGGGGTGCAATAGCCCCATTCCCCCCCCCCCTCTGGTTCCGCGCCTGCCTGTTAAAGGTGAAATAAATACTTTTAAAGTGATTTTAAAATCGGTTCTTTTAATTTATTCGTATTTATAAATCTATACTATTATTACAAAGAGGTAGTTTTTAAGTTTTATATGTAGAGGCATAATCGCTGAAACTACTGCCGCTTTGGAAAATTCTTTCACAAATAGGAATTATTTTCTTCTTCTCCCTGCCCATTTCCCAATCACTTGGGGTCGGCGCAGTACATCTTCTGTACTGCTGAAAGGATTTGGCAAAAGTTTTACGACCGGCCGCCTGCCTGACGTCATCCCTCCTTGGGAATGCTATTGTCTCTATTTGTCTGAATGGTGTTGCGGAAGTCTTGTATTATGCACTTTCAATTTTGTTGTCTTTTAAAACATTTTCTTATTCCGATAAAAATGGGTTTACTGTCAAAAATTAAATAACTTTAAAAGAAATCGAAAATAAATATGACAATTGAGTTGCTTCATTCAAATAAATAAAATTGTTTGAGATGAGGCAATATTTATGACAAAAAGACCCCCAGGGATGAATCCAAGTGAATAAATAACTCGCTAGTAACTTATAGTTTTTTTTTATTTAACTTTCTTTTTTAATTTAATTGAAATCGTAAGAAATGTGACAATTGAGTTGTTGTATTCAAATATTTGTTTGAAATTAAGCAATAAAATGTATAACAAAATGACCCCTAGGTACAAAGCCGAGCGAATAGATAAGTCGTTAGTATTTTATAGACTAGTCTCTATATGAGATTTCAAATCGCTTAATCTACTCTCAACCAAATCCAAATCATTTATCCTCTCCAAAGTGTTCACATCAGACGGCTGGCTGACATTCGCGCCGACGCTCTCGTTAACGCTTATGTTCCATATGTTTTTGAATTTCGAATCGTCGCTTATGTTCTCTATATTTTTGAATTTCGAATCGTTAACGGTCAATCTTAGAACATTGCTCTTTAACTCGTCGTTATTTTTATTTCTTACAATATTAACAGTAGAGTTGAAAGGTCGCTTCGATCTCGTTATGTTATTTGTGAGGTCATTGATCTGATTGAGAACATCTGCAAAAATATTTTTAATATACTTTTTTAGTCGTATTTTAAACTTTCTGATGAAAAAACAGATTGACATAACTAAACAAATAATGTAATGGAATTTATATGACAACACAACAATCTGATATTATGAAAGAAGTTTGATAAATTAAAAAAGATTGATAAGTGGACTAGTTTCTTAAAGAATTCTTAAATTTGATAAGATATAGTTTCAAGAACATCTCCATAAACAAATGGAAAAAAACAAAAAACACATTGTATATTTTAAACTTGAAAGGTTGATTTATGGTTATTAAATTCTAAATTAATAAAAATCAAAAACGGAACTTAATTATTTGTATAAAATGTTAAGTTTAAATCTTGTTTCGTATTTCAAAAAAAAAACCATTATACAAAATAATCAAAAACCTGTTATTTGCAGACTCGTAGTGACATCTATTAGACTCTCTTTCTCCGAAACCACACTTTCATCTATCTTTGCTTGTCTATTCGCATAACTTTCAGTACATTTGCTAAGCACAGCTTTTCTTAGAGAACGGTTTTTTAATGGCGTATGATATAAAATGGAACGTTCTCGATGTTTAATATTAATTTCTGATATATTACACAGTTCATCCAGCTGTAGTGAGAAACTTAGATCTTTGTTTTGTTTCAATTTCATATGCTTGGTGAGAACACCCAAAGGGAATTTTCCAGTAGACGGCCTTATATTGGTCCTTGCAAAGATACTCCGAGTTAAATTATTCAATTTCTTGGGTGAATTAACATAGGTTTCGCCATTTTTAAAATCAAACGTTTGGGTTCTATTGTCTATTGGCTCCTCATAGAAATCGTCATCGTTTTTGGGATTCATTACACAATTAATTCTTTTAACTAATGTATATAATAATTTAAGACGCTTTATAACTTGATCTATAGTTACAGTGGCGTTTTGTGCATTTGTCATTTTCACGTCGAAGTAATGGTCGTCTTTTGAACAGAGGAGATTACTGACAATTTTACACTCTACTTGAACTGAAAGAGATAATATAATAACATTATTTACATTGATTTGTTTATTGAAATCGTATTAAGAATAGGATTTCATAAAATACTTTTAAAAAAATCCGATTTTTATAAAATATTATTGTATTATTCTATACATATAGGTAAAAAATCATAAAAAAAACACAATCTGTTTATAATTGATAATAAATTTCATGGGTTTTAATTTTTTTTTACCTGGAACCCTGATTCTTTTTCTATAATAAAAGTAGCTTTATAACATCAGCTATCTGACAGTGAAAGTCCCATCAAAATCGGTCGAGCTGTTCGGAGATTAGCCAGAACACAGTCCGACGGTTTTTTTTTAAATTGTGTTTTTCTTATTAGTACTGTATATACTTTAATACGCATTTAGTAAAAAGCTGTAATTTTGACATTACAAACAGACACTTAAAATTTATTTATCTGTATAGATAATTAATTTAAAAACAAAGCATACCCTTATTTAAATCTTTTAGTAATGGCTTTATTTGTTCACGACAAGCCAACGCATCTGGTTCAAATTCTTCATAAACACTGAAAAAATCATACACAATTGTGCCCATATTGATTACTGCACACACTTTGTCGTTCTCATAGACATTTTCTTTTGTTATTTCCAGTAACTTCTGATGCATCATTTGTTGAGCTTTCTGTGAAATAAAAGCACAATATTAAAGTTTCGCTGAATCTATACTAATATTATAAAGAGGATTTTTTTGTTTGTACCTAATAAGCTCCGAAATTACTGAACCAATTTACATGAAATTTGGTAAGAAGATAGTTTGAGACCCTAAGAAGAACATAGGAGTTAGTTTTTACCCCGAAACTCGTCCCTTATGGGGGTGAAAATGGGGATAAAAGTTTGCACTGGGAAACAAACTGGGACCAACCCGAGCGAAACGAGGGTGAGTCACTAGTTTCTAAATAAACTCAATTTTAGAAGAACATAAGACCATGACTGATTTAAGTTAAATAAATTATTTAATATTTAGGAATCGAACCAAAACTCTTCTGAAATTGATTCAAAAATGCCAAATATATTATGTAACAGGCACACAAGAAATGTACACTCAAATTGAGTACCCCATATTATATCTTTTTAAAAAATTTAAGAACTTAGTACATAGTTTTCTTTCTTTATTAAAAAAAATCTTACATCTGCAAACGCTGCTGGATCCACAATTAGGAACACATTATCTCTTATTTGATTGACTTCTTGATTCCATATGTTTATTAACAATGAAGTATGGTGACTGTGTGGTGAGAGCATAACCGCAGGCACCAAGTGAGGATCTAATGCTTCCAAACTGGCTAAAGCACTATGTAAAGACAACACTCCTACGAAAAATAAACAATTATTTAATATTCTTTGTGACATTTGTACATAAAATTATAACAAAGTTAGGCCATAAGCCTCGTACCAGAAATCAAACACAAGACCTCAGGATTTGCAACCGTACTATTAGCCACTACCCCAACTAAGCAATCATCCTAGATGATAATGTCTTTCTGTCTGATTTCGGCCACAGCAGCCAATCTCACTGAGACTAAGTAAATGTGCAGGAAATATTATAGAGCACAAGTATGCGTGCAGACATAACATGCACTCTCTATTCCTGTCACACTCATACTCTGGTGGGACATGTACCACAATTGCCCTATCTTAGTACGGGGGTGAAACACTGCCAACTTCCTTACTCTTAGCTTAACAGCTCTTAGATTTGTTGACAGCCTGGGATTCGAACCCAGTACTTCTGGATCTGCAGCCATACATGCTAGCCACTAGACTACTGAAACAATTACATACATATTATACATACTTTTCTGATCAGAAGAACATGACATGGCAAAAGATCCTATCTGCAATAGCCTTTCATTGTGTAAATCAAACTCCTTTACAAACATACATTTTTCAATGTCTTCTTTACCACCAGTACATGTACATATCCCTTTAGCATTTTCAAAATGTTTCCTTAACATAAGTGCTGGTGACATACTCCTACTAAAACAATGAACTACTAACGCCAACAAAGCAGTATTTGTGTTTGTTTCTAGGGCATATAAAACATCTTTGAGAACATCTATTAAGAGATTGACAATTGATGGCATTATTGGTAGTTTCAATGTTTCAGTTGTTGCGGGAACCGAGTCTAGGTCACCATCTATTATATCACTCAGTAATGCTTTTGTTTCCCTTAAAACCTGAAATAAAAATAGTATGAATTGTATGCCTTATTTCTAATGATGCAATGATACAATTTTCTGATCAATATAGGCCACTAAAGGACTTCGGTTAATCAAAAAATATTCTAAGCACTTTTTTTCAATTTGATCAATCATAATTATTTTACTAAAAACAATATTTACCATATAAAATCAAGATTGGTATTGCTTATTACATATACAAGTGCTACAAATCTGTTTTTATCCACATTTTATGTTAATGCCCCCTAGTTTTTAGATATAAAGAAATAAATTTTACTTACCACTTGACAGCGGGCTTTTACAATATGTTGGTCAGAATGCAAGCAATGCCTGCACAAAGTCATTGCTGATAACAACAGTTCATCTATGGATGTATGTAGAGCTTGCACACATTCAACTAGCTAAAAATTGAACTAAATTTAGTACTTATCTTATAAATGCTACAAGTAACTTCTTAGACCAATCAGAATCCGTTTATTTTTTGTAAGAGAAAAAATATATATTGAAAACCTGAAGTTTTATGATTTTAAAATGTTAGCAGGTATATAAGGTATAGAAATTCGTAAAATGGCCCACATGCAGCTACCCCCGAGAAATGGGGGGATGCAAAGTGTATATATAAATAGTTTTTTTTCAATTTCTGGCTTATTGTGACATTCTATCAAAAATGTTTTTTACAACTTGTAGGTCTAGTAAAAATCTACAACTTTTATAAATAACACTTTTTACAATAACCTCAAAGTTTTCGAGATATTTGCAGAAAACTAGGTTTTAACTTGTTCTTGGTTTGTTATTTTTAATTTCTAGAATAAACTTTTGATTTTCATGAAACTAAGGGAACGTAATCTTCGAAATACATATAATAAATAAAAAAAATCAAATTGAAATGTTTTGCTATTTTCGAGAAATATATATTTTATGGTCTCGAGAGGCTGAAAATCACTTCCAATTTTAAGTGGATGTTTATATTTAAAAATCAATTCGTTCAATTTACAAATAGAGCTCATTCTTTTCGTCTTGAACTCTATGTTTTGAAAAAATAAAAACATTGTAGAGTTGTCCTTTAAAACACCCCTAAAAATTTTAAAAATTGGAGAAATCGATAATTTTTACTTTGTAAACTACATTAATATTTTGTTCCCAAACCATTGGATTGGATTCCCATTGGACTATCAGATATTATGTAAATATCAATCCAGTTGACACTCAACTTTAAAATGTATTAAAAGAAATATATAAATATTTATATTATAATAGTTGTGAACCAAATTATAAAAAACTAATGTTTGATATTACATAGTTTTTAAAAGATTGGTTTTATTATTCTTATAATATTTTATACTTCTTACTTGCTTGCCATGTATTACTTAAATTAGTATCATACTAATTAGAACTTAAATAGGAAAATACAAAAATAAGAAAAATAAAAAGTCAATACAACAAAAAATACTTACTTCAATTCGCCATTGATTGAAAACTTGATCGCTTTCTTTAATATTATTCCTATATACAATATTACATAATTTACTTAAAATATCAAATGTTTGATCAATCCAATTAACAAAATACATCGGTGATACTAATAAAGAGTTATCTAATGAATCTATTTCATTACCTAAAGTGGAATTTACCACTTCCTCAACTGATAATAACTTCTGATAGCACCAAGAAAGCCTTTCTAATGTGCATTGGCGACTTTCCTGAAACACAAAGTACTTATCAATTTTCTTCGATTTTTTTTAAATCTAAAAAAAAACATTATATTAACATTTTTACCATACAGCCTTTAAATAAATTCTTACCTGTAAGCTAACATTTTCTTTATGCTCCAATTTAATTACTTCCAACAATGTTATGAAACATTTCCTTATTTGATCCGAGCACAACGTGTAAACATTGCGAATATTTACTGTGTGTTCATCCAAAATATCATCATTTATACTGTGTAGTTTATCACTAATTCTCCGTAATAATGGATAAATATTATTCATCAATATGTCCTGTTAAAATATCAGAGTAATTAGTATAATTAGATAATAATACCTAGAACCTAATTTAATAAATAAAGAAGTAACATACCACAAAAAATGTTATACTCTTATGAGACTCTTTTGGAAATTGAGCCAAATATAAATTAAAAGATGTTTGGTCCATGATGTAGAAAACGAAAAAATAAAAAAATCAATAAATTTTTAATATTTAAATAAAAGTTCAACAAAATTTCAATACAGTTAAGTTTAAAATTTCAAAGGTAACGACCATGGATGACATATAAATGTTGTACACATATTGACACCTCTATATATGTCAAATCAAAGCCCAGAACACAGATTATACACACCAACGATTTATACACCTACCCTACGGATAGCAGCTGTAATAGTCCTACATACTCACATAACAAACTTACAGTGGCACAGAATCTTATAGCCATCCATCGTATTTCATCCGCTCCTCTTCACGTATACGTTACGTCGGATTTGATCAGTTTGAAATATCTTGTCATGTAGACACTTGCACCAGGTTAAGTTTAATTTTTATAAAAATTGCACTTTATTTAATGATTTTGAATCTAATTTGTCCAAAAAATTACATTATTTTATTACACCTATTTTGATTTTTGAAATACATACTTAGTTTTTTATTATTATAAACGAATATAAAAATTATTATTGTGTTTGCGTGTGTTTAGCCGTTCATAAAAATAATCGATAGTTTTTACACAATATTTACTTTACATTTATATGGGTGATTGGGTGCATCACTACGCATCTAAATATGATTAGTAAATTATTTTAGTCAACTTCACATGTTTAAATGTTTAGTTTTTTGAATGAAAAGCGTTAAGTTTTCATATATGTGATAATACTTAGCTTGTTCTTTTATAATTTAAGTTAAATTTATATACAGAAACGTTAATTAAAATACAACACGAGTGTCTGTAAAAAATAACCTCAATTTTTCCTCTTTTATAAAAATTCGGATGTATTTCTACATCCGAATTTTAATTACAGTGACTTATTTTTAAGATTTATTGGTGCATGTTTTTAAAGTAATGGCTATTCTGTATTTTAGTCTATTTAATTACATATTAATCTACATATTATAACTCGGATGTTGGTTTTGAAAATTGTAAGCAATGATAAGGGTGACATATTCGCGTTATGATAAAATCCTCTAAAAAAAAACAAAGTTTAAAAAGAAATGCTTTGATGCGCCATCTAACGTGAACTTGTTATGTGTGAAGATTTAATCACTAGTAACTCATGAGATCCAATGGATAACCGAATTTGTGTTTATGGCTTTAAGTAGACACTTCAAATCAAACACTCTTAAGGTGCCAACAGACGTTAGATTTCAAACATCAGATCGGATCAAAAATAAATAGAGTATACGTTTTTAGAAATTGTGTAGCATATATCGCAATAACTTAATTTTAACAGTAAAATATATGTTTCAACCTAAAAAAAATTGAAAGTGAAAAATCAATCAATTTATCTGTGGCCAATTGCCATTTATAATTATTTATATTTTATTTGTTATCTGTGGCTATAATTTGCATTGAAGAATTTGATAGATTCATTGAACTCTTTATTTGTAAGAAATAAACAGAAATATCTAAGATAGTACATAAGAATGAGTGAATTAGTTTGGGGTATTAAAAACGGCGACATAGACCAAGTAAAGGACTTCGTGGAAAAAAATGTAAGACACTTTAAAAATAAGTACCATTCAATTTTTGATTCGTCATTAATATTAGTTGAAGATACGATTTTATAATTAAACGCCTTATATATATCAATTACCGATAAAAATTAACAACTTAGAGCTTCTTAGTTTTTATTAACAATATTATTTAATATAATCTTGAAGGAAGTTAGTTACTTTCTCAAATAACATTAATAATTCTTTTTAAAATAACATCCTCAGAAAATTGATGTCAATGCACTTATTGATGGCCGAGTTCCTCTACATTATGCAGCCGACTATGGACAAACAGCTGTGGTGAATTATTTACTGGACAAAGGAGCTGACCCTAATGTATGTATTTTAAACATTCTGAACCACAAATGCTGTTTTAAATTTTTATGTAATAAACAGTAACAATTAATTTAAATACATTTTACAAAAGAATGTCTATTGACTCATGAATACCCTTTATTTATTTATTTCATAAGCACACTTACAATATACATATTTGACATTAACACAAATAAATTATAAGAAAAGTAACACGCTCACTGATATGTATATCAATAACAAGTGTACATAATATTCATCAACAAGTACATGTAAAACATAGGGAGGGGTAAAAAAAGAAAAAAGAATATATATATTTTTTCAATGTAATTGAGGACTTACTGATAGATGATCGGTGAGTTTTTTTTTAAAGACAGCATATGAGTTGTGGAAAATGTCATTGCCTGGTAGAGCACGAGATATTTCATTGTATTTAGCACGTATGCAAGCCATGGGAGCTTGCTTACCAAGATGTGTTCTAGTGAAAGGCATATGAAATGTTTTACGAGATGAATTGCAATTGCGAGGATATCTACTTGGTACTGATAGGGAACAGACGTCGAGTTGCGGAAACTGGCCCGTCTTATACCATACCATACCATACCATACTGATAGGGGAATCCTTTCAAGCAGCTTACTGCACTTTACTTTATAATGGATTCTTTTGTGCAAATAACACAGATCAATTATCTCCCACCTACTTCAAAGAGACATCATTTGAAATTCGACCAATCTCTGATCCTTTAAATATTAGAAGTCAATTTATTGCTATTATAATAATTTTATCTTTCCTTGTACCGACACAAAGAAGCAAAAAACATACAGCATATAATATTATGTTGGTTTTTATGTTACAGATGATAGACAAACATGGTATATCTGTAATTCTTGCAGCAATTTGGGAAGGACATACTGACTGTGTTAAAACATTACTTAAACATGTATGTAATAACTTATTTTTACATAGTAATATATACATACATACTACTGTGTAGTAGATAAAATGAGTTATAATTTATATATTTGACATTTTATTGAATACTGGACTGAAATATCTAGTAAATATAAACTTTAAAAAAAACTTGCAGGGTGCATCCAAAAATGGAAAAACACCAGACGGTACACCTTACATTGATGCTGCTGAAAAGGATGAGATTAAAGAGCTGCTAACATAGGAACACTCACTTTATATTTAAGTTAAATATTCGCTCACATTCTAATTTTACAAAGCTATCATAAAATTATTAGAAAGAAACAAAATTAATCACCATAAGATATTTACATGCATTTATTTATATTACATTTATTTTTATATGCTCAACATGAAAGAACTATAAAGCATTAATGTGTTATGACTGCGTCCATTAGTAGTATTTTTTTGTATTACTAACAAATATTCTTAAGTCATGTGAATCAATCATGCACGAAATGAAATGTGTTTTAGATTTTACATGTCAATGGCATGTCTTTACTTCTAAAGGCCTATACTCTTATCTAGCAAATAAATTATTTTATATTACAGAGAAGGCAACATAATATGAGGAGTAACATTTATTGCTAAAATAAAAAAATATGTGATAATCAAATTGGATTTTATTTTAATTATTATATGTATATTCAGTATGGTGTATTTTTCATAAAAATCATAACTTTAAATAAACAGTTTACAAGATGGCAAGTTTTTAAAATCATGTTCCTTTTCATTATATTCTCTCTACTTGTATGTACTTAAGTCTTAATTGAGTGCTAACCTATTTTTTATTATTAGAAAAATATTCTATTCAATAAATAAACAGTAATCTTATTGATCACACAATAATTAATAAGTTGCAATAATAATAAATTACAGATTACTCCAAAGCTATCACAGAGTGATTGTGTTTTTTAATCACTTTTTTAAATACCTAATCCAGCGTGGCCAAGAACTTTATTAATGTCGCTTAAAAATGACTTAACATTTTATATCTTTTAAATAATTACAATTCATCATTTCCTGTAGTATATTTTCTATATTTATTCTTTGAGACTGGACAATAACAAGCATTCTTCTGAGCATCTAAATATGATTTACAACCAAGTGTCAAAGTACCAGTGAACAGTAACTTAGCAGCACCCTTGCAACCTGTATCAAAATAAGGGATATTAAATATTACATAGTGTTTATAAATAAATATAAAATATTCAAATTATATGCAATATAACACACCTTTGGTAATAGCATCTCCAGCAACATTAACACTCTTGTAAGTATCACAGTAGTTATATAGGCATCTTTTAAATTCCAAGTCACAAACTTCTTTTCCACTATTACAAGTATCGTAGCAGATATCATGTGAATCACAACATTTTGTCATTTGCTCCAATGGTAAATATTCAGATGATATGTCAAACCCAAGTGAACCACAGCCATCAGATTTTGGGATATGATTCTTATTGCGAACTGGTTTTTGCCCTATAAATTACATTAATATTAACAAAATGTCTGTTGTAACTAATCTATTTTCAAATGTAAAAAAAATCACCTTCAGGACAACTATATATACATTCTTCCTCTATGGCAGCATCAAAAACTTCATGTATTGATTTAAATTTTTCAGCTACAGTTATGACATTTCTAAACACATCGCCAAATACTGTTTCTGCGGATAACACGGCGTCTTTTAAATTTCGTAACATACTTGAACCAATACCAGTATATGCGTAAGCCGCAAAAGTTAAAACATAAATAAATATTTTTTTATATGGGATCTCCATTTTCACAATTGATGTAGTAATAAAAAAAATTGTATCATGTCGTTGCACCTCCTAGTAAGAATTATGATATTACTGACGTGGTTAAAAGAAATTGGAAGCGAAATAATCTTACATCAATGATCAATGTTTATTTATATCCAAAGAATACACATGACACAAAAGTCAAAATCAAAAGTCTAAGCAATAAGCATAATTCTATCATTTTGATGTCAATAGTCAATAGAAAAATAGAATTATTTACATTTTAATTCAGTCAAATCGGAAAAAACAGTATTAAATGTTAGTAAAACTTATCAATCAAATATTTGCAATAATAAAATTTCTAAGATATAATTTAAAATAAAAATATAAAATTTTATTTTATCTTTCTAATTATGTTATTATGAACGCAGCAAAAAATATCGATGTACGCTCCTTAATCGAATTTCATTCGCTTCTCTTCGAGTATACTTTGCATCGAATTTGTTTCGAATTGCCGTAAAAAGCAATCATGGTCAGTGGGAGACACTGACGGGAGATCCTAAGAAAGTATTATTCATACGGACATAGTTTTAGTACAAATCTGTCTGTGATTCGGACTTGAATTCAGTTAGTCCTAAAATAAGCAAAAATTTAAGAGTGTGTGTATTGATGTGTACACCCGGAAAAAGTGAAACTACTGTATCCGCTATCGGTACTTTTTATGAAATTAAATTTATATTTTAAATAATCAGGAAAGCAGAGATACTAAAAAATAATATTCGATTTAAAAAGGAACGCAATATTTTATTATTCACACTGACATAGTACAGATGGTCTTAAGATACAATTTAATTTCCAATCAAATGTAATGATGGAATAAATTATATACTCCAATAAAATAAATAACATTATAATAAAGCTGTGAAAAAAATACCTATATGTATATTTATAATTATAAAAAAAATTATAAGTAGGTAGTTTTTTTTTTAAATATTCATTTGATATGATTTCATTACTCATTTCAAAATAAATGAAAGAAATATGTTTTATAAATATCTACTTTATTTAATTTATTCTTTAAATCTTCATATAATAGTTTAAGTAATTTTTAATTGACTATTTATTCACTTTCGGCCCATCGTAAGTCGTAACCGTTTCCGTTACAAAAATCGTAAAGCCAATCCTTTTTTTCCCCACCGAGTTCAATGAACCAAACAATCAGTGGTGATAACCGAAACTATTCGGATAGGACCAACGAATCCCCAAACCCATTCATACATGTTTGATCGCTGGTCTGTTAGCAGCGTTTAACTTCAATCCACATATTATCAAATTGTTAACAAAAATTTTCTCGAGAAAAATGTATCGATATTATAAATATTTTTATTGGTAACCCTATTTCATGTGAATATCCGGTAGCCATGTTAATTTAAAAAGTTAGCCTTTTCCGTTTTGTTGTCGAGAAAATGACGGGCTTTAGTAATAAGGTGAGAATTAAAATGTGAAAATTTAATCGTAAATAACGAAAGAGGACATAATTTTTATCTGAATATTTAATTACGTAGCTCTATTGTGTTTTAAGTGTTTTATATTAATTAAATATTGGTTATTGACCATGTTTCTCGATGTACACGTGCTGGCCTGTTAAGTTGCGGTATATTTTCGTTAAAAGTGTTATAAGTAGTAACATTTTAATTGGTGAATCTCAATATATCTCTTAATAATCCTTTTTAGCTTCTCATTATGTTGATATATGTACATTTTGGTACTCTCCATGTTTTAAGTTGAGGTTAGAATAATGATGTTATGTTGTTGTGGTACGCTACTTTTATTTTAACTAATTGATTTTAGGCCATAGTAATCGATGGCCGCGGCCATCTCCTGGGCCGCTTGGCTGCAGTGATTGCAAAGGTACTTCTGGAAGGAAACAAAGTTGTTGTTGTGAGATGTGAGCAACTGAACATCTCAGGAAATTTCTTTAGGTAAGTTTGCAAAAAAACTGGGTTATACACCTACTTAAAGCTTGTTAAAATGATGTTTCTTTGGGTAATTTGCGACTGAAATACAATATGTTGCTATTTTGATTGTGTCTGATAATTTATCAAAATAATATTTTAATATACTATCGTGTATTACTAGAATTAAATTACATATTCCATTTAATTATAGGAATAAGCTGAAGTTCATGTCATTCTTGCGCAAACGCTGCAATGTGAACCCAGCTCGTGGTCCATTCCACTTCAGAGCACCATCAAAAGTTCTGTGGAAAACGGTCAGAGGTAATTATAGTGTTATTACATTTATATTCCATTATCTACCATATTGTATTAACTAATGATTATTTGCAATTATTACCTACATTATTTGATGTAAATATGATATTAATATTAGTATGAAGTTGTTCATAACAAACTTTTAATTTAATGTATTGGAATAGAGGAACTTCAAACAATGTTCTTCTTTAGGAATGATCCCACACAAGACTGAGCGTGGAAAGGATGCTCTGAGAAGGCTCCGTGCATATGACGGTTGCCCTCCACCATATGACAACCGCCGTCGTGTGGTTGTACCTGCTGCTCTCCGTGTGTTCTGCCTTAAACCTGGACGCAAGGTATTGTTACTGTAGTTTAATTTTTTTTTTTTCAAGATTTTATCAATCATATTTATTACAATTGCCCACGGCTCCGCCTGCATTCAGATGACCAAAAACCAAATTCGTAGTATACTCTTACAATGCAGTTATATATTTTGACCTGGATAACCAGCTATCATCATACCAAATTTCATCAAAATCCCTCTAGTAGTTTTTCCGTGATGCGGTAACAGACAGACAGACAAAAATTCTAAAATCTATAGATTCAGCCTCTGTATCGATAACAATGTCTATTTCAATAAGATTTTTCAAAAAATATTTAATATACAGATTCGGCTTAGTTACAATTTTATTATATGTATAGATTTATCAATTTTGTGCCTCTACTAGCGACTCACCCTCGCTCCGCTCGGGTTCATTCCTAAGTATCTTTTAATGGTTAGTATAGATTTCTCAGAGATGGGATATTTTCCTGCAGCAAAAAGTATTTTAGATATTGACCCAGATAACAAGCTATCATCACACCAAATTTCATCAAAATTTGTCCAATGGTTTTCTCATGATGTGTTCACAAACAGACAGACAAAAATTCTATATACTATAAATTTGGCCTCTGAATCGATAATAATGACTATTTACATAAGATTGTTTAAATAATATTTAATGTACAGATTTGACTCAGAATTTTATTATATGCAAAGATTGAATGTACTATATTCATTTAGTGACTGGCACAATAATATTTTTTTTAATTATTTAAAATAAAAAAGTTATAAAAAATTGATTCTGGTCTTAATAAAACATTTTATTTCTCCGTCCTATGTGCATTGTAGAAGTAATTTATGCTCAACTGGCACACTTCAAAGCCATTAACAACAGAATTGAATTGAAACATTTTATAATTTATCCTAATTCATTCCTAATAGGCTGTAAGTTTGACAGCTTATTCCTATAATTATATTTGGTATCTATGAAAGTATTTTGTGAATTTCAACTTCTAAAGCAATTGGAAAATTTTTGAGATATAAATATATTTCTTTAAAATGATGTTATTTATTGGGTAATTTGCGACTGAAACACTGTCTGTTGAAAACATTTAAAATTCTGATAACTTTGTACTAGTACATATATTGTTAATCTCTATATTGTATGTATATTTAACAATTTGTTTATGTTTCAGTACTGTCATGTGGGTCGTCTTTCACATGAAGTCGGATGGAAATACCGTGAGGTTGTCCGTAAACTCGAGGACAAGAGGAAGTTCAAGACCATCCACAAAGTTTCTTATGAAAAGAAACTTAAGGTAATTATTTTCTTAAGTTTTAAATTAACATTTCTTAAGTTTAAAATTAAATGAATATTCTGTCAGTATAATAAGTGTTACATTCTATAATCTATACAAACAATAATAATCATTTTTAACATTATAAAAATATTATAATATGAAACTTGGAGCGTGTATACACTATATTTATTTTAATGAAATAATTAAAGTCAAAACCACTTTGTATAGAAAATATGCATGAAGGATGTTTTTTTAAATGAAGTAAATATGGCTATATAAAAACAGTTTTCATATTATTTTAAGATTGTTTTTTTTTTCTTTAAAAAAAAATACATATTTAATACCAAATCAGACGCGTCGCTATGCCAACAGCTTGTTTAATTCGCCGCATTAGATGTTTCACACCAAAAATTCTCATATTTAAATTTCGAAAATTTACATGATGATTATCATCTTACCTACATTATTTGATGTTTATGAAAAGAAATCCCTACTGATATTATACTGCTATATTTTCAAACAATCAGCAAATTATAACGATAATAATGTTTAATATGTTTATTTTCAGAAAATCACCAAGGAAGCTGGAGAGAAGGTGGCTAAAACAACAGCGCCCTTCACAGCTGTCATGCAATCCTATGGATACAATTAGGACTAAGGAAATTATATAAAAAATAAACCTTTGGGTGCCCAATTATGTTGTTTCATTACATATTTGATTAATTTAAAAGATTTTATTTAATACTATCATTGCCCGCGGCTCCGCCCGCGTTCAGATGACCAAAAACCAAATTCTTAGGCTTAACATATTAGTATACTCTTACTTTGCAATTTTTGAAATTGATTCAAAATTTTTTGCTATTTTTTCTCAGAAATGAAACCCCCGCGGTAAAAAGTATCCTATATGTTAGCCCGGATAACCAGCTATCACCATACAAAGTTTCATCAAAATCCCTCCAGTGGTTTTTCTGTGATGCAGTAACAGACGGACGAAAATTCTAAAAACTAGATTCGGCCTCTGTATCGATAATAATCTTTATCGCGAAAATGTATGTGCCTGCATATGACTAGACTACCGCCGATGTTACTTCTTTTCATTATAGTACCTACATTAAATATTTTTTGTAAAATCTTATTAAAATAATCATTATTATCAAAACAGAGGCCGAATCTATAATTCTTAGAATTTGTGTCTGTCTGTCTATTTTGATGAAATGTGTTAAGATGAAGGCTGGTTACCACTTACTCTGGTCAACATATAGGATACATTTTACTGCGGGAAAATATCTCATCTCTGAAAAATCTATACTATGCGTTCAAACATACCCTAGTTCATCTATATTAATGAGTCAAGTGGTGGTGGTGGTCAGTCATTGGTCTCATAGAGAACAATAAAAAAATAGTTTAAATATGTGTCAATAGATGGCATTATATGTAGCGATTTGTTATGTAAGTTGGCGTAAAATTAAGTAAAGATAATTAGTACATACATCCCAAAAAGCTATACCTACTACATAATTAAAAAAATCTCTGAGTAAACAAAAATTAAATATTCCACTCGAGAATCGTTGTACATTGATTATTGAAAAATCAGCAATTAATAGGTTTGTAGTGTTCCTGTATTTTCAGATGGCTCTTTTACTTTTTATGGATTATTTACTACAGATAAAAACTGTTGAATTCACTGAAAAATTCGTTTAATTAAATTCCAAATGCTATATTTATCATATTTTAGTTTACACATACTAATATGATAAGATTTCAAAAGATTAACGACATACATAATATATTAAAGCAAACAAAAACAACCCGAACAATAGTCTAAACTCTAAAGTAGCGCTGTCCAATTTCTTTGTATGGGATGGGGCATCTGTAGCTACTAATAAAGTAATATATGATCTGTTGATCTGGTAAAGAATAGTTAAATAATACGCTTTTATATTATAATATTAGGTACTGAAAATTGAAGAATCTGCACCTGCTTTTTTTTCTTTACTATAATAAAATCTGTTAGCTGTTTTTATTTACGATTACTTATTTACTAATTAATAATAATAATGTGTTCTCGACCGATTCCGGCCACGGCAGCCAATCTCATTGAGACTAGCCGTCTGCAAAAACACGTGCACTCTCATTCCTGTCACTCTCATACTCCGGTCGGACGACACTCGACACGACCATTAAGGCGCAGGACCGACGCGAAACGTGCTCTACTCGGCACGGAGGTGAAACATCGCCAACTTCCCAACTCCGGACTGTTACTGAAAGACGCAATAACTATACTTGGGCAAACCCGGGACTCGACCCCAGGATCCCCGGATGTGTAGCCGTATAATGCTAGCCACTATACCACCGAGGCATTTATTAGATTTACTAATTACACAGTATAGAAATTGGCGTTTGTATAATATTTAAAACATGGTTGTTTGTCGTCATATTTAGTTCTATAACACTGTCTATATTATTCTTTAATCTGAGCAATAATAATAGTAATATAAATGCCAAAGTCTGTATATGTGGATGCTTGTTACTCTTTCACGATGGAAAAAATGAAAGAATTTGAATGCTACTTACCTAGTAAACAGACTGAGGCCTGAAGTCCCTATCACATAGCTACTATGTATTAGGCTCTTAGAGACGCATCCAACCAAGTGAGGGTAAATCTTTAATAATTATTGAAATATGTTACTTATTTTTGGTACCTATACAAAAATTTAATAGTAACAAACAAGAATTTACATATAGGAATCAACGAAAAATGTACCTTCCTAATATTTGGTATTTTTAAATATAATATCTATATTTAAATATATGGTAAGTTAAAAATAGCAGTGGTAGCCCAGTGATAACGCGATCGCTTGGGAAACCGAGTGAAGCGGATTCAAATCCCGGATTTCACACCCTGATATTTTCATGTGCGAATCATTTCTAACATGAATACCTCTTTCCTTACGGTGAAGGAAAACATCGTGAGGAAATTCTGAGAGAACCTAGCAAGTTCTCGAAAGACATGTGAAGTCCGCCAGTCCGCACTTGACCAGTGTGGTGGACTACGGCCTGATCCCACATATTGAAGGGAGGCCCGTGCTCAGTAGTAGGACGTTAAAAAGGGCTGAATAGATAGAGAAGCTAAAAATATAAATACGTTTGACGTCATAGAATTTCGATTTACGAGTTTTATATCCTGCTCCAATGGGTTAGATCAGATAATTATTTCAAGCGCGCGACAAATTTTGTAGCGCAGCTGCGACCAGTGATAAAGCGTGAATGGAAGGATTATAGTTGAACTAGAAGTATTTGATATTTGAATTTATTAAGCATATTTTTCTTATATTTTTAACAGCATTGCAATTAATATGTCGAAGTTTACATTATGGAAGTCAGATTTTGGTATTGATAACAGAGACACTTGCAAAGGCTTTACACTAATTATTGTAAGAATTCAAAAAAACAGCAATGAAAATTGAGTTTTTTTCACGACCGTGCGAAGGAAATAACGTAAAAATATATGTACACAGGTACTGTACTTACCTATATGAAGTTGTCACTAATATTTTGTTTTTCTTAATGTATCCTATAACGTAGGTATACTCGTGTCGTGTATCTCCTAAAAAGGTTTGTCTGGTGTATTATGTGACGTATGGTTGGTGGTAGTAATGGTTGTCTATATTTTTTAAATATTTTTAATGTACGTACCTAAACCCTTGTGCAGTAAACCAACTTACTTCAAAGCTAATCCGGAAAAAAACGGAAACAATTTGTATTCCGAATTTATATTTAGAAGAGAAATAAATTAATATTAAAAAAACATTTTTCAAAACAAGCCTATCATATAAATTGTGTAATGTAATAAATGGGTTTAATTTAACTTAAAGTTTATTTTTTAGGTATTTATCGTATTCTAAAGTTTATTATTAATTATCGTATTCTTCTCAGCAAATTCTTTTATTTGATATCCATAACATGGGGGTGCACAAAAAATGTATAGTCCGGCAACGTTGGGATTCCGCCATGTTGGATTTAGAATGATATCACTTATCTAACGTGCGTTGTCATCTAAATTAAACGTGTATGCAAAATTTTAGCTTAATTGGTTAAGGATAATTGCTTTGCAAGATTTGACCGGAACAAACTTTCATACAAACATTGCAAATTAAATAAAAGCTTGTAAATAAAATAAAGTTCATTAACTGTCATTATTGTTCATTAACTTATATAATTTAGCTTTTTTTCAAATACTACAATACAGTATAGACGATAGATTAAAATAAAAATAAGTTTCAAATATCAAGACTGTAGATCCACATACAAAGCCTTTCTAAGGGTTATTTGAAAATTGAAATGCATTCTACCGTATAATAGCAGTTCAATCAAAATGGCCTTCTCAGCAGTATAAAAGCCCGTACAGCCTCTTCCAAAGCATCAGTACAAGAACAGCTTTCTTCAGTTTACAACAAGTAAAATAAAAGGAAACAAAAAGAACAGGGCTAGTACTATGAATAAGTGGCGTTTACTGCTCTTTTCGGTTTTCGGCCTATTGCAAATAACTACATCGGATCGAAACTTTATTGATGGAAGGTCTTCGTGCTGCGATCATTCCTCTCGGTACTCAGAATCTGATATTAGGACCTCTATCTATGAACCGTATCGTGTTAAACGGATTTTACCCGATTTCGAGAGACGAAAATCATTAGAAACTCGACCTCAAACACGAGCCCAAGATTTAAGGTTGTCCTCTAGACGTGATATCAACAATCACGAACACTTACGCCGTATCAACGAAGATCACCAAAATTTTGAAAGACAACGTATAAGAGAATATACTAATGATTTTCAAATGACTCAAAGACGCGATTTCTCTAGAGAAAGAAATTTCGAATACAGTCGAATCACACGCGATAATACGCGGCAAGAAAGGTCCGTAAGGAATCGTGATAAAGTATCCCCTAAAGATTCTCGATCTGAAGTAGAGTCTCGTGATAACCACAGACATAATGACGAAAGAGAGCGCTTTGGAAAAAATTTCATAAGACAAGATGGCTTTAACTACCGTCGCAGATTTATGAATGACCAGAGCAGGAAGTCTGAAAACAGTCCACAAAAACTAGAAAGGCAAATTTCGGAGACATCACGTATTGCACGTATAAAACAACACTTATTCAACGACGAAGCTCGTAAAATCGACGAAATTCGGTATCGATCTGAAAGGCATCTCGAAAACGATAAAGTTAGAAATACTCGTAATGCGCGATCTGTGCGAGAATATAGAAATAAGGAAGACTCTTTTATCGAAAATCGAATGAGGTCTAACCTCAGAAATAACAAAAATGGCATTGTATTAAATAAATTACAAGAACGACACATCAATAGAGATGGACGCACGGAAAGAAACATTCGACTGAACAAACGTAGTGTCTCTGATGAACATATAAACTACGTTCGAGACACAATTCTCAGTGACGAAAATAGTATTAGAAATAACAGGCAAAGAGTTGTAAAAAGAAATTTGGTTATGTCCCGACGAAGCATCTCCGAAGAAGCCCAGAGGTATAGAAATGAAAACAGAGAGCGTGAAAGGACACAAAAAAATATTAATGAAAATCGGAATGGAGAAAACTCGCGTAATATAAATAGAAACGAATTAGGACGTAATCGCGATGAGAACATTGAAACACGGCGTGATAATTTTGAGCGATCTTTAGGAAAAGATAGTGTTAGGATGAGAGTTACCCGTAGAGCCGCCACAATCTATGACTTCAGAGATGACGTTAGAAACATTAATCGTGAAAATAGATTTTCTCAACGTACTTCGCAAGTACGTAGACAAGATACACGATCAGAAACCTCGAATATGAATGAAAGACATATCCGTAGTTCTAGAGCATTTAGGCAAATACAGGAAAAGGATAGACGCGACTTAAGAGAATCGCAAAATATAAGAATGATTGGAAGACCACTTAAGGAAAAAGCTGATGCTAGAAGTCAGAGGCGTGTCAGCAATATTCACAGCGAAGAACGAGACCGGGTACACAATGATGATAGGCGTGGAAGGAATTTCATTCTAGACGATAACCGGCAACAAAGACGACAAGATAGAGAAAGTTCTAGATTGCGCAGCACCAGTGTAAGTAGAAGAATCGATGTTGACCATGCTATAGACAATATTGACGAACAATTACGCCAAACTAGATTGCAAAATACGCAAGAACGACGAGACATTAGACGGCGAGATAGAGACGTATCGAGAATCCGTAGTATCAGTGCATCGAGACGTCACGACGTTCAAAACATGGTAAATGACGAATTACAGCGAATTAGATCTCGTAGCGTGAAAGAAAGGAGTATTAGAAAGCAGACGAGTGACAAATCTGTACGTAGTAATACTATGGCAAATTCTTACAATTTCCGTAATAACTTGGATGAAATTCGACAGTTAAACCGTTATTCACGAGATGCGCAAACTAGACAAAATATAAGACGAGATAATAGAGATGAATCAAGGATACGCAGCGTTCGTGTACTAAACGTCATGGAAAATCATGAAGAAGAACACCGGAGCAGATCTCGACTTTCATTAGAAAGACTGAGCATTAGAAAAAATGATAGAAATATCTTAACATCCCGCAGCGCAAATTTGCCAAAAAGCTACGCAACTAGTAACAACGGAAATAACGTCCGTAATGAAGTAAGGTCAGGTGATATCGAAAAGAGTTTAAATCGTTATTCACGAGATCATCATTCAGGAGAATCTAGACAAAATATGAGACGAGATAATACAGATGAACCAAGGGTACGCAGCGTTCGTGTACTAAACAATATGGTAAACCGTGAAGAAGAACAACGAAGCAGATCTCGACCTTCGCTAGAAAGTTTGAGCATTAGACAAAATGATAGAACTATCTTAAGATCTCGTAGCACAAATTTGCCAAAAAGCTACGCAAGTAGGAACAGCAGAGATAACGTCCGTGATGAAGTAAGTCGAAGTAAACGAAACATTGTTAGAACTCGCAGTACCCCTATACTAAGAACCCTCAGCAAAAATATTGACGAAGAGGCACGTCGTACTGCCACCCAAAATACACTAAAAAGACTTACTAGGAGAATTGGTAGTGACGACTCTAAAATCTACAGTACCCGATCACCCCAAACTTATATCTCACAAAATATAAGAAACAATGAAGCATCACGACGAATGAGATCTCGAAGCTTAACTACTGAACGACGTACCGAAAATCATCAAGTTAGAATTAATCGTAATAGAAGTTTAAACGAAAGGACTACTAGGATAGAACGAGATGCCGAGAGACGTAATGAAAGACGTCATACACGAAGGGTTCCTTTGATTGCTGCGACACGAAATACACTGTTTGCCGAGAATAAAAGGGATATCCCATTATCACAGACTAAAAAAGCTTTTGACATATTTGAAATGAAATGGCAATATGTCTTCTATGCTTTGCAAGCAATCTACATATTCAGTGTGTTTATGAAAATGCCTCATAATCAAGGAAAAAAGCAACTAAGGTGGGTACAAAATACGAATTTCTCATTTAACGTGACTATTTTGCTGTTTTGTGATATATTTAGATACTAGCGGCTCACCCTCGCTTCGCTCGGGTTCGTCGCTAGGTACGTTTTAAGTAGAGATAAATAGTTATTAGCCAGCGCTAGCCATATAATTTTCGTTAATTTTTCTGATGTTTTAATACTTATTATCCTATTCCGGACTAAGAGAAATCCAAAAATTCTAATATCATAATAATTGGTCCAGCCGTTCTTGAGTTTTATGTCACGTCACACGGGAACGCAATCGAACGGGATAAAAAGTATCCCATGTCCGTCTCCTATCTCCAAATCGGTTCAGCCGTTGTTGAGTTATAAATAGTGTAACACGACTTTCTTTTATATATATAGATTATTTAGTTGCATAGCTTGAAATGTATTTTTAAAACTTGTCTCTTCTATTTCAGAATTACCAGCTGGCTAATTCCTATGGACTATATGAAGATTGATTAAGCAAAATGACTTATGGAAAATGGATATTTACTTATGCAAATTGTACTCAATGTTATGTAATTAAAATGTTTATCTAATATGTAATGAAACAAATATATAATATAATTATATCATTATTTATTGATTTTTATTTTACTTTATAACACTTATAGCACAGTAATTACTTTGTCTACAAATAATGTGAACCTTTATGGGTTTACTCTTAAAACATAAGATTTAACTTAAAATATCTTAAAAAGTATACATATACTAATAATTATATATCATCTATTTATAGATCCAAGGTGTCAGTTTTCTTTTTTTGCTGACCTTCATACCAAGCCTTAGAAATCATTCTCTTCATCTCATCATCTCCAGTTTCATACCTGAAAATATAGTTTGACTAATTATATTTTATACTACAAGCAATATTTTTTAACAGTTACAATTTAATACCTAAAAAACATACAAATTAGTAATAGTTGTCATTTGGATTTTATTGTTTATTACAACACTATTGTTTATATATAATTAAATTAAATATTCAAATGTTTTAAAAAGTTATGCTCACATATTCTTCATGAGACTCATAATAGACTCTTGTGGATCTTTCTTATCCATATCATCTGTCTTAAATCTGTTGTTTCGCTGATCTTCAAACTTTTTCTCAATTTCTGTCATGTGAGACCACTTGGTGTTAGGTTGTGATTTAGCAAGGAAGATGACTACCATGTCTAAAACACACAATAAATTATTTATTATAAAGGTTGTAACTCGAATATAGGAGACATTCACTAGTTACTAAAAAATATTTTTTTTTTATTATACTTATTTTAAGTGTCACGACATCATAATTTTATAAATTTACCTGTCTTTTGTTTCCAATGACTCTCACTAACATTAATGGAGTTAAGAAGTTTGTTAATGACAAGCACATAATCTTTATTTTCCAAATTTTCAACATGAAGTTCCATAGACCTTTCTGTCAGTTTACAGTATACTTGTTCCTTTGGCACATTTTGTACATTCTTCAAAGTTACAAACACTTTAATAAATTTATCTGATTGGTCCCAACCTAAAACGTAAATTACAACATATTGATTTATATCCAATACTCATAAAATTTATTTTAAATATTTTCAGCATTAAAAACTAGATTATAAATAGATAAAATACCCATATGTTTAAATAATGTTAAAGACTCTCAAGGCAAGTTCTACATATTCTAACACATGAATCTTGAAATTATATCTTACTCTCTTCACTCAGGTGCCGAACAGTTATTTTTGTGTTACTTCAAATCACAGTTTATCAGTGTAATAAATTTCATTTGAATCCATCCAGCCATATTATCATAAAAGAATAATAATTATATACACACTCATATAAACTTTCACATACCTACACAAATAGTTGTCTACTTTAAAACTTACCATAGCCATTCAATTTGATTTGATAGCGTTTAGGTGTTTGGGATGTAGTTGGAACAGGGGATGCTTCCACATGAGTTTCCTTTGCACTTTCATTTAAAGTAATCAATTCTGTTTCCAGCTTGCGTATTTCTAGCGAGAGAACATCCTGTACTTTCTTGCGCTTAGCTTGTTTTAACAATTCATTAAGTTCATCGATGTCACTACGCAGCTAAAAATGTAATTAAACGTACAATTATTTAAATATATCAAACGTACACTTAAAATAAAGATACCAACTACAATTTAAAAGCACTTTTCAAAATTAAATATACAAGGTAATCCCTAAGAACATGGGATTTTATATTGTACATACTTCATTTATTTTTGTTGTAGACATGATGCGCTAGATGATGATGATCACTAGAGATGTATATTAGTAATTAGATTTCAATATTACATATAATGTTTTCCAGACAAAGACGTAAACACTTAAATCCAAGTAGAGGTTTAATTCTGAGAGATATTTCTTTTGAAAAAGTAAGTTGCGGCTTTTAGAATTCAGAGGTTAGCGTTTGACAACTTGAATAATGATTAATGACACTGTGCCACTGTGGTCTGTGACAGTTGTATGACACAAAACGAAAATGGCGATTCTAGTTGTTTCTAGAATATTTTCGTTCAGTAATAAAAGAATCATTTTTTTATGAGCCAGGAATAAAAATAAAGAATTATTAATTAATTTGCTTCTCTCCCTTATTTAATAATAAATTTATTATTTGTTTTTTAGTTGTAAATGGTAAATTACTGACTACATGAAACAAGTCTATTAAAACCAATATTATTTATTTTACTAAAGTTACGATTTACGAACCTTAGTAAAATAATAGAAAACATAATATGGCATTTTAATGTTGAAATCTTCTTTATATAAATAAATTTCAGTCGTCAATGAGCGGAGCGGTAGCTCTATATTTAATTAAAATATAAACAAACATATTACCACATATTACTTTTCTTGGCATCGCGTCGCGCAGTCGGATAAAAAGAAAACAAGCGTTAGGCAGGTGACCTGCCGCAGATCTGAACTTCTTACTTTTAAAAATATCTTTTTCGATCATCCAACATCTTAATTTAATTTATTATAGAAATCTTCAATGGATCAAATTAGAATACTTAATGGATATAATAAAGAAAGTAAAAAGAAATACTTTTGGAAATTAATTTTATTTGAATAAACTTATACAGCACTCGTATTGTAACTGTGCAGCTCTGAAAAACACTACAGTCGGCTGTACGATAGTCACTAATCATTATTACTATTTAAATAACATTAATGAATGTGCAAATCACATCAATCGTGTCGCAAACCTAATTTCAGAGCTTAACCTAGTTTTTATTTATTGAGTATTATAATAATAACTCTTAATCTAATAATAATATAAAACTTAAAAAAAAATATAAAAACCGACTTCCAGGCACTAAAATGTAAAAAACAACTAAATGGGGGTTTTCATTTAGAATAGAAACCTAATCAGATATTTTCGAAGTCGGTGCCAGCCGATGCAAAGCAAATCTAATATATTTGGATACGTAAAACACATATTTAGATATTTATATCTTAAAATATTGTCGGCTGGCGCCTGGCACAGACTTCGAAATTATCTGATTCTCCCGAAAACCCCCGTTTAGTTATTTTTTACATTTTAGTGCCTGGAAGTCGTTTTTTTTTTAAGTTTTTATTTTTCCATTTTTAGTGTAGACGTTTACTACGTCAGTAATCGTAAAATACGTCGGCAGTAATTCATAAGAAGAAAGTTTTTTAATATCATATTCGATTAAACAATTTATTTAAAAAAAAAAATTATTGGTTGATTTTAAAAAAAACCGCTTGACCGATTTCGATAAAATTTATATGGGACCACCTGGGATATACCCTTTGAAACAAAAAAAATCCAAATCGGTTCAGGTGTCTTCTTTGAGCTTCTCTGGCTGAGTAATCGGTGAACATATATATAAAAAAAGATTCTGACGAATTGAGAACCTCCTCCTTTTTGGAAGTCGGTTAAAAAGGTGTTATATGTTGGATACATTGATTTTATGATATCCATACTAATATTATAAATGTGAAAGTTTGTGTTGTTTGTTTGTCCTTCTTTCACGTCGAAACGGAGTGTCGCATTAGAGTATTTTTTTGTGTGGAGATAGTTGGAGGGCTGTAGAGTGATATAGGCTACTTTTTACCTCGGGAGATTATCTAATTCACACGGAAAAAACACGTTATATCACAACCCAAAAAATATTTATGATCAGAATTACTTGAAACTTAGTACTAATGCTCTTCAATAAAATTAAATAATAATAATAATAATAATAATAAATCTTTAATTCGGAATACTTTTCCATAAAATTAGATTACAAACAAAATAAATATAAACTAAATACAAAAATAAATACAACAGTTTTATACATAGAACAATAAATAAATAAAATGAAACATTTAAGAAAATAATAATAACAATAATAATAATACAACAACATAACTATGTGTGCAGAAATTTGGCCCAAAATCTTAACATTTGAGAGTCGTAGCTGCCTGCTACAGCTTGCATGATAGGATTTGTGCTGTCATTTATCCTCTGTCTCAGAGATGCGATTCTCTTTCTTATGACAGCAACAAATCCATCAGTACGTGCCTCGCAAAACATCCAAGACGCACTACAGTATCTGGGTAGTCTAAACATTGCTCTAAAAACATCATTATACTGAATTCGTAGAGCATTGAAAGAGCGTTGCGCATAGTTTGTCCAGAGACCACACGTGTACAGCGTTTGACAATAGGCCTTAAAGAGAGTAATTTTTACTTGATCAGTACACGTAGCAAATCTCCGGGCCAACATGTTTCCACGCATCGCCAATGCTCTACGTTCCCTCTCTATATCGTCCTCATCTGTTAACATTTCATTTAGAATATGTCCAAGGTATTTAAATTTTGCAACACGGTCAAGCTTGACATTATTTAGAGTAACGTCAGGTATATAGTCAGGTCCATTTTTATATTTGAATACCATAGTAACAGATTTTTTACTATTATAAACTAACCCATGACTTTTAGCATATTTTTCACAAATGGCAAGGAGCCTTTGTAAGCCTCTGATTGATGGACTGAGCAGCACCATATCATCAGCATAGCTAAGGCTATTTACACAACATCCGCCTATGTGACATCCTATACGCGAGCTACTCAGTTCACCAATCAGATCATCGACATACAGGTTGAATAGACTAGGCGAAGTAAGACCTCCTTGTCTCACTCCACACTCTAATTTGTATACATCTGAACTAGCATCTGACCATCTTACAACATTACTCTGATTCTTATACCAATATTTAAATAAATTTATAGTCTCAATGGACATTCCACTTTTCTGTAGCTTGTTCCACAGTATATTATAATTAACGAGATCGAATGCCTTTGACAAATCTAGAAAACAAGCGTATATACTCGTTTTGCGAGCTTTGTAATAAGAAACTGTATGTTTCAAACTTGCTATCGCCATTTCAGTAGAAAGCTTAGGTCTAAATCCAAATTGAGCTCTATTAATGTTTAAAGACTTTTCCAGCCTGACATTAAGCAACCTGTCCAGGACTTTGGCCAACACAGTAGCCAGAGATATTGGCCGATAATTATTTAAAGATGAAATATCACCCGTTTTATTTTTAATAATGGGCACAACTACTGTTTTGGTCATGTCCGGAGGTACATATCCATGACTAACACATAAATTAAACAAAATAAATAACACTCTCGGTAGATGTTTACCGCCATTGATTAGATGTTCTATACTAAGGTCATCGTGGCCAGGTGACTTGCCCCTTTTCATATTTTTAATAGCACTTTGAATCTCTTCAACAGAAAACCGATCAGTCACCTGTCCACCACAACGCGTTGTTTCATCATGAGGAAACTGAGTGGAAGAATCTATAGGTAGGGGAGAGCTAACACGGAAATGTTCCTTAAATAGATTAGCAATGTCTGTAGAGTTACATATACCATTTACACTAATCGGTCGACTTGACTTATAGTTTAAACTGTTTGTTTGCTGCCAAAATTTACCAAAACTATTTTCCGATCTATTACTTGCAATTATATCTAGTTTAATTTTATCTTCATTCTGTTGACACCATTTAAGCTTACTTTTGAAATTATTACGTGATTCTACCATATCCCTATGTACCATTCCTGTCAGTGGCTTACCGCACCATAACCATATTCTGTATTTTTCACGTGCTATATTGTGACTTTCCCTTACATATCGATTCCACCCTGTTATATAGCCACCCTTTCTTTTTACTTTCTTTACTTGTTTACTTTTCCTAGCTGCATTCTGAAGAGAATTCACAATACTGTGGTAAAGCTCACATATAACAAGGTGATGATTAGTATCATTACAAAAACTGTCAAAGCAACTTAAACAATTATCTGGTATTTGTATATCACAAAGAGAGTTATCACATAAACACATATATTTATCTATTTCTTCAATATTTCTTATTCCCCAAATTACTTGACTAGATTTTTTATTATTACTATGCCTATCATCAATTTTACAACTTACAGAGTTCAAATTACACGTTATAGATATGGGGAAATGATCAGACCAATAAACATCGTATAATATTTGAATTTCTGATACCGTGCTATACGCTGACTGAGTGGTCAATACATGATCGAGCCATCGCCTACATCCATGACCATGACAATCACTAATGAATGTATACGCATCTGAGCCTACACCAAATTTTTCTAAGTCCGCACAAAGCCAGTTATATTCTTTACAAAATTGAATTAATTCATTACCAAACAGTTCACCTGGATGGGCATTAAAGTCACCTAATATAAAAACACTTTCGGTATCATTTACTTCTACTATCGAATTTATATATGCTAGTATACTAGTAAATTCAGTCAAATTATCGATACAGTTAGTAGGCATATACACAGAAAAAATCAAAACAAACTTATTGTCAAATTGAATACGAATTCCACATACTTGAGGGTAATCGCCACAGTTCAGCACAGTCACACTCGGAAACAAATCTTTCCGCCATAAGAGCGCAACGCCTCCGTATGGCCGCCCCCGTATTACGCCTGCCGAAGTATCCACTGCACTTGTACCCGTGAAACAAAACTTATTATCTATAGTAGCTAAAAAGTTCAAGTCATGCGGAAGAAGCCATGTCTCTTGTAAAGCTATGACACTATAAGTCTTACAAAAGTCTCTCACACATTGGACGGAACGTTTCACAGATTTACAATTAAAAGATAATAATGTCACTTCACTATTTTTCTCCATTTTGACTGTTATTCTTATACTTCCTAAACTGAATAAATCTTCTGAACATAATACCTTCTGGCCATATATCACTATTCAAATATAAATCTAATTTATTCCTTGATACAAAGATTTTATATGAACAATATTGTTTATCCTCTTTCATTGTTAACTTTTGAATAGTTATTTTTTCTTGAGTTTTACTCTGCACGTATTCGCATATATCCCGTTCACTTGTATTTTTATCAACGTTCGAGATATACAAAGGAACTTTAATATCAGCTGATTTAAAAGTGCTCGCCGTTTCCACTTTTCCTATACCTAACTTCCCTTGAAATCTGTTAGTATTTTTCTTATATGTTACATTGATCCACGGGTTGGGATTTTCTTCAATTTTATTTGAATGTTCTGTGTGCTTTTTTAGCAATGAACGCGGCTCAGGTGATGTAATAGCTGTTATGGAAGCGTATGTTGCATTTTTCTTAGGCTCATGCTGATGCGAAGCTTGTAATGACACATTCTCAATTCTATTACTCGTACTTACACTCAACGTATCCACCGGGCCGGGGTCAACAACCCGCGCATGACGCTCACGATTCGAATTTGAAACCGGCAACGGTTGAAGCGCTTTGTTCTTACTCGATTCGCAAACCTTTTGAGTAACGATTTCAGATCTCAACTGTTCAACGCATGTTTTAAATACTTCTTCATCACATTTATTTCTCATTTGCACCTTTATATTTTGTAATTCTTCTTGTAAAACTCGAATATCAACTAAAAATCTAGATACATCGATATGATCAAACGTCACGGGGGGTAATTTAGAGAGATCATATGCCACAAATTTTGGAAATAATTCCGATTCACACTCTTTTAACACCTTAATCATATCCTGAAGGTCTTTTTCGATCTTGTAATTATATAATTCGAAATAAATACGTATTTTAGCATTTTTCGAAATTTATCCTATAAGAGAGTAAAATAGGGGACGAAAGTTTGTATGAAACTACCTTTTTAGACATTTTTTTGTAGTTTTAGCGCGAGCCAAGCCGCGGGTTTTGCTAGTTTGTTACAAACTTGAGATATTTAAAACACTTTGTACACAAATTATACGAGTACAGATATTCACTGTTGTACATAGATGATAAATACCTATACACCTATATACTTTCTCACAAACAGCTGATTACGGTAGTTTTCCAATACAACCAATGCCACCTAAAGGCGGGTTGCTGAACTAAAGAGACAAGCGTGATATTTCAAAAAGTCATTAAAAGTTCTGGTATTTATCGATAGATGGAAGTATCACCGCTGTGCCGGTCGGAGTGGGGGGTGTCAGGTTTTTTTCGTTACGGAATTTCTGGATTCGGTCCCCACGCTCAAGGCCCGCGATAGAAGCTATGCAATAGCTTAAAATTTATATTTCAAACATTCTTTAGTAATAGATTGTTCACGTTTAGAAGTTACATTTTTATCAGACGGCAACAAAATACGAGTACTACATAATTTTATGTGTAATTACTCCATACAACTTAACTACAAAACATGACTAAACAATTCTAATCCCAATATCAAGTGCAGGAATTGTAAACTTGTATTTAGCCCTCGCAGGGCCACTGGCCTTCCTTCAATACAAGGGAGATCAGGCCATAGTCCATTAAGCTGGCCAAGTGCGGGCGGACTTCACATGTCTTTCGAAAACTTGCTAGGTTCTCTCAGACATGCAGGTTTCCTCACGATGTTTACCTTCACCGTAAGGTGGTGTGAAGTTAATAAATACCAAAGGCTAAAACTAAGATTACAAATTTTATTATATAAAAGTATTATCACAAATAATGAATTATAGTTTCTTAACACAAAAATAAATCAATTTATGAGGTTCAATTGAAACAATTACAATCAGGGCTGCCAGTAGAGCCAACTCATTTTATACCGCTGGTACACTCATATTATATCAAATCAAATTTTATTATACAAATTAACAAACCTGTTGAGGAATAGTCTGTGACGAATTTAAATAAAAACATGTAATAACTTAAAATGAAATATACATAAAATAAGCATATTTTGTATATATATATATAATATATTACAATAATACGACGGGGCAGCCCCGCAGTCAGTTCTTGCGGTGAGCGCGGCTGCGGCGCACGTTGGCGTGGCACTGCGGGCAGTACCACTTGCCCTTGGGCGGCGCCGTGATGCCCACGCACGGGTAGTGGAACCACTCGTACGGACACTGAAATACAATATTGCTTCATAATTTATTCAGTTCATATTAAATTACATGTCAAATAATCTTTATTACTAAATAATGGATTGTCGCATTAGGTATAAAATTATAAAATAAATAAATATATATGGTTATATTTATATGTATGGTTTAAATTACTTCAAACTTGTTTATATTATTGTAACTTGTTTGTATTATAGATTATATTAATTAATTTACAACGTTATAAAGAATACGTACATCCTGATTGTCACAAGCGACCATGTCCCCATAAGATACTTGGTTGCAAATGCAGTATCTCGGCTCGTTCGGATCGTACGTCCATTCTTCTTCCATGGGCTCTTCGATCGCCACATTGTTCACCACGGTGTTTATCGCACTGGAAATTAATAATTAAATATAAATTACCTTAACTTATTTAATTAACTATTAATCGACTTAAAACTGTTACGCTTACTGAACGTAATATGATTTTTTCATTTAATTATTTAGAAGTAAAAATAAAGTTTTATAATTAAAACATCTTTCAGTCTAACTCTTATTATGTTACTAGCAACTCATCCTCGCTCCACTCGGGTTTCTCTCTAGTAACAATTTACTATTTAGGTTTGTATGTATCTTTAATGCCAAATCATAAAAAAAAAAGTTTGACCAAAAAAATTTTTTTTTTTTCGGGTGGATCACCTATGTCCTATTCTCAGACCTACACTGAATATACACACAAAATTTCATAAAAATCTGTCGAGCCGTTTCGGAGGAGTTTTGTTGCCAACCAACACTGGAACACGAGATTTTTTTATATTAGGAGGTTTTTTGAGGTTTTTAAAATAAATGGATTTGTTACATTTGTTAGATCACTATCTATGTATAATATTAATATTTCGTACCCAACGGTGGGCGAGGACGAGCGGCTGGCGGCCGCCGACACGGACTGCTGAGAGTGCAGCGACGACACGTTGCTCGATGAGCTGTATGCACTTTTTCTGTAGTGGAAAAAATAACCATTATCATGCATCTTTATTGTATGTATGTATAACTTTTAAGAGTTCTTATCTATTCATCATTTAAATTAAATAGGTTAAAGTTGTAAAGAATAATACCAAATTCTTTATACGTAAATAATTCAAGACCTCGGTATATACACTTTCATCTTTGTTATATGTAAGAGTTAATATAACTGATAATTTACTAATTGTGTTCGATGATATCGTTAATTAAATATACAAAAAAGTCAAACATGAATTATAATTAGGGAAGTTTTACTTTTGTTTATTTTGTCGTTTGTTAGTACTCGCCGAGACGGCGGAGTGCGCGTGCGCGGCGCCCGGCGCCGGCGGCGCGCCCGGACCTGTAGTCACAATTACGTTTAAGCGAGTTATTACAATTTTCAATGTAAAATTTTGGTTTTAAATATACATACAAGCTAATTAAATTGTTGTTACAATTATTACACTTTTAACTTTCGATCTTATGTTATAATTATCACAGAATTATATCAAACTAGCGACTTCACATTCTCGCTTCGCTCGGGTTCGTCCTTAGCTCGATTTCCCATATAAACTTTCATCTTCATTTTCATCGAGATGAAAATTTCCGAATTCCGAGACACTGATTTCCGAGATGAAAAGTATCCTATGTTCTTCCCAGGGTTTCTAACTATCTTCTTACCAAATTTCATTTAAATCAGTTCAGTGATCCAGAGATTACCCCCTAACAAACTCACAAACTTTACCTTTCTATAATATTAGTAGGTATAGATATTTGATATAGCTCGTTTCTTTAATTTAATAGGATTATATATGTAACGTTTCTTTTATTGTTCAGATATGGCGTTACTGATCGAATGGAGTCGTTAAGCATAACGGTGTCTGCATCCATCACGTATGAAAAAAATAAAAAAACGAGCATAATATAATAAGTAAATCATATCGCGTCCCACCGTGGTCGTGCGCGTGCGCGTGTGTGTGCGCGTGTGTGTGCTGCAGCTCGCCCGCCACCGCCTCGTACGACGCCTTCAGCGACGCCGAGCGCCGGCCCTGCTGCATCTGCGGGCACAACATTACACATTGCTTACATCGACATGTTAATAATACTATTTTTTTAATATTCTGAGTTTCTCTAGATCTTGCGAGTTGCGATGCTGTCGTTCTATGCATTATATATACGCTAGATTATGGAAAAAATCAGGAGTTTACGAGTAAGTTAAGAGCAACACGGCCAGAGGAATCAAAAAAAAAAACAAATTTACTTAAAAATACTTCTATTGTAAACTATATTTAAATTTACAATTACTATATTATGTCTAACGCTACTGGATGTAACAATTAGAATGATGGAATTTAAAAATTTATTTCTCACGTAAAATTGAACAAGCAAAAGTGTAACGTTACAGTGCCGTGAATGCTAACTGGACGCCTCGCGTCGCAATCGTTCCTATTAGGTCAGCGATCCACCTGTAGCTATGTGCTATAACTAGCAGGCAGTAGTGAGCATAGACAAGTAACAGCTATGAGTATGAATTTATTTAGACCTACCGTAAATAAAATAAAGTTTAAAATGATAACCTACCTGCTGTGTGGCGGCGATGGCCTGGCTGGCGGCCGCGGCGATGGCGCTGCCCGCGTGCCCCAGCGCGTACGCCGCCTGCCGGCACACGCTCGTGTATACGTTATACTACTACATAGATTTAATCTTCAGCATATATGTACATATTTAATGAGTATTCGGGGATATTTCACACTTTTAAGTAGACTCAAAACTTTTTTAAAGTCCTAAATTAACATGTATTGAGTATCCCCCTATTTTATTTATACTCGTAATTAAACATAAGGATCGTCTAGCAGTTTACGTAAAACTTCTATCTATTTCGATACAAAGTATTAGAATTACATGACAGCGATTCGCTTAAGCTATAAGTATATCGTTCAATTATTCTGAGATTAAAATGACCTAATTAAAAAACATCCTTTTTTCTTTAAGATACGAGACCCTAATAGGATCTTAACAATTTATTAAATTTCAATTTAATAGACAGAAAATGACATAACAATAATAATGTACTCCTCGCCGATTCCGGCCGCGGCGGCCCTCGCCGACATTGAGAGTAGCTAAATGTGCAGGTGATATTATAGTGCGGCGCGCGCCGGCGCATACTGCGGGGGCACGACGCGAGTCACGACCGGGGAGAGTTAAGGCGTCCGCCCACTACACCGTCTCATACCATGATCGTGCTAGGACCGTGTCGGGCGAAAAAATATTAGAAAAGTATGGGACTCTGCCCACTAGGCCGTTCCGTCACCGGGCCGGCGCCGTCGCGTGCCGTGCAGCAGTGAGCACACGCAGCACTAAAACTGTTATGTACGGGTACGCTGTCGATACGTCCTAGTACGCAGTCCGCGCCGCCTCGCGCCGTGCCGGTGCCTTCATATAGCATGGTCATGTATGAGACCGCGCAGTGGGCAGACTCCTTTGAGGCGCAGAGCCGACGCGACACGTGCTTTCCCGAGATATGCGAGGTGAACCGCCACCAATTTCCCAACTCTAAGCTTTTACTGAGACTATCTTCACAGAAATACTCAATACCTGAATTCACCCGAGCCGGGAATCGAACCCGGGACCTCCAGATTTGCGACCGCACATGCTAGCCACTAGACCCGGTGGTCTAATAGTAGAGGCGTTTAGACCTAATTTTACGTATAATATTATTACTTAATAACGTGAAGCATACCGGCAGAGCAGGCTCATTTCTAGAAGCCGTGCCGTTGGCCGGCGGCGCCCAGCTGTCGCGCCGCTTCTCCGCGCGAATCCGATACCTGACATTTTAAATTACATACAATTTATTTAAAATACTAGCGACGCAGATTTTGTTCACAATTTCAAGGATTTTAATTTTTTGCATAGAACCTGATTTTTTCTAAAATAAATGTAGCCTAAGTTACCGCTTTTAACATCAGCTATCTGCAATGAAAGTCTAGTCATAATCGGTACAGCCGTTTCGAAGATTAACCGGAAAAAAAGACGGTCAAAAGTTTTAAAAATAGTTTTTTTCTTATTAGTACTGTATATACTACATATAACATGCATTTAGTAAAAAGCTGTAATATTGACTTTACTAATACACATTTCAATTTTATTTATCTGTACAGATTGATACAATACATATAATCTTTATTACACACCACAAAACATGACATAAAAAAATGAATAATTTTATCAAACAAAAATGAGAATTATTATAATCATTATTATGCATTATTTTTGTTTTGAATTATGACACAACAAAATATTGTCAAGTTTTTATAAAAAAATAATATGTGAATATATATGATAATGGTAAATAGAAGTCAAATGAAGAAAGTTTTGAACATCTCTTCCATCTGTTGGTTTTATCATGCATCTCTTGTAATAGTCTGGATAAATTTTGGGACTTTTTTGTATAAAAGTTTGAAACCTGAGCCGACGGCTTACTTGAAATTTTTATCATTCAAATATAATAGGTAAAATATTAAATGAATTATCACTTACCTGTTATCTTTATAATGGATATTGGTGGTGCTTGTATGGTTTGTGTTGGAATCGAGATCAAGTGATCGTTTTTCTAACAATTCTGTAATTCCCTTATTATCTGCTTCCAGTTCACATTTGAATTTATGCAGTTCTGTGTCTGTAAAGTATTTTTTTACTAATATTAATTTATTATTATCATATTGCAACATTTTTGTATGTAGTTAATTGTAAGGTGTATGCTATTAAGAATAAAATGAAGACAATTATATTTTATGATATACAAATACTGCTTGTATGTGTTGTATTAAGTGTGTATATTATACTAAAATTGAAGTTGAATTCAAATAGTTTGCATCACTAGTATCTGCATGTAATGATTGTCTAATAAATAATAATCCTTACACTCCAGAACTTTTAGAAGGTGACAGCCTAAAGCATGATAAAAGAAAAACAATATAAGATAAACCGGTATAACTCATGTACTAGCTAACAAGTAATTAGAAAAATTTATAATTAAAAAAAAAACATTTTCATAAATTTGGCTTTTGAAGAATCATAAACTATTAAATTAATTTATTTTTTGTTGATACTATTAACACTTCCAGGTAAATTTCTAAGAAATTGAAATCTAGTGTTAACTGTAACGCCGGCGTGTCCGCGGTAGTGGAGGGATTTAAGTGTGTAGTTCAGTAAAAAAAATATTTACAAACCTAGTCTCCGTAAATATCTGTCAACTAAGTCATACATTTGATTTGCTAAAGTGACCTTTTCATCAGCTTCTTCTAAAGTTTTATTATAACCACGTTTGATATCTGAAAACTCAGTATTGGCTTGGTCCGTGTTAATTTCACCTCTTCGGCAACCACCGAATAAAGTACGCACTCGTTTTTCTAAGGTATCCATATTATCTATAAGAAAATAATTAAAGTTATTGTTTCACGAAAGTTCTTAAGTAAAACATGATATTATAGGTAGCAAATGTGTAAATTACTTACTGTACAGATATAATATATTATATATGTATTATTAAAATAACATTTGTAAAACTTACTTTGGACAGATAAATCCATTTCTCGCATTTCTGTGAATCTGTCTCTTAATTCTTGAGGTAAATGCTCGATCACTATAATAATATAACATTTTTAAGTAAGAGTATGAGCCATAGTATTTTTAATTTTTATTATTTGTAAACAATTTTAAATATCGCGGTAAAATAATCATAGAAGCATTTTCAATGCTGCCAACCGTAATGGCGTATAGATATACTGTGTGGTTAAAGTAAAGGACGGCTTACTTTCTAGATAATCCTCGAGGTACAGCATATTGGTGAGTTGAATGTAGATTTCTTGTAATTAAAACACTTTATAAACAGTAATTCGTATTAATATAAACTTGAAATTGTAAGTCTCGTATACGTAGAACAGGATGACGTGTACTCCAATCGAGGAAATGAAGTATAATAAGTGTAGTGATGTATACACAGAGAAACGTGCTTACTGCTCAGTGGTCGATATTGTCTACTATAACTTATAAATATAATAAATTATAATTGTTAAATTAAATTACAAAAAATATAAATTGCGTTAAATTAATTGAAAAACTGCATTACTTTTTAAATTCAAAGTAAAAGAAATACTTTACTTAAGCAATTATTATTTTAAATATATTGTACGATATAAAGTGCAGCTAATATCTCAATTAGTTGATGGAAATGAACATTTTATGCAATGTTTCGTATATCTTACCTTGATTATTTAGCATAAGATATTTAAGATGCTAAATGTATAACAGTTAAATTTATATGTTTTAGTTTTAAAATAGTTATCATTATTACATAAATTCAATGTTTAATATTATATTTTTAGTTTTGTATTAATATCTTTAATAATATAATACTATCGATAACTTTTGTGTAGAATCCCTTATACCATCCATTTTGTATAGCAGTGTACCAACTGTTAAAACTCAAAAGACGTTCAATATTACATTATGTAACAGATAATAACTTTTATTTTTATTATACTTTTTACAGATAAAAAATGATTCGCAGGCCTTTAACGGAAATAACATTAAAGCTCGATGATTTACAAGAATATGAAGCCTTTAGACGAGATCAAGCTAATAATTCAGCCATAAGTAATGAAATGCAGGAAGATACACCTAAGTCTTTAGCTGGAGGGACAAAAACTACAGAAGAAATACATAACAGAATCGGCTATGCTCCTAAAAAAAAGCCAAGTGGACCAAGTACAGTTTAAATGTAAAAAAAAAGATTATGTTGAAAATATTTATTATAATTAAAATTTACCATACACGTAATCAACAACATTCAATTCAGAATTTTCATAGTTATGAGTCACTTAAGAATATTGATATAAATTGGTGCGATGTAAAAGTGTAAAAGTCTATTTAATATCTATTAAACTTTACTGTGCATTTGATTCATAACGTATAAAATAAATATTTAATAAATATGCAAATCTTTTAATTTTCCTTCTTGTGGAGCCAGGATAGCATTTTTCTTCAAATGAGCACGTTTTTTAGCTTGGCGTCTCTTCCACAGCACGCAGTACAGTCTATAAATAACAAAGAAATCATGTAAAATGGATAAAAGCAAAAAAATATATATATGTCAGTATAAAAAAGATTCTACCTTAATGTAAGGAAATATAAAATTTCTGCAACGCTGAGTATTGAAAATCCCATAAATAGGCCTAGTAAACCTCCACAGTTGGCAAGAAAATCGGTTTGTCCGTAAAGTTCTGAACGCCGAGAAGTAATAAATTGTGCTTCTTTGAAGAAAATCATAACACGTGCGTATAATAAACTGTAAGAAGAACAAACCATTATATATAGGGAACTGCTGAAAGTACATGATTGTATGTAAACGATAAAGATACATACTAATTTAAAGTATTGAAACTATGGAGGATAGAGGTAAGGAGAACTATCTCTGTGATGAACATGTGTCCGTCGAAATGCGTTAAATTATGGTGGCGCTACGGTAGCAAGTGAGTACAATTTGAAGAAAGCGCCAAAAGTATTGTAAAAAGTTCACAAAAAATAAATCACTAGTTTATATCACCACAGTTTTTTTTGTTAACCATTATATCTATATAGTCTATACAAGTGTCTGTTTGTAATTTCAAAATAACAGGATGTTACTAAATGCATATGAAGTTATATTTGGTACATATAAGAAAAACACTATTTTTACATTTCACTGGCAGATAAGTAGTAACTTAGGTTTTTATTTAAATAAAGAATTTGGGTGCCGCTCAGAAAAATAATCAAACGTACTAGGGACGCACCCGAATGAGACGAGGGTAAATTCATAGTTAGCTAATATTTTCGTTGTTTTAAAGAATACCATTTTTAAGCGACATTTTATTTATGAAGAAATATAATTAGATATTACACTCGTTCCATACCAACTTTTTATCTATAGGTACATAAAATAAAATTGTAACTAAGCCGAATCTGTATATTAAATAGTTTTTGGAAAATCTTATTGAAATAAATCTATAGTTTTTAGAATTTTTGTCTGTCTGTCTGTCTGCCTGTTGGTCTGCCTGTCTGTTACCGCTTCACAGAAAAACCACTGGAGGGATTTTGATGTTTGGTATGGTAATAGCTGGTTATCCGGGTCAACATATAGGATACTTTTTACCGCGGGAAAATGTCTCATTTCTGAGAAAAAATACAAAAACTGAAATGTAAAAGTATACCAATATGTAAAACCTAAGAATTTGGTTTTTGGTCATCTGAACGCGGGCGGAGCCGCGGGTAATGCTAGTTACATAATAAAACCAAAAAAAACCAACTTCCAGGCACTTAAATGTAAAAAATAATTAAACGGGGGTTTTCATTTAGAATAGATACCTAATCAGATATTTTCGAAGTCGGTGCTAGCCGATGCAAAGCAAATCTTACATAATATTTCGATACGTAAAATACATACTTACATATTAGATATTCATATCTTAAAATATTATCGGCTGGCACCGACTTCGAAAATATCTGATTAGGTATCTATTGTAAATGAAAATCCCGGTTTAGTTATTTTTTACATTTTAGTGCCTGGAAGTCGGTATTTATTATTTTTTGTAAAGTTTTTATTTTTCCATTTTTAGTGTAGACGTAAGTAATAAGCAGGCCTGCTTATTATTTACGTCTACACTAAGACGTAAGAAGAAAGTTTTTTAATAATATATTCGATTAAAGAATTTGTTTAAAAAATATTTATTGCGGAATTTAAAAAAAAACCGCTTGACCGATTTCGATAAAACTTATATGGGATCACCTGGGAATACACCTACCCCTTGAAACAAAAAAATTCCAAATCGGTTTAGGCGTCTTTGAGTAAGTAATCGGTACATACATAAAAAAAAAAGATTCCGACGAATTCAGAACCTCCTCCTTTTGAGAGTCGGTTAAAAATCTTAATATATATAATTCTTCTGTACGTGTGTTTGTTAACCTACTCCTCCTAAAGGACTGGACCGATTTGGATGAAATTTTGTGTGTATATTTCAATGGGCTCCTGGATGGTTTGAAAACATATATGGACCCAGTAGGTGGCGCTGCAGTCGGTGTGCCACTGATCGTCTCCTAAACGGCAGGTGCGATTTTAATGATATTTTTTGTGTAGGTATATTCGAGTGGGTCCCTGCAAGGTTTGAAAACACAATTGGACTCAGTAGGTGGCGCTGCGTTCGCTGTGTCACTAAATTTTCATAAAAGACTCCATTTTCCGAGCAATACATACATTTAATTTGTTGATTAAATGTGTGTATGTATGTTTCCTATGGACTCCAAAACTGCTGGAGCGATTTTGATGAAATTTTCAGGTAATCTTGAGATTAGCCCAGCCGCAGGTACTGCCAGAATATACCTAATAAATATCTACGACAGATCTGTATTGAAACTCATAAAGCAAACTAGCTCTCGGATCTCCTTATAAGTAAATTCCTTATCTAGCTCCTTAGAAGTAAATTCCTGCAAATACCTTTCTGTATAGATACTCTTAATAATAACTGTTGTAGTGACCTAGCATTTGTTATTTTATAAATGACAAGTGTCGCTCCGCGGTTCCGGTAATTATTATTTATTTAATTATTTTTATAATTGCGTCGCTCCTTTTCACATTATCACCTAACTTTCATCCTTGCAGGATTTACTGCCTAAAACATTAAATAATTTTTACTTAATTAAATTCGATTTTTAGTCGGAAAGATTATTATTATTTGTTACCGTCATTGTAAATATAATATTAAAGGATTTTTGAAACTTTCGACCCCGTTCTTACCCGACCTAGAGTATTTTTTTAACTGACTTCCAAACAGGAGGAGGTTTTCAATTCGTCGGAATATTTTTTATTAAATAAATTGCTTAATCGAATATTTGATTAAAAAGTTTTCTTCTTACAAATTACCTGCTTATTACGTCTACACTAAAATTGAAAAACAAAACTTAAAAAAAACAGGCACTAAAACGTAAAAAATAACTAAACGGGGGTTTTCATTTAGAATAGATACTTAATAAGATATTTTCGAAGTCAGTGCCAGCCGATGCAGAGCAAATCTAATTTATTTCGATATCTAAAAAATGCGAAATCTTCTGAGATTTCGTGATTATTCACTACGAGTAAAGAAATGAGTGGTATTTCACTTTTATAAATAAAGAATTGTAAATAAAGAAGGTTATTAAAATATTACTCTTCAGAGTCCTCCTCTATTGGCAAATTAAAAGCTCTGTACAGCGCCTTCCAGTCATAATCAGCTTGTGAGGTTTCCGCTTCGTATTCGATGGAAGTGCACGCTGGAAGACATTTGCAATCCGCGGCAACTAGACGCGCTTCGCCGAGAGTGTCGTTATTATGTGGGTCCTTTTCCAAACCGGATTGCACTTCAACTGTGACTAATTCCACTAAAGCACATTTTTTATTATAGTTTTCAATATAGACTAGAGAAGTAACTATACATAGTACAATATTTATAGTTTAAGTGCCTATCTATAGGTATATTTGGTTACGTGTTTGCAATAAAAATATATAATAATGTCTATTAACTAAATTAATAACTTAATTTAAAATGAATGACTTAAAGTTAACTAAAAAATAATATGTGATGATGATGTTTTCCTAGCCGATTCCGGCCACGGCGGCCAATCTCATTGAGATTAGCCAACTGCGCAGGAGATATTATAGTGCTCAAGTGTACGCGCAGACACAAGTGCACTCTCTATTCCTATCACTCTCATACTCCGGTAGGACGACTGCTCGACACGACCAGTGAGAGTTAAGGCGCAGGACCGACGGCTTTACGTGCTCTCCGAGGCACGGGGGTGAAACACCGCCAACTTCCCAACTCCGGGCTGTTACTGAGACATTCTATACAGAAAGACTCAATAACTAAATTTGGCCCGACCCGGGACTCGAACCCAGGACCTCCGGGTGTGCAGCCGTACATGCTAGCCACTACACCACCGAGGCAGTTAAAAAAAGTAATAGAGTAAGTTAAAAAATAATATATACATACAATATTAATTTAGAAAAGGAAAGTTGTAAAAGTGATAGTGACGACGGTAATAATAAATGTGATATGAATAACTTTTATTTGATTGATGTAACAAATCGATATTCGAATGTAAGATGCCATATTATGGTGTCTCCATTTTATAATCCGTATGCGTAGGTACTTTATATAGGTAAATTACAAAGTTATCGTACGTTTACTCTGTATCGAGTACGCTATTGCCCCAGCCTATTTTCTGCTTGTATGAAATATGCTTAACATTAAATTGTATAATATTTTATTTCGAAAGTTGAAAAATATTATTTATATTAATAATTTATCAATTACTAGTGACCCACTCTTGCTACGCTCGGGTTCGTTCCTAGTACAATTTTATCGTTTAGTATAGATTTATCAGAAATGAGATATTTTCCCGCAGTAAAAAGTATCCTATATGTTGACCCGAATAACCAGCTATCATCATACCAAATTTCATCAAAATCTGTCGAGCAGTTTTCTCGTAATTTGGTCACAGACAGACAAAAATTCTAAAAACTATAGATTCGGCCTCTGTATCGAACTGACTATCTCAATAAAATTTAATGTACAGATTCGGCTCAGAATTTTATTATCTATACATTAAGATTTAAGTAACTCCCCGCTTCTATTCACAAAGCTATTTTACATAAAGATTGTTAAATACGTTTTAATAATATTTAGATACATTGCTACGTGAATATATGTTTGTAGTAAAATATGAATAACTAACGATTCACCTACGCTTCGATCTGTGATGTAACTAGGTCATTCAGTTAAAAATTCAGACAGAAATTATTCATCTATACATATCTATACATATACTGTAACTATTCCGATGTGTACATTAAATATTTTTTGGAAAATCTTATCTATTGAAATAAACATTACTATCGAAACAGAGGCCGAATCTATAGTTTTTAGAATTTTTGTCTGTCTGTTACATCATCACAAACCACTGGAGGGATTTTGATGAAATTTGGTATGATGATAGCTGGTTATCCGGGTCAACTTATGGGGTACTTTTTACTACGGGAAAATATTTAATTTCTGAGAAATCTATACTAAACGTTAAAACGTATTCTACTTTCAAATAATTAGGGAGATGTCATCATTATATAAATATAACTATTTCCCATTTGATGGCTGGATGTGAGCAGTATGGTTTGTTGTGTGCGTGTTAAGTTAGGTACATCAAGAATCAATTGGTGTTTAGGCGTCAAGAGGAAGTTATTTGATACAAGGGACCATCTCTACGTTAATATCTTATACTTACTCTGTGCTTTCTTCATACACGCAACGCTTCCGGCGTTGCATACTGGCATTTCTGGGCCATCTACGTTAAAAATAGAATTGAGTTTGGGTTATTACGTATCAAGGTTGATTCGCTAAATGTGGTATTGCAATAAAAATAAGACTTCCATAAAAAGATGAATGTATCCCTAAAGCGGACCCGAGACGATCAATCGCAATTGTCAATTTTACATTATTGTCAATTGTCATTGATCAATTAAGCAAGTGAAGCGATTGTCAATAGCAGTTACGTGATTGAAAGGAATCGATGGAAATTTTAATTGATGCTCATTGACACGAGCCATTGAAGTTGCCAATTGATCGTTTACTGAGTCATTGACAATCATTTCCGTCTTTCGCGCGTCTGAAGTGAAAACTATAAACAAACTCCTAAAAGCCACAAAATAAACAATTGAATTAAATAAATAAAAATTAAAATCATTAAATTACAAACATGGCGGAAACCACACGCAATGTCGAGGAACGTCAATTTATTTCACTTTTAATATCTTTATATCAAGATCGCCCAGCGTTATGGAAAATCAAATCAAAAGATTATTCAAACAAAGATAAAAAAGTCTAACAGTAAAAAATATAGTAAATATATTTAAAACTTATAGAAGTGATTTTGATCAAAATAAATACAATTAAAAGAAAATGAATGTTCTCCATAATGTGCGCAAACACAAACACTGCATCAGCAATTGACAAATGACAGTAGCACATAGACAATTGCGATTGATCCTCTCGGGTCCGCTTAACTTTACACGACTTCGAAGGAGCTTCGAATTTGGAAGGTAGGTACGTACTCCTACATAATATGTTTTAACATTCTTTCGACCCGAAGAGTCTATCGCATACTTCAAATTTATTTGGCTTTCCAAGATTTTTCTACCTTAATAGGTATATACCGCCATTCTTTATTTCTATATAGGTAAATCAGATATCATTGGATAATTTGTCTAAGTAATGTAAATTGTAAATAAGATAATCAGGCGTTATTTTCAATCAAAAATTATAAAAATTTAAACGTCTTTCAACTCCATGTCTGGAGTAAATCTATTCTCTAACATAAATAAAAATCATCATTATGTTTCTACAGCGATGAAGAAGGTAGTATTCCTTCAAACTTTACAGTTAAATATATTTAAAAAAAAATATGATTGGGCTATTCTATAATATTTTCATAAAATTAACTCGTTAATAAATTAAAAAATAACTTACTACAAGATATAAAAATAAGCCATGTTAGTCTAAAAAATACTCACGTGGCATCCCGAAATGTACACAACCACATCTCGCAAAAGTGAACTTAGTTAAACATTCCATTTCACAATTGGCTTGCGTGTAAACTTTGAAATAATGTAGGTAGCGTTCACTTGGGAAATAGCATTGGCGTCTGCAATAAAATATGTTGAGTTTTAAAATGTATAATTATTAATTAATTTAAAATTGAAATCACCGTTAACTGTGCAGTACATATCTATATATGTAATAAAATTCTGAGTCGAATCTGAACATTAAATATTTTTTGGAACACCGAACTTATAGTTTTTTTAAATTTTATCTGTCTGTCTGTGACCGCATCACGAGAAACCACTGGATAGACTTTGGATGAAATTTGTTATGATGATTATAGACTATTTAACTCTCTTAACGTATTAAAAACTATCTCTATATATAAAAGAAGACATCATAGAAAATACTTTCGCATTTATAATAAGTTTCAGTAGAGGTTTAAGTTTAACCTTGAAGAGTTCACTGTTGAGCTTTTATTAAATATGTATAATAATATTATTATTTTATATCACATGGGAATAGATATATTATAAAATTCTTGCAAATCTCGAAAATAAGCAAAGTTAATATCTCAATAAGAAGTGAGAGATCAAAGAAAATTTATGTGCTCTCGAACTCTACGTGATGAGGTCGTGAATCTGATGAATATACATACTTTGATGAAATTTGTTAGGATGATAGCTGGTTATCCGGGTCAACATATATGTAGGATATTTTTTACTGCGGGAAAATATCTCATATGAATGAAAGAAATCTATACTAAACGTTAAAACGTAATGAAGACCGAGTGGAGCGAGGGTGAGTCGCTAGTATTATATAAGTGCAGTGTGAGTATTTCTCTACGTTGCAACCATGAACGAATGTGGCTAATTCGTTCATGGTTGCAACATATAGGTATCTTTACGTAACCAATAAAGTTTTTAAATTATTTCTATTTTAATATTAATAATTGAATATTATTACTTAGGTTATTCTTAGTTTGAAATTTGTTTTTCTTTTGACAAGTACGTATCTTAAACCATTCTAATTTTTAAAATAATATGGAACCTATAGAACTCCTCATTGGAACATTAACAACAAAAACACAAAACAAAAAAACAATTCTAAATCTTTATTCACCTAGTTGGATCATAAGGCTTAAGTCCTTCTGATGTGGTCATCATTTTTGGCTTAACCGCGACAACCACTTCTTGAGATAATGGAGATCTAAAATACTGCTGTGAAAGCCGTGGCATTTCTGCTGGGTTATGTAACAGTACCTGGGAAGATATTTTTATATTTTTAACTTTATAACTTTAAAAATACGACCACTGTACAACTACATAGGTAATTCATTTCCGCCAAAAAAAAAAATTCTCGGTGCTCAAGCAAAATATTAATCTAAATATGTTTAAAATTAAAATGTTTAGAAAATATCTATTAATACTAAATTATCAATTTCTCATCATTTTCTTAATAAATTTTGTATTCACAAGTACTACTCGTAGGTACTTATCTTACGAAAAGTAATAAGTTTATTTAGATATTACGTTAATAATCACCTTAAAGCCTTGTACAGGTCCTCTACAGAGGTAGTCCAAATCTTCTTGAAAAGCTTTTAAAAGGAATACTAAGCCTGCTTTTGCACCATACCCCTGTAGAGAAAATTGTGTTTTAGCTAACATAGACGGAAATTTAAAAATAACTCCTTACATAATGTGCATTTTGAATTTAAATTAAACTACTTACACTGCCACGGTGAGGATATGTTTCTAGCGGCGTGTTGGGAGGGTAACCATTTTCTAAAGTCCAAGTTTGAGTCTTGTTTGAATTTTCTAGGTAACTGTAATCTGAGTGTAAACTGCAAAAATATAATATTTTTAACTTTATAAAATTACGTAAAGCACCTTAATGGTTATCAACACAAAACTAAAACTTCAGTTACTTATTGCTCAAAGTATGTTTTTACGCGACAACCTTCTTATACCTAATATTTTTTGCTATTATAGTTTCTAATATTGTTTTAGTAATAACTTTAATAAAATATTATATTAAGAACTATATTACTTTTCAACCCTAAAAAGCTCTTTAGCACCCATGGTGTTAAATGTATAGCAAAGGCCTTCTTCTGTCAAAATTGGCTGAAATAAATCAGAGCAGCTGCCTTTTGGAATGTCTTTCCATTTACACCCCAAAAACATTTCGCTTATATTTGGCGAGACCTAAAAAACAAAAAATATATTAAAATAAGGTTACTATTATGTAAACATACTGCCTCGGTGGTGTAGTGGCTAGCATGTACGGCTGCACACTCGGAGGTCCTGGGTTCGAGTCCCGGGTCGGGCCAAGTTTAGTTATTGAGTCTTTCTGTATAGTAAGTCTCAGTAACAGGAGTTGGGAAGTTGGCGGAGTTTCACCCCCATGCCTCGGAGAGCACGTAAAGCCGTTGTCCTGCGCCTTAACTCTCACTGGTCGTGTCGAGTGGTCGTCCCACCGGAGTATGAGAGTGACAGGAATAGAGAGTGCACTTGTGTCTGCGCGTACACTTGTGCACTATAATATTTCCTGTGCAGTTGGCTAGTCTTTATGAGATTGGCCGCCGTGGCCGGAATCGGTCGGGAGAACATCATCATTATGTAATTACATGCTCATCATCGTCATCGATAAAGTGACATTATTATCAAACTTTTATTAGCTTTTCTCTTTAACGTCGCATACATTAAAAATTTTATACACAAATGTTATACCGGTCCCATCCCCATATAAGGTCCCATCGAGCTGGTCTAACAATGAAACCAGGAGGTTGATATTACAACTCTTCAATGACTACTAATAATAGTAACCTTCTAATAATAAAACCTTCGAGTTAGGGTTCTTTTGATTTGTTGCTTTAGTTGGTTTAATACAACCTATAATTTTATTGTAATTATTTTGTTTTGCGCGATATTTTATCTGTGTTCCAAATGTTGTTACAAAAAAACGGTAAGGACTACTTTATGTACAAATAAATTTTACAGAATAAAGCTTGTACTGTGCATCGTAAAAAGTCTTTGAAAATTCTACATCAAAGAACAATCATTGCCCATATAATTTACTGGCATTGTTAAATAATATAAGAAATTAAAAACAAAAAGGAAAAAATCTCCGCAAATATACCCAAACCAATAAAAGTGGCGGAAAAGTGTAATGTTGCTCCATTTTTAACCGACTTCAAAAAGGAAGAGGTTCTTAATAATTCAATTTTTGTTTTGTTTGAAAGTGTATACTTCCAGTTTGGTACCATTTAAATTTGAAAAAATATACCACCTTAGGGGTGGGTAAATAGCTAATAACTAAGTAAAGACTTAAAAATAACTAAAATGCGTTTCTAAATAGAACCTTTTTTCATAAAAATGACAGTAATTGTTATACATTTATATAAAGCAATAGATTATAAATTATATCTCAGCACACCTGTATTAAATTTTCTACTGTTATGTTCCCGGATGAAAATTTCCTTCCATTAGCCGGAGCAAGATGATCATCACAAACTAAACTAACGTCTTCGAAGAGTTCACGTCTATAAAAACAGTAGAAATAAGTAGGTACAATACCTAGGTGTAAGATATTTCATACTTGAAAATATGATTTAACTAACGACTTAGCCCCGCTTCACTTGGATGCGTCTCTTGGTGCCAACAGCCTATGTGTTACTCCATGTACATATTGTACATATATACATATCTATATCACGGATATACATATCTATGTAGGTACCTACTTTTCATACAAATCCGCCCAGCCGTTTCAGTGCGAAGGAGTAACAAACATACACACACAATTACAAACTTTCGCACTTATAATAGTACCATGATATAATAATAAATTACATAACCGAAAGTAATGGTACTAATTAGAAATCTCATCTTCATCTAACTTATTTAGTTAACATTTTAGTAACTAACGGAAAAGAAAGCAACTTTAATACTGTCCGTAATCGTTCGAGTGTCATGCATTGTATAAATTGTTATTAATAACAGGGCGAGTTTTATGGTCTATACAAAATTTATTGTGTAATCGAAATTTATTTTAAAATATATCCAAAAATAACATTAATAATTGAATTAATAGTATAAAAAATGTTTTAAAACACAACAAAATCGAAAGTGCATAATATTTAACACCATTCAGACAAAGAAAGACAATAGCATTCCCAAGGAGGGTTGACGTCAGGCAGGCGGCCGGTCGTAAAGCTTTTGCCAAATCCTATCAGCAGTACACTGAAGATGTACTGCGCCGACCCCAAGTGATTTGGGAAATGGGCAGGGAGAAGAAGAAGAAGAGTTTTATGGTCTATCATTTAGCCATTGTAAAAAGGCATTATTTCGGTAAAATATGTTTTTACATTAAGTATATAATTATTTAGTAATTTTACTGACTCCAAAAAATAAAATCCTTCTTATATAAAGTTCGATTGTACCTTATGTGTATATTCAATAGAATAGTGATCGTAAAAACATTTTAATGGAAAAGCTATGCCTTAATGTTTTTCTCCATACTACATTATACACCATTCTGTATTTTCAAGAAAATGGCCACACTAGGAGTGGAATATTTTTTTTAATTATTTCAAAGATATTAGATAGGTAGCTCATTTTAAAGTCAGTGAATACCTTATGATATTTAAAAAATAATGATTCTATTTTGTTTTTGTTTTTGAATATGAAGATAAGTATCGCAATTACATTTTTAGAAAGATCTTTATATGTAAAGAAATTTTGAAACTTATGATATAAAATATCTTAAGAAGTATGTTTTCAAATTCAAAATTATTTTATTCAGCATTAAATCACTACAATTTTTTACTGAACGTAAAGTCAACCACCAGTTCGGAAAGAAGACTCCTCAGACCTGAGAAGAACTGGCCTGAAAGAAACTCAGAGGGACTAATATTATTATTTCGTTATCTTTTTTTGTAACACTAAAATTCGAATGTTCTTAATAAACTTTTAATTATGTTATATTCAGTGCCAATAAAATCTTAAAAGTATGTACTTTTAAAGTATGACAATTCGGAAAAACAAAATGTTAGCGACAATAGAATTAAAATATTGATCTTAGTACTTACTCTTCATCGGTTAGGTTTCCATATGTACTCTCGTTATTGTAGAGATGGTAATATTTTGTGAAATTAAACTTAGTTTGCTGTGATTTTGTTTCGAAGCACACCGTTACAGCTGGATAAGGAATCTGGATAGTAAACATGTTAATGATTCAAAATTGAATTTTTAAGTAACTTATCTACGCATAATATAGGTATTTTGGCAAAGCTTTGTAGCTTCAAACTTGCTTAACGTAAATACTGATATGTATATTACAAAAGAGTTTGTTAAGTACATAAAAAGCACCTTATTGTGATTTTAAACAGGATATTAAAAAAAACTCTATTTATTTGTACCTGCCACACTGGTGTAGAGTTTTCAGCAAAGCTTACAATCACAGGGCTTTCATTCCATTTTATCCAAACTTTACGTATGAGACCAGAGCAGAGTATCACACAGCAAATAAACATAAAAAGCCAGAAGATTCTAAAAATAAACTTTTAATTAGTGTTCTATCTAGTTTATTTCTGTAACAACAAAAAAATAGGTCTAAAATCTAGATTCATCGACATTTGAAACTACTTTTTCCACGTTTTATTTATAAGACAAGATAATTTGTCCTGCTTATTACTTTACCATATTTGTAACATGTAGACTTTATACACTAATAATTGCTATTTGGTAATATATGTACATGTAGAATCGAATGGAATCGGGACATCGCTCACTTTTCAACCGAAGTTCGTTCCTTCTCTCCGATATATTTTAAACCGTGTAGATTAGAGTTGGCAGTATAATCAATCAAGTATTGTTTAATTAAACTTATTTTTTTCTTCTTTGTTTTTATATTTTCATTTCCAATCGTTGGTTCTATTTCTTCGAAGTTATTTTCAGGAATGTTTCCGACGCTCTCGGACCTAAAAAGAATGTTATTTTTTACAAAAAGTCTTTATTTATACTATAAGTATAATAAAAGCACGGTGTCGTTTTAGCATTCATCCGTGTCCTTCCTAAGTGTAAGAGCTTTTGAAAATATTTTCATTAAAATCGATTGATAAATGCAATAAAAGTCTTCAAATCTATATTAATATTATAAGATTATTATTATAAGAGGTAGAGTTTGTTTGTTTGTTTGTTTGTTTGTTTGTTTGTTTGTTTGTTTGAACGCGCTAATTTCAGAAACTACTAGTCTTATTTGAAAAAAATCTTTTTTTTTGTTAGCCAGCAGGCTATAGGCTTCATAATACATATAATATAATAATAGTATTACATACTAACCGATATACTATTATATTATAATATATAATATAATGATTCAACGCTCATACTCAAGAATCAACCGGTCCATCACAACCTTACTTACAACATTAGCTTCATATTTTAAATGGGGAGATAGAACAGGATCAATTATACTAGGTACTCTTTTTCCTGAGGGTCTCGGGACGGGATATTTAGATAAACCGACAGAGTCGTGAAAAAGTCGAGAAACTAATAAATAATAATTCTAATATATAGTATAATAGTAAGGACAATCTATTTTCTTAAAAAACAACATTATTTACAAAAAATATTTTTTCTAAATAAACAAAATATACATTTAGAGTGTAATATAATATGTAAAAATGAACAGTAAATTACCTTGAGTGTCTCTTCATGTTGACCACAAGTGACTGTCTCTATTTCAAATGAATTTTTGACGAGTATTATTGTTTGGGCTCGGTCATTTAGAATGAAATAAACCCATTACTGTCATCCCATGGGATACCAATCTGCCTATTACGAAATTAGAAGTAATTCGAAGAATGACACTTTTCATAATGTTATTGCATAAACAAAATATGACATAACCATTACTTTTGGAGTAAATTAAATTAAAGGAGTGTCTGGAAATTAATTAGCGTAAAATTAAGGACGAACGGCGTAAATTAAATGTATTTTGTGCTATACTAATAAACGCACTCAAGTGGACATTTGTACAATATTATAAAATTATAAAGGTACCTACATACTATACTATTGTGTATCTAAAATTAATATATAAATATATTCAAAAGCCAATTGAAAGTGTTTCTTCCAATATTCTATACTTGAAATAAGAGTTGTGGTGCGAGGTCATGAAATTAAAATATTATGCAATAGGTAGGGAAAGGGGGGTACAGTGAGCCGTAGTACACAGTGAATCAATGGCTGTTTCTCTTTTCAACCGACTTCAAAAAGGAGGAGGTTCTCAATTCGACTGTATTTTTTTTTTTTTTTATGTTTGTTACCTCAGAACTCCGTCATTTATTAACCGATTTGGACATTGGAGTAGTGCTAGTTAAATCTTGCAGAATTTCCGATTCAGTCATTTCTAAATATATGTCCCTAATTATTCCATAAGAAATGCCAACTTCAAAGGTCTTTTGACATCGATATTCTTTATCAATGAAGTATTTGCATTGCATTAGCTTCTCTGCACTTTCGTTTTTGCTGAATTTTAGCATCACTTTATAGGCATTAATATACCTCACTCGAATAATATCTAATATATTTTCCTGCTTGAGGATACGGGCCAATCCTAATTGCTTAGGTAACTTCTCCTTTTTCGATGTCATACTTATCTCAATTTGTTCTTCTGGTACTCTAGTCATATCATCGTCAGACGCACTGCATGCCACTACTTTACCTCTTCTCCCGACTTCTGTCCAAACTTCTTCCTCGTCTACCACCCGACTTCTCTTCTCTGCTCGACTTCTTTCTGTCCTCTCATATAACGATAACGAATTGTCGTCATTACTGTTAATCTCGGCCCTCTCTTCTAATAAATCAATTACTTCACAATCTCGGTCCATATCTAACGAGTTTATATCGCTATCCATATCCGACGAGTAAAAAATTCATTGCAATTTATAAAATAACAAATACGCGTACGCTTAAACAAAACCGGTTCTAAACGACCGCCAACAGCAAGCGAACGCAAGCAACTGTGTGTTTAAAGTTAAAAGTTAAAATATTGTAAGGTACTTTGGTGCCATTTTTCAATTTTTTGAATTCATTTTGTTAATTGTGGGTAGGCTGTCTGTAACAACTATATAATACCTTAGAGACATCTAACACCTTAGTCTCTCTCGTGACCATGATTGCTGTAAAGCATTCGAAACGTTAACGAAAAGATAGTTTTATTTAATATTTATGTTATATAAATAAATGTTTTATGAATTGTTTTGTCTTATATATATTATTTTATTACAGATACTATTCTATTACTACCATATTCTGACCTTCACTCGAATCTTTTGAGCCGCGACGAAGAGAGTAAGTTATAAGCATAACTATAAATACACGTAGAATTAGTGTGATTACGTCCTCATATAGCTTCAAATCAAACACCAAAAAATGTCGTTAGTATATAATATTTGTTTTATTATAATATTTAGTAAGTAAAGAATAGTGACAATTTTTTTTTTAAGAAAAGTATCTTTTCAGATTTTGTCGCAGATTTATTTTGATTCACGAAAATAACTAAAAAGATAGTTTTATTTGAAATTTTAAATATTACCGTAAATCTAAGGAAGTATTTAATAATGTCTTGTTACCATGGTTACCCTACGAAGGGGTCAAGCACAGAAATTAGCATAGGCCAGAAGCTTTCCGAATCTAATACGGAGGAATAAATAAAAACTTTGCGAACCCTTTATTGTAGCTTCGTGTTATTTCTAATCTGATTTTTGCTTTCTCTGAATTTAGAGTGACTCATTAATATTAGAAGTTATTAGTCTACATAATGATTTAAAGTTTGCTCGTAGTACAATCAAACCTTTATAAAATGTCAGTTATTAATACTTAAAAAAAAAGTAAATATTGTAAATTTAAGAGTCTTGTAACTTCAAACTCTCTACTTACGTATGTACATCTCATATGAACAAAACCAATATATCTCGTTCGAGTTCGAGCTAGATATTTAGACTTAGTTAATTTTAATTTACACCATTATTCTATTGGCGGTTTTCTGTGTTAGATGTTTTAGAAACTAACGACAGCAGTTCACAGTACTAATGACTTTATTATCTATGGATATTATGATCTACACTTTTCGACTCACTGGTACAAAAACTCTACTTAACGGTTTTAACATTTAGTATGGAAAAGGTATAATGAGTTTTATATCACTTACTTGGGAAATAATTGATTCCCCATACAGACTTTCATCGTGCCTTTCGCCTCCTTAAGGGATGATTTCCGGGATAAAAACTATCCTACGTCCTTTTCAGGATCTCGAACTATTTAAATTGGTTCAGCGGATTTTTAGTTTATCCATTACGAACCAAAATATAAAAAGAAATGTTGGGCCTGAGGGTCTCCGTCTCCAAAACGGAGGCCCTCCTCTTTCATGGCCCACGCAAGGGTGCCCCCCGCAACGCCTGTCTGCGAGTCCAGGGTAGGATGGTGGAGGTTCGGGCCCATATGCGTTACTTGGGCCTGACCCTGGACGGACGCTGGACGTTCCGTGTCCATTTCGCCCAGCTCACCCCGAGACTGATCGGCGCCGCCTCGGCCCTCGGCAGACTTCTGCCGAATGTCGGGGGCCCTGGATCTCACTGCCGGCGGCTCTATGCCGGCATCGTGAGGTCCATGGCACTGTACGGTGCCCCCGTGTGGATTGACGCCCTCTCCACACCGAACAGGACCCAACTGCGCAAGGCGCAACGGGTCCTGGCGGTGAGGGCGGTGCGGGGATACCGTACGGTGTCCTTCACGGCGGCGACACTTCTGGCGGGCGATCCGCCCTGGGAGCTCCAGGCGGAGGTGCTCGCCGAAGTTTATCAGTTTCGGGCGAGTGAGCGGGCGCGAGGGGAACGTCCAGCGCGGGAGGGAGTCGCTCGGATCAGGCGCCTAGCTGACGAGGCACTGATCCGGCGCTGGTGGGAAGAACTGGGGACTCCAGCGGCTGGCCGGGCGACGGTGGGGGCGGTTCGTCCGTTCCTGTCTCGCTGGGTCAGGCGGCCACACGGCGTCCTGACGTTCAGGTTGACGCAGATGCTTACCGGGCACGGGTGCTTTGGTAAGTATCTGTGTCAAATGGCGGATCGGGAACCGTTGCCCGCATGCCACGAGTATGGTGCGTCCGAGGACACCTCGCACCACACCCTCGCGGTATGCGCCGCTTGGGCTCCCCAGCGCCATGCCCTGATGGCGGTAGTGGGTGGAGACCTCTCGTTGCGAAGCGTGGTGGGGGCCATGCTACGCGATGAGAGGTCCTGGTCGGCGATGGTCTCCTTCAGCGAGGCCATCATCTCACTGAAGGAGACGGTGGAGAGGGAACGCGAGGCTAACGCCTTAGCAGACCCTCTTCGTCGCCGTCGGCTGGGGGAGAGGAAGCGCCGGTACGCGCATCTTCTCCCGCCACCCTAGAGGAGCTACTGCGGGGGGGTCTCTCGTTGACTCCCCTGCACGTCATCGGGGCGGTCGGGATGCTCTGTGAATCGAGGGCATCCCGGTTTAGGCGAGGCAGGCCCGCGGGGTACGGGCTGTCCGCAGGGGTGTTGTAGTGAATGCGCAAGCGATCCTGCACACCCCATTGCACTGCGGCGACGGGTTCCGCTGTGGGTTTTAGTGAGTAGGAGTCTCACAGTACCCTACCCATTGACGGCCGGTAGGGTCCCCATGATGGGTTTCCCCAGCGTCAACAAAAAAAAAAGGTATAATACTTTATGTATAGTGTTGGTCCAAGTATTTTATAGCCCGAAAAAATAAAAACATTATCGTCAAATAAGAATCAATAAACATGATGATCCAGTCAGCAACGTCAGCAGAAGAAAGCCTATAATGCGGCAATTTAAAATAAACAATAATACTTATCCCTTATTCTTACCGATACATAAAATTCTAATCTATTTATCTGATATCACTATTTTTAGATACTGTGACCCAGGGATGGGGCACAGTATAGTAGTCGATACAGTAGACTAAGCATAACATTTAATGGAATACAAAAATAACAATCTCATAACCTCAATGATGTGTCTATAACATTACTGTGGGAATAATAACCAAACCAGGGACCGTAAAACCCGGGTTTAGAGTTAAGCCAAAAAAAACGGTTACCCATTCAAAATGAACGTAGAAAAACCTTGTTACCCATTAAATGTGTAACCTACCTTTAAGGAAATGAAATGTGTTAATCATTTGTAATGATAGCCCTACTATAGAATTAACCCTATCGAAAGGGTTACCACATCGTTTTACGTGATTATCCCGAAACTTACTTTTTAACTGGTGATGAAAAAAGGGTGGGGGAATATACCTATTTGTTTCTAAATTCGTGTAGCACTGCAAAACAATGTTAATTTAAAGTTTCATACTCCTACCTGTGCACGTTTACTTATTAAAATATATAATGAACCGTCACAAACGTAAGTATTTATTTATTTTTCTTTTTATGATTGTATATTTTATTTAAAAATTGATTTTAGTAAAGTTTTATATATAGATAACTATTTTACATTTACTTTTATTTTTAATTAATTTTATAAAAAGCTGAAATAGTACCAGAAACGGAGCCAAATAACGATGAAACCCAATGTGATAGCCCCTCTTCAGAAAAACGACTCAATGAAGGCGGTAATTAATCCGTTTACATATACTTGTTAAAATCTTTGTTTTTCTCTTGATTTTTTGGGTTTTCAAAGGGTAATAGCAGCAGCCTCTTTCTCAAGTATGTTTTTAAATACTTGTAATGTACATATATTCGAACTGAAATCATATCGACCGATCGGTCTACTACCTGTGCTAGGGAAAATTTACGAAAAAATGATAGTTGCCAGATTAAAATACCATCTCGTGCCAAGGATTAGTACTCGCCAATATGGATTCATGCCCCAGAAGAGCACCGAAGACTCCCTCTATACTCTTATGCAGCATATACATGCTAAAATAAAACAGAAACGCATAATAACTTTAGTTTCACTAGATATAGAGGGAGCCTTCGACAGCGCATGGTGGCCGGCCATAAGAGTCCGATTGGCTGAGGAAAGATGTCCCATTAACCTGCGAAGAGTAGTGGATAGTTATTTGGAAGATAGGAAGGTGAAAGTTAAATACGCCGGTGAAGAATATGATAGGGGAACCACTAAGGGATGTGTACAAGGCTCCATAGGTGGCCCCTTATTGTGGAATCTTTTGCTTGACCCACTATTGCATGAACTGGAAAAGAAGGGTCACTACTGCCAGGCGTTCGCGGACGACGTCGTACTGGCGTTCGACGGACAGACAGCCCTTGAAATAGAAGAACGAGCCAATGCCGCACTCCAACATGTTCAAGAGTGGGGTGTCATAAATAAATTAAAATTCGCAGCGCATAAAACTACCGCAATAACAATTACCCGTAAACTAAAATATGACACACCACGCCTGAACATGGGGGGGATCGACATTGGCATGTCCGATGAAATGAAGATTCTAGGACTGATTATCGATGCAAAACTGACCTTTAGCTCCCACGTCAGTTATATCTGCCGGAAAGCTTTAAATCTTTATAAACAATTGTCTCGTGCTGCCAAACTCCAGTGGGGTCTGCAGCCCGAGATAATTCGCACTATTTACTCAGCCGTGGTCGAGCCGACAATACTTTATGCCGCGAGTGCTTGGGCATCGGCAACAGAAAAATTGGGAATAAGGAAGCGTCTGGATGTTGTGCAGAGAGGCTTCGCTCAAAAGATTGTCAAGGCATACAGAACAGTATCCCTAAATTCAGCCCTTCTGCTCGCGGGCCTGCTTCCTCTCGACATAAGAGTCAGGGAAGCAGCCTCGCTTTATATTATAAAGAGAGGTTATTCCACGAGAATAGTAGGCGATAGGGAAATCGAGACGCAGATGCCCT